TCAGTGGCGACTGTGAACTGCCTGGCGGGGTCGGGGTTACGAAGGACTGGTTGCTTTAAAAAGCATTCTTTCAGTTCAGAAAACACGGATGTGCATTGTTCTGTCCAAAGGAACTTAACGTCTTTCTTGGTAAGGTCGATTAATGGTCTGGCGATGTCAGAGTAATGGGAAATGAAGTTTCGGTAGAAGTTGCAAAAACCCAAGAAAGACCGGACTTCCTTTACTGAGGTAGGGGCAGGCCAATCCCGAATACCGTTGGTCTTGGCATCATCCATTGCTACGCATCCAGGACGGATAATCATTCCGAGGTACTCCACTTCTTCTGCGTCAAACGTGCACTTCTCTGGTTTAAGGAAAAGTTTTTCTTGCCGAATTCTTTCAAGGATGCGTCGGGTGCGTTCATGATGGGAAGTGAGATCATTGGAGAATATGAGAATGTCGTCCATATATATAACGAGCCATCCTTCATTGATTTCCTGCTGGAACGTTCTATTCATGTACGCCTGAAAGGTGGCCGGGGAATTGCAAAGACCGAAGAACATAATGTTAGGCTCGAAAAGCCCATATTCCGTGGTGAAGGCAGCTTTCCATCGGTCTTCTGGGTGGATGCGGATGTTGTTATATCCGGACCGGACGTCCATCTTTGTGAAGTATTTGGCACCATGTAACCGAGCGACCAAGGAGAGCGGTAGTGGGAGTGGATAGGCGTTCTTAATGGTCCATTCATTAATATACCGATAGTCTTGACAAGGACGAAGGTCTCCGCTCTTCTTTCCTATGAAAAAGAAACCGCTGGCTTGTGGTGATTTCGATTCGGAGATAAACCCCTTCTGAATGTTTTCATCAATGAATGCCTTAACTGCTGTCTGCTCCTTTTCAGATAGCAGATACACCTTAGACGTTTTAGGAATAAAACCTGGTTTGGTTTCTATTCGGTGGTCTATACCAGGTCGTTCCGGCGGTAGCTGATTCAGGCCATCTTTTGCGAAGATATCGGCAAAGTCATGAAGATAAGAGGGGATGAGTTCTTCGAATGATTTCTTCTTCTGCTCGAGCCCGGCAGCTAGTGCAAACTGCTGAGCTTTGTTACTTGTCTTCACATATTCAGCAGGCAGTGCTAGGGGGGCAACCTTGGGTTGTTGTTCCGCGATGCTAGTCCCATCTTTCGTTAAGGGAGTGTCGAAAGAGATGTTGGTGATTACCCGGAGTTCAGAAGCGTCGGCGGGGTATTCAACCAGAAATTCATCATCCTCCAGATGGTAGGTGGAGATTTCTCGCATGGGTGGTGCGTAATCGGTTGTCCATACATCGTCCTTCGTGTCGAAGGAATCGTCATCATCATCTGGTACGGGGTCTAGATTAGGCAACGCTGATGGGGTTGCTTCTTCATCATCAATCTCTTCTATCGTGGCATGCAATGGCGGCTGTTCAACCGTTTCCCTAGGAGGCGCCTTTGGCAGCACTATGACTGGGATTGGTTCTTCTTCCTTCTTATGAAAGAGAGAAGGTAGCTTGTTCTTCCTTCGTTCACGGTCAACTTCTTCTTCGATCTGATCGCTCTTCTCTGTTCGAGAGAGTTCTAGCATTTCCTTTTTCCATCGGATTACTGGGTCCATAGCGCGTAGCCAGGGGATCCCTAGTAAAATCTGATCACGTCGACCTAGTCGCGTGATGTTAAACTTTCCGATCATTGATTGGTCGTCTATCTTGACAATGAGGACGCAATATCGTGTGATAGCGCCTCCCTTCGCATAACTCCCATCCGCGGTGGTAACCTGGAATGGTTTCGATAGCTTATGCATTCGAATATTGTGAGTCTTGACGAACTCTTCTGAGATAAAGGTTCCAGCGGCGCTGGAGTCAACAACTGCTGTTGTTTCGACAGTTTTCAGACGTGTTTTGGAGATGAGGGAAATGGGAATGCGAAGTTCCTTTCGTATTCCAATACTCTGCACAAGTCTTATAGGTACATCGGAAGATACGGACGTCGATCCCGTCTTCCACATTAAAAATCCTTGGCGAGACGATGGATCGTTGTATCTTCTTCTTCACTGTCGCTTATCTCTTCTCTGCGAACAGGGATCTTCTTCTTCTGTGGGCATGCTTTAGTCATATGCCCCCTCTGATGGCACGTGAAGCAAAGCCCTTTCTTCATATGGTCGCTTCTTTCGACTTCAGTGAGTCGGTCTACCTCCATGGCGTTTGGATTGTGTCGGTCAATGGAGGGTCTGGGAACATATCGTTGTCCCGACGGTCTGGTGGTGGTACGATGGTTTGATCGGTATGCAACCCCTCTCTGGTAGTTACTGTCTAGCTGAATGACAGCGGCGACATACTTGTCGAAATCTACAGGGATGGTTTCCATCTGATAGATGGAGTTAACGATTCCCTTCTTCAGTCCGTCGTTGAAGAACGTGATGAGGACGGCATCCTGTTTCACAGAAGCTTGTGCGGCAAGCGTCTTGAAACTGGCGATGTAGGATGTGAGGTCGCCTGTCTGTCTCAACGTGCGGAGTTTGTTCATGGCGGTTCCGGTGGCATCGGCTGGTACGAAGGCCTCTTTGAACTTGGTTTCAAAGTTCGCGAAGGTTCCGTAAGTCTTAGTGACGGAGTTGTCGACTTCTGTGTAGAAGGTCAGCGCCCAACCCATAGCGCTTCCTTCTGTCATGTAGGCAAGGGCAGTGATGACCTTCTTATCGTCGGTGTTATAGATTGTAGCGTTAAGCGCGAAGTACGCCTTAACTGCATACAACCATTGTAGGGCCTGGGAGGGACTTCCATCATAGGTAGATGGGGCTCTGGCTTTCAATTCTGGGGCGGTAGCTGGTGTAGACATCCTGACATTTAGTCGAGTGATGCTTCGGTTTCAGGGGAACGTTATCGTTCTCTCGCTGAGTCTGGTTAACCTCTCTGATGGAGAGGGTCGTCTGGTTTTCTGGTTTCTGTAACCTCCTTGATGGGGGAGGGTCGTAGGTTGGACTTTAATCTTTTGTTACGGCGAACCGTAGGTCGACTAGGATAGGCGTGGCAATAGACACTCGATAAGAGTGACGTCTAAAGCCGAATCATAACCTCACAAATGTAAGGCTTCTTAAGACAAGTTAGAGAGAGTGTCTCCGACTTGAATATCGATATCAGACACTTAGGATTGGAGGTCCTAAGCGAAGGATGTTCTGGGTAAAACCTAGTAGATTAAAGTGAAGTCTATCTAAGTACAAGATCGTGCTTATATAGGTAAGGCCTGCTTTAGGGCAGGTACGTACACGTCATCGAGACGAGTCAGAGATAAGGAATGAATGACGTCATCGAGACGAGTCAGAGATAAGAGAGGAATGATGTCAGCTAGTGACGGCATGAGGCGGTCGTGCTGTGATACACAGATATAGTAAAGGAAGTTAGTCTAGTGATGGCACGGCTAAGTGCGGTCATGACGTAATACAAAGGTAGAAGAGAAAAATGGTAGGGGGTAACCGTTACTGTAACAGTAGGTGTGATTGTAACACATCCACCACCTCACATATCTCAGTCCTGTTTCCACCCTGCCTTCCGGATCCCCAGATCTCCGGACCTCCGGATATTAACTGTACTATCTCCGGACCTATTCCCACCCTCTGTCCGAGATCCTGCACCTATCCCCATTTAGGCATCTCCACCTTTCTGGTTCTCAGTTATCTCTGTTTCTGTCTTGCTGATTGATCCTTGTACTAGCTTCATCTCCAAGTTCATTTACTTATGTTCCTTCTTACTTACCAATGTGTTTCCACATGCTTGTACATAGCCTTACTCCTTTGCTTACTGATCCTCTCAGATAGCCTTTAGTATATAACCCCTGTACAACTACAGTAGAGTCCTCAGTCTGAATATCACCTTAAACTTACCCAATCTTCTCCCAGACTTCAGTCCATCTGAGTGTGTCCTTTTCCATAAGGCCTAGGGATGGATTCCCTAGGCCGGAATTCCAGACCTTCGGATTTGTCCCCTATGTCTCTGTCCCAAGTCTAGGGATTGCTTCCCTAGGCTGGAGTCTTGCCTTTCTGGCACTTACCCTCTTTTTGGACTTAGGTCTACTTCCTGTCCCTCCAACTCTACCTTAGGGTAGTCTACCTCTGTTTGCTTCTACATCGGACAAAGTCCGATGTAGCCCCTATTCCTTCTGGACCTCCGGACCTCCTGTCCTCTGTACCTCCAGATGTCCTGTCCCTCATACCTCCGGGTATCCTGTCCTTCGGATGTTCTGCCCTCCGTACCTTCGGACATTCTGTCCTCCATACCTCCGGACCTCCTGTCCTCCTGTCCTCCAGACCTCCTATCCTTCCATCCTGTTTTCCTGTAGAAGTATTACCTTGCAGCAGGAACTCTCCTGAGCATTTCCTGCATTCCTCTGGAACTCTCCCGCACTCCTCTGGAAGTCCTCCTGCACTCTCCACCAGAGTAGCCAGCCTCTGGAAGTCCTCCGGACTTCATCAGACCATCATCGGACTTCCTCTGAAATGAAGGGCACATACTCAGGTAAGGGGCACAGCATACGAGCTGAGGCCAAGCCCCTCTGAGTCAGTCTCTCTCTCCTTTGAGCATGGTTCTTAACAGCAGGCCTTCCTCTCACCCCAGAGGTAGAGCCCTCTTTCTTTCTTCTGCTCTGCAAGCTAGCAGAGTAGTTGAACCTTCAATGCTCTCAATTATGCATCTCAAAACTGGGCTGTTCACCTGTCACATGCTCCAAATCCATGGAATGACACTCTCAACCACATATTCCAGGTTTTCTGGAATCGTCACCTCCTTTCCTGGTTCAAATGGCAGTGGTGTTTAAAGGGACTGCAGTCTTGTCTTGATATTTTATCCAAGGAGCAGAAACTTGCAAAGGTTATTGCCTTGCTTCAGGTTTGATTTTTTTTTTTCATTTTGTGAAACCTCTTTTAATTCTGTCATCCTCAGTTTGAACCTTCAACACACAGCCTAATGAATGGTTGTCAACCATCTGTCCCAATTCCCAACAATCAGCTTCAGCCACCCTTCTGCTCTCCAAGGCCCAACACCACTGTACTCCATGTTGGCACATCCAGAAAACAAACTTTGGACGAGTTTCCAATCAATAATAACAGTGCACTCAAATCAGATGCCTCTAATAGTCCATCAAAATGTTAGAAATGAATTAAACAGTGTTTCTACATAAGACTGGAACACCAGTAGGATGCCAGATAATATTTAGTTCACTGCTTGTTATTGAAGATATTATCTCTAAGCACCTGCCAGTGTCATGATGTACTTAGTTTGTAACTTGAGTTTCTAGCAATCATATTTTAACTCAGAAGCATCAGTAAATTCCCACAATCTGGACAGACCTACACAGCACACCAGACACACAGCTTAGTCCCTACTAGCTAGCTCACCACAGTAGTACCTTTGTTTGTGAACATCTGTACATACACTCACAGACTCACCCAGTACATACCCAATAGCATCATTTTTCTCTGTATGTGTCTGTACAGAGACTCACAAACCTTCGCAGAAATCATGCTAATTGGACCTCTGATCTAAGAATAGTGTATGATCAATAATAGATTGAATCACATGACTATGTGACAGTAAACAAAAATAGAAAAATGATATAGTAGGTATGTGTGTGGTACTCAATCAAGCTGGATGCACAGGTGGCGGCACTTCAATGGGTCAATGCTGTCAAGCTTACAGGACTCTGCCCTTGTGAAATTTATCAGTGCCAAACATTGTAAAAAGGGCCAACTCACCATCCAGCTTTGGCCCATGCATGAAGCTGTTGTACCAGCCTTGGACCATGGTAGGGGTTGTCCATGACATCATTAAGAAGCTTGAGCATTGCTTTATAAATGGGCTCGTACTCCTTAGCAGTGAACTTCAGGAAAGATTTGCTGTTTCTGTTCTTAATGAGGCCATCAAAGACACAATTGAACTTAAAAAAAAAGTATCAGTAAATTAGTAGTGTGCCAGTACCAAGAAAATACTGTTGTGCAGACAAGAGCTAAGCAGGTTAATGGTATCTCCTTCTGAAATATATCAGGCCGCCTGTGAGCAATACAATAGGACCCAGTGTACAGGAAAAGTATGGTGGCCTCATGAAGTCCAGGGTGAGCAAAGTTCTTGGTTTTCCCAAGTTCATCCACTCCATCATGAAGAAACATGGAACCATCTAGAAAACCAGTGGTGGTGTTTTGAACCCAAGCTGCATGCTCCTGGACAGGAATGGTGGCTGGGGGGACAAGATTGTATGTGGAAGGTATGATGGCAATAGCGACCTTCTTAAGGTCAGAACACCACATTGCTAAATCATCATACAACTAGAAACGAGGTAAGGGATGGGGCGCACAACAAGAGAGATACGCACCAGCCTCACCATGTCAGGCTTGTGAGCAGGCCACACATCTGGTAGATGTCGTGGATTAGTATGATATCTCAAGGGAAAAAATAACATATCAGCTTCAACTTGTCTGCTGTTTTTGAGCCATTGTATTAGCAATGCTGAAAGAGATTCCATGATAGAGACTGGCAAATTGTTGACAAGCTTCAGGAAGGGGTTTTCTAATGCTTGCTGCACATGGCATCCTCCCTTGGCATCCTGGAGGAAGCTTCTCCAGTGGGGACCATACCAACACAGCTGGGTAGCATTAGGCCCTTCAACCTCCTTAGATTTTGCTGCACCTTTGACTGCCTGCACGTTCACCTTGGACTTGCCAGTGTTTGTCTTGGCACTTCAGAGAAGGTCTAAGAGTTCAGGATCAGGCATGCGGGGATGACCATTCTTCTTGTGGTGAAGTTGTAAGACATCTGCGGGCTTTGAAGGGAAAAGATTAGTGCAATCCAATTAATGGAGGGGCTAATACCTCGGGAGAATTCCTGTTGTCCATCAATGAACTATTGCTTGAGTTGCCATTGACTGCAAATGTTTTCTTGGCCACTTGGTCATCTTTGTCATGTGAAAATTGAAATTGAAAATCTGTTGGAAGAGTGGACACAACCTTAGGTTGGGGTTGTTGCACTTCCCCAGAAAAACCTAGAACTCATCAGTGTGATCACAGATGGTGAGGGCAAGATCTCACCAGGGTGCATGCTATGATGCCCCCCAACTGCCCTCCAACCAATGGGCTTGTCTTCACTACCATCATCAGAGGAACTGTCACCCTCACTAGAGTCAGAACTTTCGGATTCCATAAGTTGAGGTCCAGTTGGCCAGAGGGCAGGGTCCAAACTATGGTAAAAGTGGGCATCTGCTGAGGTGGTTGAGGCTGTTCTCAAGACTGCTGTCTGTGGTAAAGGTCCACCACTAGTAGTGAGATGACCACCAGCTGTATTGGAAGTGTTGACAGGAAGCTGGCATTGGGAGGTGTTGGAAGCCACACGTGTTGCCTTTGGCTTAGCTGCAGCTACAAATGAGTTATTTAACAACTGGAGGTCAGGTTCTGTGCCAGGGGGTATGATGGGCTGAGAAAATACAAACTGTCCACCATCTTTGCATTGTAAAAAAATGGGTTGGCTGCTCACTGTCTTCACACTCAGGGGAGGAGTAACAGTCTGTGTAATGATATATTAATCATTAATAAGTCAGGGCCAAAAACTCACCTTTTTTTGGGCCATGGTCTGGGAATCTTGGCATTGGGAATTGTGGCATTGGTAGTCATGGCATTGGGAGTTGTGGAGTTTGGAACTGGTTGCTCCAAGAGGTCATATGGGGGAGGGAGCTGGTTTTTCTGTTAAATAATTAGTGCAGTTACTTACAGTAAATGAAATCTGCCTTTGAATGACTTCCACGACCCTTGTGGGGCAGTTCAGGAGCAACAGGGTTGATTGGTAAAGTTGGATTGAGGGAGTGAGAGCCCTTGGGCTGGCTAGTCCACAATGGAGCATCCATGATAGCATCTAGTTGCTCTAACTGAATGTTCCTGCCTCCCTTCCCCACACCTGGACGTCCCAAATGTTGAGGGTGTTGAGAATCATCTGCATCAGGAGCTTGTGATTTCTTTGGCTTGATGCCTGTGAGATCATTGTCAGCAGCTTTCCATTTGGTCTGCTTTTTCTCTGGGCTATCAGGCATGACCAAAGACAGATGTCAGCCCCCAAAGTGATAATCAAGGAGAACTTGCCTTTTAACCTGGCCTTTCTATCTGATCTGACTCAATTTGATCTGAGAGGCAGCTTCAAGGTGGTCCTTGTGTGTGCTGGTGAGTCAGAATGAGTGAGAAAATGCTCTACCTCACATCCCTTCATGAACCTCGTATGTCCTTTTCTCCATGTTACATTGTCCAATGAGTGGAGAGTGATGAAGTGACTCAAGTAGTGTGTGGGAATCCACTCGACTGTATATGATCTGACTAATATCATGATGTAATTAATTGATAAGAAAGAGATCATAAACTAATTGTGTGCCATTGTCACATACAAGCGAGAAATTATGTAGTTAGTTATGTTGTTCTGTTGCATTTAGGCTGTGGTATAGGTTCCATCATCCAGATCTGACCCCCATGTGTTATGTCATGAGATGTGATCAACTTGGGTGGGTCTGCATCACTGTCTGACAACTTTCACTTTGTTGTTTCAGCACTGACTCCAGGATCCACAGCAGGAACAGGAATGTCAGGCAGTGGGAGTCCTTTGAGGATTTTACGTGTGAACAGAAGCTTGGGGGAAAGCTCCTTCAGAAGTTCAGCAATGTGCTTGTCTAATAAATGAAGGACCTCCTGGAAAGTGACTGTGTTCAATGGTCCTTTATTCCTTATCAATTCATACCATTTCACTGCAAGCGGGACAAGGTTTTTGAAATAGGGGTGGAATTGCTCCTCGAATTTGTGTGCACGTGAATGGTAGAAGAATGTAGTCTTCTCATCATTGCAGGCCTTGAATGTGACAGCAGACCATTTGTGCACCAGCCAGTCATACCTTTTATCAAGGACACACTTGACACCAAGGGGACCCCTGTATCTGATACAGATCCATATGAAGATGTAGAAGACTGACTCGAGATCATCTTCAAAGCGGTGTATGATGAGGCAAGCTGGAACCACATGGGAATTCAAGGCACACTTCAAGCTGCATTCAGGTGTTGCAATGCTACTAACAGCCTCAGAGAGCTGGAACAGGAACAACTGTGACATGAAAGGCATTGTGCCCTAATTGTCGATATCAGCCGATGAATAAATGCTTTCGAAAGTATAAAACTCACCATCCCACCTCTAACATATTTTTGACCTTGGGCGATAAATATGGCAAACTCCCAATCAACCAAGGTTCCATGGGATCTGTTACCATCATCTTTGATCATTGAGTTGTTGAGACTACAATCACGATGAAGAACGCCCTTCTCTTCCACTGCTATCTGTTGAACTGGAAGATTGGGTCAGTTGAATGTAAAAGAGGGAGGGGGTTTTGAATATATAGTTACTTTTGATGATATCCCAAATAGCGCACAACAACTCTGCCTTCATCCAGAACATATATAACAGTCAGGCGTGAGGTTTCAACACCAAATGAACATGTGTGCGGACAGCGCTTTGAATGCTATTCAACAGTTTGTAATGATAAAGCCCCATTTGATCAACCTCCCTGGGCTTGATCTCGACAAGCCAGTGATCAATGAGTTGTGGAACACCACAAACATCTTTCATCACCTGCAACATCTTGACTTCATTCAAGGCATCCACTTTACTCCCAAGAACCCAATGATCTTTGATAATGTATTCTTTGTTACCCCTCTGTGCCAGATAACAAACAGTACCATGACCAACAAGCCCTTGACTAGAAAATATGACTTCAAGGATGTTGTACATGTGATTGTTGATGAGGATTCAACTGATTGGATCAGGAAGAGGAGGACAAAGAGGATCATCAGGGATATTTAGCTGACGCACAGGATGAGGGGGGTCATGCTCTCAGATACATCTTGCATCTGATGGAAAGGGAGGGGATGCTCTCAACAATGCCTTCCATCGTGTCTGGTGACCTGTTTATGCTGGGGCAGAGAAAAGTCAATGCACTTTCAAGTTGGGCAGGTTGCAGCGTTTTTGTAAGGATGACGATCGAGGGGTCATACCCCAGGCACTCAAGTTTACCAAAGACAAGGCATGAAAAGATTTTCAGGAAATCATTTGGGTGAGTGTCAATGTTAATTGGAGGCATTACAATGGCACCTGAGTGGTCATACATATGAACTCAAAGTTCACGATATGCTTTGGTCATGGACACAAATAAAATGAACTGCCTCCAAGGCTGTCATCTGAAGAGAAGGAACACCTTGTTATCCAGTATATTTCCTATTGTGCCCATAGCTGAGTATGGTCGCAATGTCAGCTCGCAAACCACCTTGATTGTGTCCCATCAAGCTTCTACATCATCCAATAACACAAGGTCAGGCTTTCATGAAACTTCTTCATCCTTCACAGGGCGTGTAGAGTTTCCTGCACTCCACAGGTGTGGGACTGGGTTGGTCTCCTGTACAATCTTTGGCACCTTCTGGGTGAGTGCAAAACGTAAAACATTGAAGAACATCACAAAGACTCCCTCAAACAGTGGTGAGGGTGTATCCAAGCCCAAGTCACCATCTTCTGGCTGCAGCCCAGAGGGGCCCAGGAGTTCTTCCTTACTGGCAGGCTCAAAAGATGAACCGCCACCACCTCCACTTCCAGACTCCACATCTGCCATGGTGCTCTCCTCCTGCCAATCTCCAAGACTCCCATCACTAGGGAGCAGCCACTGCTTGACATCATTGTGGTGCAATTTCAGGAGCGGCCAGTTCCACTGGCATTCATCTTTGTCATACAGATGAGCCAGGTCATTTTCACCTATGGTGGCAAACTTTCTGTGAAGTCTGTCGTCCCAATAGCAAATTTTATGTAATGGGACCTGTAGCTCTGTCACATCTGGGAGTTGAAAGGTAAATGATTTAAAAATCTGCAACAATACATAACTAATCTCTGCATCATCTTTTTGTGGCAACAGTTCATGCAAGATTAAGTGATTGAGTTCAAGAGTGGTGAGTTTGTCCAGTGTTGGTACATCATTGATAATGGGCACCGACATCAGTAATGAGAGCTTCATCCCATAACCCACAGTTTTTCCATGTTCCCAAGCTGGTGACATGACTGCATGCAAGAGAGGACAAAGAGCTCAATTCAACACAGGTACTGTCTCTATGTGGGTAATTGTAATTTTAGTGCATGAAAGTGTTGCTTATCAGGTATGAATTAAGTTGACAGTGCAAAAAAGCTATTTTTGTCCCAAAAATAGTTTAGCCAAAACTCAGATGCATGCTCCATGCTGTTGTAGGCAGTAAAACATGTGTCTGCAGTTGCGCTGAAGCAAGGGACAAGATGAACAGGTGCTCTCAGCTGAGAAACTGGAATGATGTCCCCCATCCGAGTGCCATTAGAGCACTTTGATCTTCTCAGCACATGTAGCTGAGTAGTCAGATCACATTCACTAGAGATATCAAATCATTGCAAATAGGCAATGAACTGATCTTCCCAAGACCATGGTGTACCACTTTTGCCAATAGGCCATATGAGAAGTCTGATTTGGGCTACCAAGTGACCTGCGGTGCTCATTTTTTAGTATATAGTGGATGTCACAATGAAACAGAAAGCACACCTGAAAGACCACCAGTAGGCCATGACTGCTCTGTGCTGGTCTGGATAATGACAGTGTCATAACAACCCAAAGTCCAGGGCCCACTAGGTGGTGCACAGTTTAACATCTGAGCTGGGTGAATTTTATGGGTGTTGTGAAAGTCTGTTTCTTGTAAACATATTTTGAACCAGACTTGAAGCTTATCAAATGGAAGTTCAGCTTCAGGTCCAGCTCTTCAAGGACCACTGGTTACATGAACATGATGTCCAGATGTCACCTCATGGTGAAGGAAATCAGCAAGAGCTGGGCAAAGGTCTGGTAGGTTGAACATGATGGCAACTTCATCAACACTGATATTCCTAATAGAAGGATCATATGCAAGATGGAGGGCAGTGCACCCAACAATGAAAGAGCATAGTGGGATGGGTATTGATCCTACTTTTTTGTGCTATAGTATTTTGGTGATTGTGAAATAGTCTGTGATAGGATGCAGCTGATCAGGTCACTGAGTCCTGGATGGAATTTCCACAGGGACAATCTCCACATCCACATCCTCATCAATGTCATCATCTTTGTGCTTCTCTCTGACAACTTCCAGATCCTCAATGCTCAGCTTGCCATCCAAAAGACCGATGGCAAGATCAAACCTATTACACTTATCAGTGCAGTCAAGATAATGACATATTTGCGGATCGTAATTATTGTTGTTGGTCAATCTTGCAGGGTTTTTGACCTCCATAATGTGTGCATGTTCAGTCACATCAGCAGACCATTGGCCTATAACACCAGAGCTACAGATGCTAGGAACAATGTTCTGCATTAGCTTGAGTTTGGGTATGTACCAATTGTCGATGGTCATGCATGAGTGCATGTACAGAAGTCATGATGCCAGGAGGCATTGCATCTGCACTGAGTGCAATGATCAACCATTGAATGTCTCAATGACAGTGACCAGTGACTTGTTTGAGCTTCAATATGCCTCCATGAAAATGCCAGTAACCAGTAGTAGGCTGTAAAACCAAGAACCGAAAATCTAACTCAGACTCTCCCACAGCAATGATAATCCATTGGGCATCATGGTCATAAAACTGCTTGTGAATGTGGTGCAGTGATTCAGGTGTGAGGAAATGGGAGGGTTCAGCTAGTGGCCAGTCACTCCAGAATGGTTTCTTGACGCCATTCAGGCAGAACTTCTGCACTTCATGGAAGAACGCCTCGAGGTTATGTGGATCAGCACATGAGCATACAACATCCAGCTGCGCAAGAGTTGTTGATTTTGTCCAGGGTTCATGGTGAAAGGCATCTCCAAACTGTTTGTACATGGCCATGGTCACTGGAGATGTCTTTCCACCAACACATGCCAGCATCATCACTTCCAGAGTATCAGCAATGTAACTAGCAAGTGGAGTGAAGCAATAATGGCTGCATCCAATTGGATCTGACATCATGATGCCCAGTTGAGCAGCCAACTTCAATGGTTCTAGTATGATATCCAAGCACTGATGAACAAGGCGATCCTGCAATATGCCCTTCATCCATTTGTTCTTATGAACAAATTTTGGGACTGGTAGCAGGGCAGTGAGGAGGAAAGTGTTCAAGGATGATTTCAATCATGTATTCATGTGAATATTGGCAAGGCTGATAAGTAGTGGATGGGCAACACAATCACCTGTCAATGTGGTGATACATGTCTTGTCTGAGGATAGAATGACACCAAGAAGAGTTGCACCATGAGGTAGCGCCAACTTCAAGAACACATGAGCTGGTGACCTCAAGAGGGATATAATACGTACCTGCATGTCCCAAGCATGTTGCCCTGTCATCCACTCAGTATATACCCAAGACAGCTTCTGTGATGTGGCATACACTTTGCAAGGAGTGAGGTCTAGACAGTTGCAAAATAAAGGATGGTTGAAAATACTGGCAATGCACTCGAGCAGATCTCACCAGTAGAGAACAACCAGCGTCTTGGTGGAATGGGATGTGTGAATTACTTTCAATTTCCAATGTGGACCACCTGGTAGCATTTCAGCCCGACCTCATAACTCTTTAGCTGAGCAGAATGATAAAGGCAAATCATTTATCTAAGTGCTCCCCAAATCAAGCTGCCCTAATGTGTTTGAAATTAAGAAACTTACCATCTCCAGCAACAGGAATGAATCTATCTTGCCCATGCTCAGGCCTGAATGCAGAAGCCATGCTGCAATCTCCCATTCCTTCCAACTGCTGAACGGATAGTACAGGTTCATTTTGCGATGGATGCTATTTTCATCAGTGTCAAACAAACTCAGAAATGTGTAGCCTTCTTCAAAGGCTAGCAGGGGTTCAGGAAAGTAGTTGGTTACTTCAGCCTCGCACTCCTTGCTCCAATTTTCACCTCCATCAAAGTACTGTCCTTCAAGTTGTTCATGGTAAGACTCATGAGGTTCACCGATGTCACCTGCTGCCATAGGATCATCTGCTGAATCCTCACTAGGTGGAAGGGCGGAGTGAAGCTGGATTAAGTCTTGTAGCCATGTATTGCATCCAGACCGTGGTTGGCTCATATGTCAAGCAACAGAAGTATGATCCCTGAATTCCTTCCTGCATGAAAGGCAATGAGTTGGTGGCATGCTCATGGAGAATGATGATTGCAGAGAAAGATGATACAAACTGTAGTTCAGCAATTTCCATGAGTCAGTCTTTCCACATCATGTTATCCTCACCACTCAAGTTTGATCTTGGTACTTTGCAATCACTATCAGTGAGTGCTTCTTGCACCCACACTGGCCCTCACCCTCATGATCAACATCATAATGATGACCATGATAGTAGCGGCATATGCAACCTATATGAAATTTTTGAAGCTGTGAATGCAATGGTGAGTTATTCATGTTGTCCATCATTATTGTACAACTTACATTTCAACATAGTCTGACCAGGAACCCACTGAATCCAAGGTGAGGATCATGATGAATCTCGTGAGAGCCAAGCACAATGTTTACCGGGCTCAGAAGGCACTTGCAGATTGTGTAATGCAGGAAAACGAGGTGTTTGCAAGCCTGCTGAAATTCCGAGTGGAAGCCACTGAGAAGAGACTAGATGACACAGACCTTGGCCTGGGATGTATGAGGGTTATTTGCAATATGCACGGTTGGTCTGTCCCTCCTAGTCATCTCACTAGACAAGGTGGATCACATTCGTGTGGTGGGTGTGATGCGCTCTGTGCTCATATCAGTTCTGTGCTCATATCAGTTTCTAACTCTTTACAGGAACAACATTGGATATCTCGCATGGCAGGACCCCCATGATTCAGCTTGACTGATTTATTTTTTAGTGTTTAATAGTTGTTTTATGCTGTCCTGTCTTCGTAACTACCATGTTATGTGTTGTATGCCAATTTGTCTCATTCAAACCGAGTGTATATTGCCAAGCCAAACTCGAACTTAAGCTGAAAATTTGTATTGCCACTTTTGCACCAGTACAAGTATACTATTGATACACTGTGCTTGGTACTAGTGTGTGAGACTTGTGAATTTTTGCAAGGCTATACTACTATAGTATTATACATTGAAATCCGAGTCTGTGGGTGGATTTGGACTGGAGTCGCTGTATCACTGTGTGCTGTGAACCTGCGCAAACTGTGGGGCTCTGTGATTTGCTGTCACAAGACCCGAAGTTTGTGACCTCTGTGAGAAAATTGGACTTTACTGATGAATCTTGTTTGAGGTCCTACACTGAACGCTTGCATGGACGAGCTGTCGGTCTCACGAATTACCGACGTTGCATCAATCCTGTGTGCAACGTGTGCAGCAAGAAGTACGTCTTTCAAATTCGATCAGAATACAAAAATATCGCTCCAGCCATATCCTACACAACGAGTTGTCAAAGCGTCCCTTACTTACCAGGATAGTAATCCCACATCAATTGAATTTGTCTGTGATATCTTTTCCCGGCCCTTTCCCAGTCCCCTCAAGGCGCTTGTACAATGCCAACTTGCCATCCTTTGACACCAAACTCAAGCCTACCCCCACATCTTCCTTTTTCGCAGCATCTAAGATATCCTGAAGCACGAGTTTCAACTTCGCGACACCCTGCTCAGCACGTCGGGCATGGGTCTGCATGCTCGCCGAGCCAAGCTGTACTTTCTCCAGGGTGTTGAAGTTACCGCGTTCGTGCTTCGCGATATACAAGAATGCTGTCTGAGAAAGATAAAGCTGAGGATAAATTTCTGCCCAGTCGAGCTCTCGGTGGGCAGCGCGTGTCTTGAGCTCAATGAGAGAGGATTGCGGGACGACTTTGCGTGGAGTTGTTTGGGTGATGGAAACGCCACGGACGGTTGGGACCGTGGCTTGAGGCTTCTTAGTATCCCGGCTGCTGGAGGCAGACGCTCCGCCAATACCCAGGCCTGAGAAGGCTGCTAGGAGGTCGTCCTCGTCGTTCGTGTCATTGGTAGAAGATGTGCACGCCTCAATTGTGAAACGAAGGAGAATCTTCAGTTCACCAATGTCCTGTCAAATACATTATGTTGCGAGTGACCCGACTGAGGATGCAAGAGTCTTACGATGGAAATCATCCGATGATGTCCAGTGGCTCTCTCGCAGCCGCGAGTGACTCTCGTGGCAGCTTTTTCATACTCATGTCCATACCCCATAAAGCCTTGCACGGTGTCCGTGTTCTGTGCCTCAAGGCGTGTGAACAAGCACGTCGAGCCCGCTACATCGATATCGATGCGGAAGTCTTTCTCATCCGATGAGCCACTGGCCCAGCGGAGAAGCTTGCGAAGGTTGTTGCGGTCCGTGATGAAGTCAAACTGCTTGTAGTAGAAACTAGGATTCATATCATCGATGGCTGCGAATAGCGGGATGAGGGGGGACATTTTTCGCATGTAGAAAGCATTTTGGTCCACAAAGCGTGTTCCAGAGTCAGCCGGGACACGCTGGGGGCCTGTGAACCAGACTCTGGGAGAACCTATATGACATCAGAAGGACGTTGATCAACCTGATCTTACTCAGACATGGACTATATGCTTACCAGGGACGGCGATCGTTGGCGTTGCAGCCTCGATCCATGAGTATGAAGCAATTGGTTTGACATTTGTAATTTCTACAGGACTAAGAGTATCCGTGCTCCGTTTGAACTTGGCTACCTTGTCTGCAAGATCTTTGAGGATGAAGGAGGTGTCAGGTTGTGAGGACTCTGTTACCCTGGGGCGAAAGGGGTATGCCCGACGTGTACCAGCTGGCGCATTTCGCAAGGTAGACATTGTGAGTTGCAGGAGTGATTTGTGGGAAGAGAAAGTAAGAGAGCACTCGATAGATAAGACTCGAAGAGCTCACCCGATAAAGGGGTGCGACGATCACTGTTTGCGCCCACCGTGTGCTGCAATATGGCTGTATATGATCAATCCTAGACTTGTGACCTATGTACTAGTACGAAGCAAGCCTGCGAAGCCTTGTGATATGATTGCGAATCTAATATTGCCCAGCGGCAGGAGAACGTTCGAACCTAATAGTTAACGCCCATGATGGTCGTCATGATACGATTTGGAGATTTCCGACAGATATTTGTAATAATTCTATCATAGACCGTCGAGCAACACCACGACCGAACGGCCGTATGAATGATTTTAAAAATGAGAAATAAATGGTGAGCCTATCAGGAATAATGATGTGTCGGTAGTTCCGGAGAATATGTGCGCAAGAGCATGCGAGGATGTTTTGATACGTCTCTGAAAGAAGTTTCAGAAACACTGCCTGGGTGTATCATGATAATAGTGAACGTTTGAACAGCGAATGGTGGGATGTCACAGGGTTTTAGACGGGTGACGTGACAGGAGCTACTTTTCTCAGCATTTATTGAGGTATGAAGTCATTTCCCCCCATCTTCTACGTTCAAAGTTTTCTCAAGCTCGGTATAAGGTACTTACTAGCTAGTAGCTCGAATTCAGCTTTTCGAACGACAGAACAGATTGTACCCTCCTATCTATATGTTGAATTCTGGCCGTCGCTGTAGTGAAAATCGCGGATCCATCATGATCAGCTGGTGATCTTCGAAAACAACATTCTCAGTCAGACTTTCTTTAAATATGACGATCTAGCACGTTCAACATCTCAACGGGAGGCCCTGAAAGAGAACGGAGTGAAGGAGAGAATTAAAATATTGCATGACACAACTGACATTCAAATACAAGGGCCCAAAGGCCAAGCGATGGGCCAAGACATGAGTGCAGGGCGAAATACGAGTGCCACGGTAGATCCGAGAGCGATGAGAAATACAAAGTGTTACGAGAACTGACTGCAAGAAACGTTTGAAGAAATGAAAACAACAGCGCTGAACGAGAGCCATGACACGAGATGCAAAGCACCCTAAACGAGCTTTACAAAGGGCTTAAGATAGGCAGGAATGGGCGGATGGTGACTAAAACGCAATTTGGGGTGGGGAAAGGTACCCCTCGAGATACCGTCTGATAAGGATAAGTTATCTGCCGATTTGACCCACTTGACAGAAAACCATATACCGTGGTTATGAGTGAATGCCAACAGACTGCGTAGAATATCATTCTGTGCAGGGCTACGAGAGCGACCGGCTCTGATGGCACCTTCCACTCCCTGATTGTCAGAGCAGAAGCAGATATGGGCATCGCGAAGGCCGAAATGAATCAGAGCGCGAAGACCGAGGTCAACGGCCACCATTTCTGCCCGCCCGATGTCGCGTCCATCTAACTTCCACCCTGGGAGCAAGCGCCAACCGAGCCAGCAGCCATCGGCTAAGAAGCCAATGCCAAAGGAAGTTGAGGCATCCATAAAGACCTGTAAAGGAAGGGGAGGGGGCACGGGATGGTGAACCCCAGCACATTCGACTGCGCTGAGCTGGAAACGACACCAGACAACATCCGATGAAACTTTGGATGGGATGCGGTGTTTGGATTGAGGTGAAGATGACTTGAATGAAGCTTGAAGGCGATAGAATGAAGGCAAGAAGGCGCAACCTTCACGGAGGACAAGGCAACAGTGTTGGAGACAGCCGATAACGGATTCACAGTCTGCACGGGTGACGAGCCCATCCTCGGACCAAGTCTCCAGGCGTGCAAGGTATTTTGCACATTTCGAGGGAGAGATGACGACCTTCCGAATGCATTGGAACCCCGGGCCGGCCATGGAACAATGCCTCCACTCACTGTGGACCAACTAGTCACACGTCGATGATCGGCGGCAAATACGCTTTAAAATGATTCCGTATATATACTGGTACCCACTTATACTATTTACGGTCCCCTTTCTATGGCCACGTTACTTCCTGCCTCTCAATATCCAATCAGCGTCGATCGGACCTCATAGATGATCATTTACTCCTTACTTGGCATCTAGCTTCTGCTTCTCCCGTTCAACACTGGCTTCTCTCCAGTTCCGTCCTTTGTACAATACCAGCAGAATCATGCACTCAGCGACGACAATCAAACTTGCCCAGAGAGTATACAGACCACCGTCGCCGATTGTGTCCTATACTAACCTCAGATCTGGCCTTCTGCGAGCTGTTATGACCTTGACTCACTTGTAAAGGAATCGCAATCTCGACAGCGACAAAAGCAAACAGACCACGGAAGGAACTATTCGTCGCTACTGCCATTGATGAGCGACCAATGTTTGCGTCAACAATGTATGCCAGTGTGCTTGTGTAGATCCAACTATCGTGGATGAGAGCAAAATATAATATAAAGCGGAGTGAACGTACATGGATAGAAATCCTGCAAAGAACAGCATCACACACACAGCGGCGATATTGACTCGTTCTTGGCACACCCAGGCGTATCCAATGACAGATAAAGGTGACCACAACATGGCGATTTTGGTGCTCTCGAGGCGCATCTGCATGGATTGGCGTCAGCCACATGCTGAGCTAGAGTTAGTGGTTCAATGTTCACCTCTGGAAAGCTGGCCCCTCCGTTTGCGGCCTTTAGCCGAGCAAGGGTCCGATCGGACCAACGGCCACCCAATGTGCTGCCGGCTACACAGCCTGGGATAAGTAGATGCGTCAGGCAGGTGTTCCCGGTTTTCTTGTAATTCACTCACCAACACCATAGGCAAGCAAAACAAGGCCGGTCTTCAATGCATCATAATCATAATACATCGACAATGTTCTCGCACATGTATACGTAACACTGAAGCTAAACGCAAAGGTTAAGCCTGGCGCAAGAGGGCATAAAAATAGTTTTCAGTAAGAAATGGGGGCACGCACCTGATGCTATCAAGATAAAAAGGTTGTTCTTGCGGCTGACAATCGAGAAGTATGCAGGGAAAGGGTTAACATCAGCCATAGACAGTGTTATGTCTTTAATGGCTGGTGTTGGTATAACCATCCGCTGTGCTTCGACATCTTTCAAAGTCGTCTGGTTTTCTCCACCTACTTCTGACTTGGAAATATTTCGCGACTCGTCCTTTGCTCCCGATGACCGCTGCTCTCGGAGTCTGGAATTCAATACGTTTTGGTAAGTCACACTCCGCTCCTTCCTGAAGGTGTCCTTGAACAAGAAAAGGAACGCCAAAAAGATTATGCCTCCCCAGATGACTAAGAACCAGAAAACCGCCCGCCAGCTGAGGCCCTGCGTGAGTGCACCACCAAAGATTGGTCCTAAAGAGGGACCGAGAAGAGGTGCAGAATAGTAGACACCCATCATTGTACCTCGTTGATGCGGCTCGTATATATCAGCCAGAGTGGCAGCTCCGATAGCGAAAACTGCGCTTGACCTACTCCAAGTGAGCACGGACAAGAGGGATTAAGGAACTGTCCTACCCTGCGGCTTGCACAATTCGCATGCCAATCACCAAACCAATAGTTCTTGACACGGCCACGATAGCAGATCCGATTATAAAAAGTGCGATGGATAGTAGGTACACGAACTGGGCTCGGTCATATGAATAAACGACATCCTGAAGGTAGTTATAAATACAAACCTTGCGGCCCTTTATCTCGCTGATTGCACTCCAAATGACAGGAAAATTGCCTTGAACGAGAATGAACAGAGACAAACTCAGGCTGATATCTCCGCTGCTGGCGTGAAGCTGTTGCTCGATTTGAGCATTGGCGGCTGTTCCCTGGCTGTTCACCCAATATCGGATACAACAAGTTCACGGACGCAACCTACGGTTTTGTATGTTCACCGCCAAACCTGCAAACATCGAGGCTCCAGATATAATGAACAATATAGCGGTCTGTAATTGTGTTCAACAAATTCCTACTTACATATTAAGATAGAAAAACTCACTTTTTTCGCGTTTGACCATATTCGAGGATCATCCTCAACCACTGCATGCTCTATGTCGAGCTTAATGGGTTCATTTGATAATGTTGAACTAGGGGAGTGCGTCTGGATATCAGTATGAAATTCCACATTCCGGACCCCTGAAAGTGACAAGTTCGTACTCTGGCTCTCTGCCATGGGTGTAAAATGTCGGATGTACGAGTTGAAGATTATATGGCAGTGTATGATTTTATAGACGGTTCATGGATAACGCGAGCGCCAGAAAGCGAACATTTTTTTGCCAATGCCGATGATAAGAACATGCCGGATGGGAGGACTCCACCAACTATAGTATGTCGGACAATTTGGCCGATAGGGTGGCATGACTAATAGAAGCCCAACGTTGTATCCGTTTCATATAGCCGCTGACCGAGGAAGACCCCCGAATCCAAACGACCTGGGTGGGTTGTCGAGATTTACATTCTAGATTGCAATCATCCAGAGCTGCTGTCTTACCACGGAATTTCGGATAACCGGTTAGTGGGAGATGAAGTCGATTTAATAATAGGAAGGGATGGCTATCCAAGTCAATGTAGTCACCTTTCCATACATTACGTGTCAAGTGATTATGCTCTAGTCTTCTGACCTTTGTAAGATGTTCCGAGGGAAGGACTTTGAAGTATTTTCTCACCACGACTTTCAAAGTATAAGTCCTGCAATTAAGAGGAAATGAGAATGTTGATGGTATACACAGCCAGCTACGCCAAAATGAAAGCAATATATAGTACTTGCCGCGTGTCCTAGGTGCCTCACTTTGTCGTCCGTTAAGTACAGTGCATTGCATTAAAAAATGTTCAGTCCTTGATTTGGACACATCGTGTTTGTATATATTTGTGCTCACCACTGCTTGAATATTATCAAATATGTTTGCCCTGTGACCTGTTACAGGGCCTCGCCGCACACCTGACAGAACAGCTAAGGGAGAAGATTTTTGTCTGGCGTTTTCAGCAAAAAAACAGTTGCTGAAATAGCTCAACTCTCTAGGTCCAATCAGCAAAAAAATTGAAACTCCGCCGAGATGGGTGATTTTTTCCCCGCAAGGATTGTACTCGGACGGCGCGCGAGACAATAAGACCTATTCAGATCCGTTCGAGCCTTGTAATACCGTTGAGGCAGATTGGTAAGATTGGCCTTGTTAGCTGGTTGAATATAAATCGTACCATACCTTGTAGATACAAAGTTCATGTCTGTCAAAAGGGAGGCTCGCAGACGGCATAGTTCGCGTGAGTGCAGCAAAAAAACCTGCAGGGAAAGCGGGGAATTCATGCAGTGAGTCGTTGACCCTGCCAATGACTACACTCTAACTCCAATTGGGATACCACAAGACCTAAGAATGAATACTGTCAGCTCAAAGGGGGATATACAGTATCCAGGTTGCCCGACGAAGCTTAGTGTCCGATTGATAGCTAGGATCCAGAGCGTGACAGTGGCTATCAGATAATCGTTGACACGACGCCACCCACCAAATACATACAAACATGACCACAACTTATTTCCAACACGAGAGGAGTTGCCAAGGACCACGGCGTCGCATACGTCTGGCCAAGTGCGAACAGCACAAGATAGACCACCAGAAGCTTACGTTCATAGCGGACCGAGTCACACACCATGGAATCCTGGACCCTCGGCTTTTTCCTTTGAGGTCGAAGACCCTATGTCAGACATAGCCCCATTCGAGTGCGGGGGGACTAGTTCCCTGATTAGCATGGACAGGATTTCAAGCCAATTGAATCTGGGGATACGTTTACGAGATATGCTCCTTGATAACGACTCGCGATGTCTGGTACCCTGTTATCATTTGGACGTTTCTCGGTTTCTCCGAACGACTTCAAACCCTGAGCGAACAAAGTCCGGACACTCACGTCAACGAAAAGACCCCAAACTCTGCTCAACATCTTGGCTTCAGCTTGTATGTAAAGCGCTTAAGCGGCCTCTGTCACTCTCGCTTGTGACAGTTCACACTTCCTATTTTTCGGTTCTTGATCCCATCAATATCAGTCTGTCTCCTTGGGACGGGTTTTCGTGGATGGAAGAAATTCTGCCTTTCTCAACCGACTATCTGCTCCTCAAGTTCCTCGACGACCTTGATCTATCTATTCACCAGTGCATCCATCTCATCCTGTCGTTACTTATTTGTAAATGTTGTGGACCACCAACCTAGCTAAGGTCATCAGACTCATCACACATTTATCAACTTCGCATTCAAGCGTGTATCATCATTGCCCTTTCGTCGTCGTTTTCGTTCCTACTGCCTTCATTCTTGTCCACATCACTTGATCGTTCTTAACCCCTTCCTCCTTTGCACAACTTTCCACTTTCTTTGTACGGCCGCCCTCATGGCTACATACGTCGATCATGTTTTATGACTGGGAATTATATACGACGCATGTATGTACTTTTGGTTTGTACCAATCTTTTACCTTGATCCTATCGGTATCCCTGGATGCACAGCTAAAACACTTACTTCGATCAGATATTACCCTTCAAATCTCACTTTGGCGATGTGAGCGCTGGATGGTGGTATATTAAGCGCGAATGCGATTGTTATATGTCCATCAAGTTCCCCCGCTCGCTCACTTGAGTCCTCTAATAGTATGACCCTAGTCTCGAACGATCCTAGTTGGTGGCCGTTCATTAATCCAAATCTTATAAGCAGCTATTTTGTAGGTTCGTGAAGATGCTGACCGTGACGACTCGATTGATTCGCAGTTGCCTCCTGTGCTGAGGTAATATACGGTTGGGGTGAACAAGATCAAGTATGAGAAGACTACTGACATTATGGTATTTCTAGGACTTACGTTCGGACAAGAGGTAGGTTGATACCATTACAGGAGCAGCCAACTCGCTAGAATTGTGTTATAGGTTGAACTAGTCTAGGTGAGCGGACTTCCACATCAAAAGGATGCTGTGAAAATATCATAACTAATTTGCGGCAGAGCCAACGCTGATCTCTGATGACCGTTCTGTATCTCATTGTATGTGGCTTGTGTTTTGAAGCGTGGTTAGCAAGCTGTACTGACGCAAACATATCCTAGGTACGATATGTTGGAATAGGATATGTTGTGTACGTTTAGACGTCTAAGCTATTGATGTTGTGCTCATTAGCCATCTCTGACAATCAAGATCGCCATCTTGGGTATGTCTCCGGCACCTATCTGTGCCAGGATGGCTATATGGGGGATGTCCTACTTTTGATGTCAATGACTTGGATACTTGCCACTGAATGGGAGGTCCTTGCACTGTGTCTCGCGGTCTGGATTGCTGTAGGGCACTTCCGTGAACTGCAACGACACTCGACAGGAGGTACTATTGGGGAATGTTTCACAGTGTTGATGAAAACTCACATAAATTACTTTGCAAGATGAGCTCATAGTGCGAATGTGGTTCTTTTATTCCGCTGAAGTTTTGCATGTGCTAGTTTTTTTGGCTTTCTCTTGCTTCCGGATCAGTTTATTCTCTCCAACGCTCCCAGCGGTATGTCGATCTGTCACCGACCTCTACATGCGACCATGATTCATTATTTCTATAGGACCTATATTCCCTGGACACTCAGATTTATCTTGATCTCTCTCAAATATTCCAGTTCGTGCAGTTGTTTGTACTGGGACCACGTCCGGTTATCCTCGGTGTTCGAGAATACCACGCTAAGCTCGTAACCAACTCTGATACAGCAACTGCTATGACTTCAATTGCTTTTCAGGAGCACGTCCATGTGTGGCGCAGGAGATGCTAGATATGATTGTCCTGCGATGGGCAGGTAGTGTGCGGGGAGTATGAGAATTTATTACAGGTTTTGTCGTGGTACTTGTCTACATCTACAATATTTATGACTCTACAAGTTGTCTATCTGAAACACACAAGTAATACGATGGATCCAGCACCTCAGTACATAGTGAATCAGGATACCAGGACATCCATATAATTAGCTTATATTCCACACAAGGCCTCTGCATCAATATTACTGTGCATTAGAACGGGATGAAGAGCTAAATGTGACATAGGAAGGTGTTTTCGACATACAACTATTCTAGCATCATCATCTCCACTGACAACCGTTGGACTGGGCTACCCAGGCCGGACTCGGACAGAGTTCCTACCCTTGTCTCTACTGACTAGGTTCTCGCCAAGCCCCAACCCCACTATTTCGGTATCTTTGTAACAACTGTTCTTGTAGTACTAGTAGTGGTCGTGACCAAGACAAGCTCGCCTCCTTCTGGCACATCAGCGGCATTGATAGTAGTAGTGCTTGATGTTTCGTCATCTTCACCAACACGCTCCAGTAAAACGGAGTGAAGGATATGTTGAATGAAAATGGGCTTCCACAGTCTACAACGATAATCTATGGGACTTATATGAGTGTCCATGAGCTGCACCTAGAGCAAGGTAAGAATATTCCGACGCCAACCGAGACTATAGACCACACCTTTGTTCCAGGAGCTGAGGATCCATAGCCGGCCAGATCGAACGTGTGTTGTGTATGCGGCCAGCGTATTCTGACTCGCGACGGTCAAAGTGAGCCCAAGATACCTGCTAGAAAGTCACGTACTCAATCATTTCAGCATTCTCGTGATCCACTTTCACGGTTCTAAGTTCCCATGCTACGGGGAAACTCCCCGCAAAAATGGCAGCATTGCGATGGAGTCCTTTCACAGAGAGGTGGGCACCCGTTCTCATATTTCTGATGGTATGTCCTGCACCGAGAGGTGCTATTTCCCACTGGTTTTACAGTCGTCCCGTTACTCAGAATGTAGAAGAGAAAGGCATAATTACCTTTTGCGTAGAATCATTATCACAAGGTGGAGAGCCTGTATTCGAAAGGTTTGAAGGTGAGATGTTTCAAAGTTAGAAGCCATTTGAGAGGTACTCACCCACGACAGACGTATTATCGTTTTTGGCCAGGTCCATTGCTGTACCGCTCTGGCGGTTTATGAATTTGTAAATTCCTGGTTGCATAGCTGTGGCACAATGGAGAGGAGGTGACTCGGACGAGATCGAACTTAAGAAGGGCGTTAGCGCAAGTACAGAAAGCGAAGACATCTTTTAAGGGTTCGCGGGCACGGTGTTATATATGGAGCACACGAGTCTGGACACCCTGACAACTCGTGGTACTGCAGAAAACGTGATTGAAGGCGTCACAGTCAAAAAAAAGGAGAACCTTAAGGTCATGAGCGTATATCGATGTTTTGAAATTAGAATTACGTAGATCGGGCAGTCCAGTCTGTTCGATACCATACCAAAAACAAATTGTACTGCATTGACCTTCAGTTCTCTCTCGGCACCAATCTTATTTCACAGGTTAGGCCATCTGGGAATATCTGAGTCTCACCAATTTACTGATGCGCCACTGCCCGGGTGTAACCAGAAATGACCGCCAGCTCACCCAGTCTGCAGGCTGCAGCAATGAGCATGTACAGTGCATAAGGATGAAACCCTTCATCGGCGCAATTACATACCTTTTGTATCTAGCTAGGAGATCTGTCTGGATGGGCAGATCCGGGCAGATGCGGCCTATGCAGGGCAATCGAAACGCTTAGCATCGACAATCAAATTTCCTAGGATCACAAGACAAGTGAAGCTCATAACTGACCCGTGCCCAACCAAACATTTATATTACATAATATTTGTAACAACGGAGTGATTTCCGATTGGTGTTGACGCCATGTGCGCGCTCCACCAGAGCCCCTCTCATGCATTGTGCTCCACTTTGGCTGTGGGGTGTAAGCTGGACGCTTATCACATGTTTATCTCACGCATCACGCACACATCACGTGAAGTTTACCCCATATATATATACGCTCTAGAAATACACAGTTTCGTCCTGTTACCTTGTCCGGTTATCTAAGTGTTCCCTGCCATCTCCTTGGCGAGGTCACATTTTTTTTTTAACAGAAATGAAACTGGTGATATCACAATAACCATCATAACGGTTATATTTCAAAACCACTAGGCTACCCACCTGATAATTGACCTGTCAAACTGCCTTCCACACAAAGGGAACCCACTGTCTCTAAACCCTTGACCATGTGACAGCATGCAAGGATCCAAAGACAACAAACTCCTCCCAACCCATCTCTGTCCCCCTTGACATCTATATCCTCCAATAACACACCCACCAGATGTATAACTTCTGTAACCATATATGACGACTCCTCATCATCAGATTCAGAACCAAATGACACACATATATTGCACTCTCATACTCACAAAATGACAAAATCTGCCACTGTCAAACAATCCACTCCCAACAAACCACCCAAACTCTCAGTGGGTGAGCTCACACCAGAGGTCATCCATGACTGGGACAATGCTTGCTCAACATACTTCATGCACAAAGGCATTGATGCTGGAAATCAAGTAAAGATGATAGCATTCAGGATGTTAGATCCACACTTGCATACCTGGTACTTGACTTGGTGGATTGCCTTGGATGCAGGAACATTCGCCAAGTACATGACTGCCCTCAGGAACGCTTGGCTCAAAGCTCACTGGGATACCAAGCTCTGAAGGAAAGTTCTGGGATCACAACAAGGCAGTCGCATATTCTACAAATGGGCTCTGGAGCTACAGAACCAGAATGCGCTGTTGTATGGTAACACAGCACACTTAATGGACACCCAATTATGCAACCAACTTGAAGCTAACATCTGCAAGGATCTCACCATCCCAGTACTCAGAGTGAATCTCGCAGATGATCTGACTCTCAAAGAATGGATTGAGGAGGTTAAACACCTCGACGACAAATGTTGTGAAGATCTTGCTTCCCACAAAAAGATCGCCAAAGAATTGTACAAATCTTCAAAACGTACCACATCTATGAGCAAACCTTCATCATTGAAGACCTACAATGTGTCATCCTCTCATCTAGGAAGTCTAACAGAAGGTGAGCATTCTCTACTAATGAAACACAGAGGTTGTTTCAAGTGCAGGAAGTTCTACATATCACACCAGTCGAAGGATTGTACTGATGGCACTCCTGAGGCATCTTCCTACAAGATGCTCATGGAATTGGATGCCATTGTAGCCAAACCAAAGACTAAGATGGTAGCCACAGTCAGACCTGTAGGAGCTGTGATGCCGTCAACTGTGCTTGACGACAGATCAGACTCAGAGGATGACATGTGTGTAGCCCCTTTTGAAACCACCCACCTTATATGGCCCTGTCTCTTGACAGGGCCCACTTCCAAATCTTTTGAGTGTATCAACACTTTAATTGACCACGGGTCACATTTAGTTCTGATTGATGAAGATGTTGTCAACAAACTTGGACTGCGGAAACGCAAACTGCACACAAAGATAGAAGTGAACTCAGTGTTCATAAACTCTTCCTCTTCAACCTTTTCTTTTTCTGAATACATTCTCTTGTCTCCTTCTTCCATTAATCATGATTGGACATCATGTACAATACACGCTATCATTGCACCTAAACTTGCAGTTCCCCTTGGAGGAGGAGGACCATTCTTATCACACAATTGCCTTGTTATAGATCATGATTCTTGAACATGTATCATCAAAGACTCAGACTATGATCTTTTGAAACCCCCACATCACACACTGAAAGTGAACATCATGATTCCTTCAAACTGTGACATGCTTCAACTGTGTAAGACTGTGGTCAACGAGCTCAAAGATGTACTGACAAAACAACATGACAAACATGAAAAAGATGTGATAACCAAAACACCTGACATTGTGAAGGTACTGTGACAACATATTGACATGCTAGCATTCATCGAAAACAACAAGGAACACCTGGAACACCTGGACAAAGAAATGCAACAAAAAAACAAGGATAGATTCCCTGAGGATATTCCACACATCGACCAACTACCCATGGACATAGTTCACCACATAACGCTGAAAGACCCCAACAAAGTGATACAATGCCAAAGATACAATATGCCTAGGAAATATTGAGAGGCATGGGACGCACTTTTGAACCAACACATAGTGGCAGGTCGACTATGACCTTCCTCCAGCTCATTCATCTCCCCTGCATTCCTGATACCAAAGAAGGACCCAACTGTGCTACCAAGATGGGTGAACAACTACTGGCAGCTGAATGCCAATACTGTACCCGACAACCATCCATTGCTGTGTATCAAAAAAATCCTGCAAGATTGCACTAAAGGTAAAATCTTCAGAAAGATTAATATGACTAACTCGTTCTTCCAAACATGTATCCATCCTGACAATATCAAGTATATGGCTATTGATACACCAAAAGGACTACATGAGTGGACCATAATGCCACAAGGGGGGAGAAATGCACCTGCTACTCATCAATGACGAATGTTCATTGCCCTGCAAGGACTAATTGGAAAAATCTGCCATGCATACTTGGACGACATTATCATATGGTCTCAGACAGTGGTGAAACACACATGAAACACAAAACTGGTGCTGGATGCACTATGAAAGGCATGCTTGTTTTGTTCACCAAAGAAAACATCTCTGTTCTGCACCGAAATCAACTTCTTAGGACACCATATCTCAGCAGCTGGCATTGAGGCTGATGCATCAAAGGTGAAATGGATACTGGACTGGCCAACACCACAGTCCACAAATGATGTCTGGTCCTTCCTGGGCCTGGTAAGATATTTAGATCAATTCCTTCCACACCTCACAGATTACACACAAGTGTTAATGCCCTTAATGACAAAAGCAAGTGAAGCTGAATGGCCAGGGTGGTCTCACAAGCACCAAACAGCCTTCAACACCATCAAAAGACTTGTGACAAGCCAAGATTGTCTGACAACCATTGATCATGACAACCTTGGAGAAAACAAGATCTTCATGACTTGTGACGCCAGCAACTGGCAGACTGGTGCATTGTTGAGTTTCAGACAAACACCACAAACCGTGTGACCAGTGGCCTTCAACTCCATGCAGTTGCAAGACGCACAACTGAACTATCCTGTGCATGAAAAGGAGCTACTGGCAGTTGTCCACGCATTAAAAAAGTGGCATGTCGAACTGCTGGGAACACCCTTCACTGTGTATACTGATCACAGGATGCTGGAGAATTTCATGACACAATGCGAGCTATCATGGCGACAGGCTAGATGGCAGGAGTTCTTCAGCCAGTATGACTTCAGCATCCAATATATTCACAGTGAAGATCATCAGCAAACCAGGGGGTACCTGTACAGACTTGTACAAGTCTGTACAAACTTCACAGGGACACAAGGAAGTCCCCTCTTTACAGTCCTGTACAAGAGTGTCACAAAGTAGTACAGTCCATACAGTCTGTACAGCCTGTACAGGCTTGTACAATCTGTACATTTCAGAGCAGCCATATTTGTTCAATTATGATACTCAAAACACCCAAAATGCGAAAATGTAAAAATTGAAGTCAAATTCAAAGTAACTACTACATAGACATATACACTACTAACTGAAGATTAAACTTACTAAACTGGACAAAAATGCGAAAATCTAAGGTCAAAAGAAGAATCAAAGGAGAAAAGGAGAGGGGAGGAGAGACTCACTAAGAAGATTTACCAAATAGTCAAACATGCGAAAATTGTTGGGGAGGAGGAGGTAAGAGAGCTAGAAGGAGAGGATCAGAGAGGGAAGGAGAAGAAGAGATAGAGGAAGACTCACCAAAGAGGCACAAGTGCGAAAATTAAAGGGAGGAGGAGGAGGAGGAGGAGGAGGAGGAGGAGGAGGGAAGAGAGCTAGAAGGAGTGGTCAGAGAGGGAAGGAGAAGAAGAGAGAGACTCACCAAAGAGGCACAAGTGCGAAAATTAAAGGGAGGAGGAAGGAAGAGAGCTAGAAGGAGGGGTCAGAGAGAGAAGGAGAAGAAGAGAGAGAGAGAGAGAGAGACTTACCAAAGAGGCAAAAATGCGAAACTTAGAGGAGGAAGAAGAAGGGAGATAGCTATAAAGAGGGAACTCACCAGACAGAGGAGGAGGAAGACAATGTCAGAGAGTTGAACACAAAGAAAGAGAAAAAGACTCACCAAAGTTCAAAACACCAGTACCAGTACCAGCACCACCCACCTCCAACATCAACATCAACATCAACATCAAAGAAGAAGAGAAGAGAGGCAAACACTTGAAAATTATTAGAGAAGGACAGTGAGTGAGAAAGACTTTGGTTGACCGCATTTTTGCTTATATAAGCAGTGCCAAACAAAGCTGCATGATGTGGCTGGCAGAGACTTAGACCCTGTTCAGCAACTGTCATTTGAACTCAAATTGCCAACAACACAATTTTGCTGTGGCACAAGAACATCAGAATACAAATGGAGTCTGGAAGTGACAGGTAAGTGATAGTAATGCTCACCATATGATAAGATCAGATATTGCATGTATCCAGTATCATTGAATGTATCAAGTAGACCTTCAATCATTGTTCATGCAGGCATCAATATTTACTTGCCCACTATTGATCCCACAGGATCATCTTATAGCTCCACTCCAACCACTGGATCAAACAAAGCCAGCAAGAGCAGTGATCTGCTAGCACATTCTTTGTTATATCTCACTACTTATCAACATACTTCTCATTGCAACCATGCAAATACTGCTCTCACAGATACCTCAAGAACCAGAACCTTACCATACATCCACATTTTCTGGACAAGAATGGGTTATTGAACTCATTATTGGCCACCCAGAACAAATTCGTTGTGAGCTTGGTGTTCATGCACATGTATTTGAGTGCTTGATCAATGAGCTTCATGCTCTTGGTCACACAGACTCACATTATGTCTCACTAGAGGAGCAGCTCGCAATATTTTTATACTCATGTGTGACTGGACTCACAGTATGACATGTTGGGGAGCAATTCCAACATTCAAATGGCACAATTTCTTGGTAAGTTCAAATTATGTTTCGAATTTTATGCTTAATGCTAACTCTGTTGTAGCTACTTTCGAAAGATGCTTGATATTTTCTCAAGCCAGCCTTTCTATATGACCTATGTCCACCTTCCTACTGCCAACACACCAGTCTCAGCCGAAATTCATAATAACCCAAAGCATTGGCCATATTTTAAGGATGCCATTGGAGCTATTGATAGGAGCCATATCCACGCCTTCCCTCCTGCATCTGAACACCACCTCTACCATAATCATGAAGGCTTTGTATCACAGAATTGTCTATTTAGCTGCGACTTTAATCTCAAATTCACCTTTACACTTACCAGTTGGGAAGGATCTGTGACTGATGCACATCTATGGGATGAAGCACTTGGGGGGGGCTTAAAACTTGCACCTGGCAAGTATTTTCTTGCAGATGCTGGTTTCCCCTCTCGTCCAGAGCTTATGGTACCTTATCATGGAGTTCATTATCACCTTGCCAAATGGGGGCATGCAAGCATAAGGTGAGCTTCAATTTTTTTTCGAATTTACACTTAATTAATGTTATTTCCAGACCAGTTAATAAGGAAGAGCTATTCAACCTTTGTCATGCATCTGCATGCAACATCATTGAATGAATTTTTGGTGTTCTAAAGAGGTGCTTTCATATCCTACTAATATCCCCAGAATATAAGATGCAAATTCAGGTGCGCATCCCTGCTGCACTCTGCATCATCCACAATTTCATACACACTCATGATTCAGACAAGGGACCTCTCCCACAAGCTGCCACCATTAATGACAATCCTGTGAACCAAGGACAGCCTAACAATACTGATACCAGTGAGAATGAGGGTGCAGGTGTGGACACAGATGCATATGCAAGCTCAAATGCATTCTGTGATCACATGGCAGCACAAATGTGGGAAGATTATGAGAGATATATCCAGGAACATGATTTTGCAGAGGACACTTACCTTTTGGATGTTGATGAGCTTGATACTGACAAGGAGGATGATTTTGAGCATGATATGGAGGATGCAGATACTTAATAATGTATTCATTTTGTATTTTCATACATGATCGATCAATTGAAGTGCTCAATTTCATTGGATTGAAAATACGAAGTGTAACATGCTAATTCAAAGTACAGAAACATGCAACTTGACTGGTGAATGCACTAAAGCTACAAATTGAGACTGTTTTTCACCTGCTCAATGATACTTTGTAAAAAAGAAATGTGCAGATCATTCTGCATGATCTGAATGTATGTGCTACAGATTGCTGGGCTCCTCATGAACATGTGCATAAGGACAAGCTTGTCATCCTTCATCAAGCTCTCCTCCTCTTGCATGGTCTGCAAGGCGCATGATCTATCATCTGCCACACAACTCTCATCAGTTGTCCCAAATGCTATAGTGAGAGAGTCTGTCAAGTGGTTGATAGTGCCTTGAAGATTCATTAGTACAGCAGTGTTAGTGGCCTCCTTTACAACCTTCTTGCTCATGCTCATGTGTGACCTGCTACTGCCCTGGGTCAAAAGCTTGAGTTTCTTGTCTGATAGTGTATCTGACATCTGCAACACAGAGGTGGAAGTGGGAGGGAAGCGATCAAACAACATATCAGAATGAGAATGCTTTCCTGAGCTGGATGTTGATGAGAGAGGAGGAGCAACTACAATGGAACTCAAGGCTACTGGGAGCCCAGTGTCAAGACATGGTATGTTCCAAGTAATAGGCTCATGGGCGACCTCATCACCAATCCCATCAGTCATACTTGGACCAGCACTCTCTGAGGCGTTATTGGTAGAGGGACCTGCTGGTATGTCCTCTGAGCCTGTGGCAGTGATAGCACTGGTATCACTAGGGGCTGCATCAGCTAATGGGTTATATGCTGCCACCCCATGGGCAGCACTGTCCTTTTTCAGAAGTTGCTCCATCTTAGCATAAAATCTCCAGCCATTTTTGAACTGTTTCATGCCTGCATTGGACTGTACTGAAAGTGAGCGTCATGTGTGATGGTGTAATAATAATCATGTACCGGGTTGGTGATATAGGACATCCAAGCATCTTCAGCAGCAGTGCCTTCAATGTTGGCACCAATCTGAGGGTCCCAGTGAACGCTGGACTTGTGGCAGTATTTATTGATTTGATTGAAGGAACCCTTGAGCTAAGTTCAAAAGATCAGTTATGGGAATGGCAGAAGGAAGGGGGGATGACACTCAGTGCAAGATGACTTACTGATGTAAACTTGTTTCTGCAGTGCATTCCAGTTTTGATGGGGCCATGTGTCCTGATATTCTTGGCTGCTATAGCACTAGCAGCTTTGTTGAACGTCTTGATCTTGAAAGATGTTGCTCCCATCTTTGATCTATTTGCAATAAGGTGATCTAGGAGGGCATTGACCTCTAGGTCATTCCACTGTGCCTTCTCCTTTGATCCACTGTTGCTGTCACCTTGATCTTCTTGAGCGATCTGCATGATTTGGAATTGTGTACACAGTATGATAGCAGATACTGCAGCAAAGACCTGCTGTTGTTGCAGGATATTAGTTGTATGATCACTAGTAGGAGTAAATGTAGTCATGGTCGGAAGGAAAGAGATTCCAAACCCCACTATCAGCTGCCTCTATGCTGCCAGCATACATTCTCACATTTTGCTCAAATGACAGTTGCCGAACAGGGTCTTAGCGAATTTTTGCATTCTTGCTTATGTAAATAAGTTGTGCCTTAATTTTCTTGAACCCACCACTTTCTAGTATTTTGCTTATAACTTACTGAGATCTTAACTGAAAAATGTCACGAGACCATGGATAGGCTCCACTTAATAAGGGCTACAACCATCATTTTGGTCAAAAATTTAAGTCTCTGTACAGTATGTACAAGCTTACTCAAACAAGAGGAATATGTGAAACCTTGTGATGCTTGTGAAACCCTGTGAGTGCTTGTAAGGCCTGTGAGGCTTGTGACAAAAATCCTAGTTTGCTGATGATAACACAGTGGCAGATGCCCTGTCACACCTCCCCCCAGAGGTTGACAGCTTACCAACATACATAACACAAACAAGACACATGCCAACCTCAATTGACAGCAACGTCAAACCTATAGCGTTGATCTTGTCCATAGCACCAGACATGACATTGTTGAATGACATCAAGACAGGCTACCTGTCAGACAATTGGTGCATGAAACTTACAAAGTTAATTGATTCTCTGCCAGGCCTACAATGATGTGACGGCCTACTATACCTCAACGACCAATTGATAATACCTCACATAACGCACCTCAGAGAAATGATCTTCTGTCTGGTGCATGACCAATTGGGTCACTTTGGGATAGATAAGTTGTATGCTGCCATACAAGAGTCATTCTATTGGCCAAATATGTGTCGGGACCTGGAGGAAGCATACATACCAGCCTGCCCAGAATGCGCACAAAATAAAAGTCAAACTACAAAACCCACTGGTCCATTGCATCCCCTCCCAGTGCCAGACCACCAAGGAGAATCCGTGGCAATCAACTTCATAGGACTGCTACCCATGGAACAAGGCTGGAACAGAATTATGACAATTACAGACCATCTGGGCACAGATATACAGCTGATTCCATGTCGCATGAACATGAACACACACAAGATTGCAAACTTGTTCTTCAATCATTGGTATTGTGAAAACGGCCTGCCCTTGAGTATAGTATTGGACTGGGACAAAATTTTCACAAGTAAGTTCTGGAGGGCACTACATTGCCTGACAGGGGTAAAGTTAAAAATGACAATGGCATACCACCTGCAAATGGATGGTGCGAGTGAGCATACTAACAAGACTGTTGATCAAGCTCTGAGGTTTTTTGTCAACCAACACCAAACTGGATGGGTAAACTCAATATGATGTCAACAACAAATGCATCCACAGGATATATGCATTTCCACTTACACCTCAGAAGAACACCTCATTTGCTACCACCACTGACACCAGATATCATACAATCAGTATGTGAAGACTTTCCCACCAATGTCAGTGACACACTTGAAGCAATTGTATCCCTCAAGACAGACGTCACTGATGCACACAACATGCTACTCGCTGCAAGAATAGGACAAGCTCACTCTGCAAACACACACAGAAGTGACGAACCTTCATTCGCAGTCAGGGACTTCATATATCTCTCAATGGCACACCAACGACACAAATACCTCAATGGCGATGGGAAACAAGTGGCAAAGTTCATGCCTCATTTTGACAGACCCTACAGCATAGTGTTGGCAAACCCTGAGTCATCTACATATACTCTTGACTTACCAGAACACACTAACGTATATCCCACTTTTCATGTGTCAGAACTAAAACGCCATGTCCCAAACAATGCAGAACTCTTCCCTTCTTGCGAACTCCAACAACCAGGTCCAATTGTCACAGCAGGTGGAATGGAAGAATGGGAAATAGAGAAAATCATTGACAAGAGAACACACAGACATGGGCACCAATATCTGATTCACTGGTGCAGGTATGGCCCTGATGTGGATGTTTGGGTACCAGGACAAGATCTTGAAGACATGGACATGCTAGAAGAATATGAGAAAACAAATATGAAGTCTGATGAAGACAAAAGCATACCTCAAGGTCAAGAACAACTGTGCATATACCTCAAGATCAAGAACAACAGTCACATCGCAACAAGAACATCAAACGCCACAACAAATTCTTCGGAGAATGAGAGGGTGTAAGCTGGACGCTTACACATCAGGGTTTCTGATATTTAGGATAGCCCAAAATGTTGTAATTTTTGCACTAAACTTAAAGTTTAAGCCACCCAAGGCATTTAAGCGTGGTTTAAATGTTGTCCTAAATATTGCAAACCCCGATGTGTTATCACATGTTTATCTCACGCATCATGCACGCATCACGTGAAGTTTACCCCATATATATATATACGCTACCATTATGTTACTTTACGCTAGACTCGGGTCTCCTACCTACTTTCATCTGCTCATCTTGTTGGACTCCGAGAGATCCGAGAGCACCAAGACCGAAGGATCCGAGATAGAGAAGGGAAGTGAGTGAGAGGTACGAGCACAAGCCAAAATGGGCAGAGGCGAGCGACGTATTGACGTCGGCTCGCGCCCTACATTATTTTCTATGTTTCATTCTTATATCCGAGTCATAACAGTACTCACCTTAAAAGCGTCAGTAGAAACACCCTAACATCTCAGTTCTTTCAAGATACTGAGATGTAAGCCACATCGTCACCCGCATGCTACAAAGTCTAACGATAACGTAGTGTACTTGTTGTATAGGTAGACGAGACATTAACAGAGTTCTTTCAAGATACTGAGATTGTACTTGTTGTATAGACTCCTCGCCCCTCTCGCTCGTCTCAAAACAAGACATCTGTATAACGCTCTAGAAATACACAGTTTCGTCCTGTTATCTCGTCCGGTTATCTTAGTGTTCCCCGCCATCTCCTTGGCGAGGTCACATGGGGTCACTTTACCGACATGTTCTACGTGCACCCCGGCAGCCCACTCCAGCCCCTTTGAGGCTCCACGAGATGATGACGCTCAAAGTTGAACAGACTACACTCCAGCTATAGTACCGTAGTCGACGTTTGTTGTCTTTTCTTTCTCTCCTACCGATGCTAAGTGACTGATTCAATTTCAAAAGAAAATCCAGCCGTTGGATAGCGGGCACTACCTTCGGTCCTCATTGCTGGCAAAGTCTCATGAGGGACGTATGAACTAGCTGAAAGTCGAATGTTTGACATTGATGTCATGCACCCGCTTCCGTTTTTATCACCCTCCTGCCCCTCACCTCGATCGTGCTCCCGTTCCTACCGCCGAAAAACATGTCATCATTCAGGGTAACATTACCGAGCTTCGTCTGATGTCGACGACGCTGTAGAATTCCTATTCTCACAGTATATTCAACGCGCAAATTCCTATCTGCAGGGAATGTCTTCATCGACGATTTCAATGACGTCGTTCTGGAGCCAGTGCGTACCTGCACCGGTACTTCGTTGAAGTGCAAATTCCACAGGCAGGCGAAGTTCTCTATCTGCCGTGCATCACATTCTCTTTTAATCCAGCGCGCCACGACGTTCAATAGCTCGCAAGGTCTGATACTCCGACGCACCGTGGTTGACCTTCGCACAGATGAATTTGCGCATGGTCAACTGTACACAGCGCTGTCGAGAGTCCGAAATCAATGCGATGTTCGAACGTTGTGGTCACCCACGAATGAGGAAAGAGAGACGACGAATGTAGTTTACTCTTCGTTACTAGAGACTGTCCGCAGGCGAGCGGAGCGTTTGTATATATGTATGTTGCGAAGTAGATATAGGTCATACAAGAGGTTTTGGCGAACTATGAATAGAGATCTCTCCTCGACGCTGAGGTTCGCGCACTCAATCTCGGTAGTGTTATCAAGATCGTACAGGCTGCACTTCGAGGGTCCCCTTCTTCTTGCAACTGCTACCGATCACAACTGGCGGATGCTGAGTCAGCTTCAATCAAATTTCAAATTTGTGGTCGAAGAACTCCATCTCACTGTTCTCACTGTCAGGTATTCGGAATCGCTAGGGCACTGTCCACTTTAATTCACGTTCGTTCGCAGTAGACGACGAAGCCTTGACAGGCTCCATGGTAGCACAATCAGTTTGCAAAGCAACAGGGTCAGAAATCGGTAATTTAGGTTTTTAAATCGCCTTGGACTAGCTAATTTTTTGCTAGACTTCAGCTACTTCGGTGGTGCTGAGTCTTTCACGGAAGGGAAACGTTCTCCACGTCGGACAACCGTTGTTTCTCCTTCTGAACAGGATGACGGTGTGTCCTACCCAGGTCCACCCCAAGACCCCACAGAATTTCTGTGGATAATGACAGAGGAACCTCACCGCTCGCGACGTATGGCGATCATGAAAGCGCACCCTGAAGTTACGAAGCTCATGGGCTACGAACCTCTCACAAAATACGTCGTACTGGCTGTCGTGTCACTGCAGCTCTACCTTGCCATGTATCTCCGACACTTTCATCCGCTCTCTTTCCGCTTCCTGTTCCTCGCGTATGCTGTAGGCGGTACCACCAACCAGAATCTTTTCCTCGCCATTCACGAGATCACGCATAATCTAGCATTCAAGGGCATAAATACAAACAAAGCCCTGGCTGTTTTCGCGAACTTACCCATCGGTGTACCCTATTTCGCCGCATTCAAGGTATGTAACACGTGTGCGAGCAAGCGTGGGCTGACGGAGACTGCGGGTGCGCCCAGAAATACCACATAGAGCATCACAAACATCTTGGAGAGGATGGGATAGATACTGATCTGCCCACAAATTTTGAACTGCTTTGTCTCAATAACGTTCTTGGAAAGACATTTTTCGCGTGAGTCCAGCGTTCCGTCTAGCATGTAGCTTAAACTCACCTATATATTAGGACGTTCCAGATATTCTTTTACGCCCTGAGACCTGGCTTTGTCAGAATGCAGACGCCCACCCGATGGCACTTGTACAATGTGATTGTGCAGCTTCTCTTCGATTATGTCCTAGTGCGCACCTTCGGCATACGCCCCCTGCTATACCTGCTCTTCTCGAGCTTCTTTGCCGGGAGTCTGCATCCATGTGCAGGCCACTTCATTGCCGAGCATTATGTATGGGACGGTCTCAACCAGGAAACCTATAGCTATTATGGTCCCCTGAACATCCTGGCTTACAACGTAAGTCGTTTTGCAACGTTTCTCGCCTACGTTGATCATGTCGCATAGGTTGGCTACCACAACGAGCATCATGACTTCCCTTCCGTGCCATGGACGCGTCTTCCAGCATTGCGAGCACTGGCACCAGAGTTCTATGATATTCTTCCCTCACATCCCAGCTGGCCGATGGTCATCGTGAACTTTATTCGAGATAAGGAGGTCGGCATCTTCGCACGCGCAAAGAGGATTGCCAAGAACAACAAACAGAAGCATGAGAGTTCAAGCTCAAGTAGTGATCAGGAGTGAGGTGGTCGACTAATATTTAGGTGCTTTCTTAATGGACGCTGTATATACATCGCCATACGATAATCAATCGGATCTGCAGCAAGGAAATGTGGATCGGTATTCGCCTTCAGCGTATCTAGAGTGGCGTATGTCCGATGACTCCAATCTCTCGTGCTCGTCTACCAGTCTTCTCCCCTTTTTTGCTCGTAGTCCAACGTTCGTTAACATTCTCCAGCCTGTCAAAGGATAACGCCGACTTGATGCCAACCTTCCTTTTTTGGCATAAACCTTAACCCCAAATATTATCCTCTCCTGATTCAATGACATTTCGTGTCCAGGTCAAACTGAGGCAAAGTAACTTGTGCTCGTCAACTTGGCGTCAACGTCATCAAATATCATCATTGGGTATTCTAGACACAACTTATATATTAACTATTCGATTGCAACTGTTACTCCACCGATTTGTGCAACCCAGTTGTAAATTTCGTCAAATGCCTCACTCTCGTCGTCGCAAAACTCATGCCCCAGCGCTCAGCCTATCGGACATCCCATCATGGGAGAGAAAAAGCCATTTCCCTGGCAACTCGCCCTTTTCTAGCGTTGCGTATCTCGCAAACCGACGTCGGACTCCATGATTATTTGCAGGAAGGAGATTTTCTATTTGCCATATCACCTCAGAAGCCAAACGGAGTGAATGAGGGATGCTACTTCGCCCTAGGATCTTCACTGGACGGAAACAGGAAGATGTTGCACATTGAACCCCCCTTGCATCCAGAAGGAGGTACTCTGTATGTCCATACATTCCCGAGGCTTCTCGAGTATGTGGAACCTGTACGCTCGCAAGTCCGAACTGTTCCTCGCCTTCCGTACCAACTTGAAAAATCCAGTTACCTCACCTTCTGTCATTCGGTCTTGGATGACCATGACAGAATTCTCCAAGACAAATACACGAACAATGAACGCTCATCCGGTGGAAGTGGCCCCGTGGGGGACGACTGGGTACGTGGAGTATCTGGCAAGAAACGGAAGGCATGCTCAAAACATACGGTCACGTTTTCGAATACTTGGAACCTCAGAATTTTGACCTGCCTTCTGTCCGACCGCCATCCATTTATCAAGAATTACTTCTGTACAACCAGTGAGTTGCCTCTGCTTAGCGCACTTCATTGCCCTCGCACGTTCTAGACTTGCATCAGACTACTCATGGGCGAGTATAACTGTTGCTATGAACAGGGCTTTGAAGTTGAGAAACGTAGGTCACTAATTTCGTGGGAATGTACCGCCCTTCGACGGAAATATCAAGGAACTTGCTCTAGCACTCTGATCGATAAAGATTCCCTTTGACGGAGACCCCCCCCCCCATAACTCAGACGGAAGGTCCCCTGGACTGGGATGATGAGCTCTATGTCGAGCCTGACGTCATCCCACGATACATGCCTCCTTTATCCACTTCGTCCACTAGAATTCTTGTTCTGGACCTCTTTGGTGCCATCCTTGTGAGTTTAAATAGTCGAATCTCTCACATGCAGTTTCAATTGCTCACCCGCAATCAGGGTCGTGATGGTGCTATAAACGATGCTATGCGTTTGCTATCACCATTGTATTCCGACAGATGCCGACTGTCTGAACTGCATCTCGAATACGAATTTATGAGACACAAAGACCATGTTGACACACCCTATATAGATATCGTGCACCACGCTTTGGAGGATGTCTGTACTTTTCTGGAACTGCCGCTCAACGAAGTAGTATTCCGCGAAGCTGTCCAGATTATACTGCAGCCTGGTTTATATGCCGATGCAGAAGCAGCTGTGGGGACGTTCCTGGATCAGGGTTATGCGCTGCTCGGTCTTCCGATCCCGGACGCGAAGTAATTTTCACTTCCTCAGCTTCCATCTGGTCTCCATGTTGACAATGAACCTGCGCCCCTTTCGGATCTCTTCTGCCAACACCACCCCATTTTTTCTGGCCTCTTGGAGCGCTATCGCGTAGCATGGGGCATCGCCGAGAAAAACCAGGTTCTTGTAGTGACTTCCAGCCCTTCCCGAGTGATGGAACCGGCACGCATGTTGGGTTTTCCAATGGCATCGGTGCAGCGTCCTGAAGGGCTAGGATCGAGACTCAACTTTAGAACAAGTGATTACAATCTCTATTAAGACAACTACAGAATACACTGTCTATCCATTCTCCTTTACCTCTCGGGCGAGTTCAATCTTTCAGGAGGACATTTCGCATCTGTGGCATGTATCAGACCGTCGGACGCATTTGCTTGGGATGGGAAGCTCTGGCATGTTTGCGTGCGGGCTGTTCTGTCTTGCACTCACTGATGCGCCATGACCTGACAGGACACGTGTCGAGTGCTTTCGGAACATAGCAAATACCTTGCAAGGGCGTCAGAACACACGAAGGACTGATCACCTGCAGGAAGATAACTTCGTTTAGACATTTCTCTGCGCTCTGATAGTAGTATATACCACTATTAACGACTTCACAATTCGGTTGCAGCACATTAGTGATGCGCATTGGACGACTACTCCTGGTTCTCGAGTCTCGGTGGTGGTACTTTCTTTTGTGCTTTTATAAATGAGCTGACGAAGTTATTACTACATATATGTAGCACCCAAGTTACATTTGTATCAGCCAATCGGCATCATTCATCTATTGTGAACCCTCTGTCAAGTTCTCTAGGTTCTGAAAGGTTCTGAGCGAGCTCCGTTGTTGTTCCTGAAGCTTCTTTGAGGTCACCGCATCAGCGTTTACCGATCGAGTTGAAGGAGTCTGATCAGATTCAAGGTACATACCATGGATCCAGATATTATACAGGTGCAACCTCATTCTGGGTTGCGTGGTTATCATCATACCAATGTTGCTTACCTGTCAGCCCTCGATAATGACGCAAGAGCACCACGGCATCCGAAGTTAACAAAAAGTTATTGATGCTGAGAACCTATCAACCACCGTCAGACATGCAACATTTTCATATCTATCTGCACGTACGAGAAGCCATGTCCTTAAAGCAGCGGCTCCAGCAGCTCGATCTATCATCTGCCAATTGTCGTTTATGAATGTCTTCGTTCCTTTGAAAAAATCCGCGACGAATTTGTTCCTGCCGCCCAGTTTGCATGTGTCAGATCTTCACGTTGAGTTGAACGTACCGATTGAGAAATATCCAGCGGAACCAAAGCGCCTGCATGACCTTGTCTTCATCTCTCACGTTGTCTATCTCAAAGATTTCTTCTTCTCTATCGATGATAACCCATGCGAGTACACCAAATTCATCCAGTGGCAGTGTGTTCAGAAGATCGTATAGCCGGGGACCGCCCACGCGGCATGAATGGATGCCATCGGACTCGAGTAGGTAAGGATACTGCGCTGCAGGCCCTAGGGGATCAGGTCGAGGAGGGGGTGTTGGCCTTCCAGAAGCATGACTGGAAGATGCATGAGACAGCGTGCGAGATGCTACAGAACTGCTGCGCGTAGTCGACAATGCCAATGAACCCGTACGAAGTATCGGGGTTGGTTTGATGTCAAGTTTACCTGCGCCAGGAAAAGGTTGAGATGCCACAGAGGTATTTCGTGATGGGGACTGCGTGGTCGCTGGAGTGTATTCGTCATTGTGAAAATTAGATGAGAAGTCGGTGATCTCTGTCGAAGCAGTCCTTGTCGAAGTTGTTGTCATCGCACGTGAATGGGGCAATCTGTGAAGCAGCCACCGTCGCTGATGTTCAGGCAGTGGACATGAAATGATCAGAGCAAAACCTTACAGTGGAACATGCCCACTGGCAGGCAATGCAACCGGTAATGCAACATGTCTTGGCAGCGGAAGTTGTACCCACAAAGTATAGTCGTCCTGCACGAGTTTGCTCAACCTTAGATCTTTTGTTGCTGCACATAACTTACCATATCCCACCAGAAACTTACTCCTACATGGTCCCACCGGAGATGAGCGTTGAGAATTTGCTGCGTAGGAAATACTCCGTGAAGTTCGCAAAGCGGACATCTCCAATGTGTCATTGTCGTTCGAGTTGCCTGTCGTTTTGGATATATATCCTCGGCGATTTGCGCTACGCAGTTGTATATCACCATAACGGGTTTAGAAGGTGGAATACTACGAGATGGATCAATTCCAAGGGATTTGCATCGAATGAGAAATCCTTTGCGGAGGTTTCGTAGCATGAAGGGAAGACGGTGTAATTTTGCGAGCCGGATAGTCGTCAGTGAAACGTTTTCCAAAGCCTCGATAAGAGCATCTGAGGGTATTTCCGCAGGGGCTTCATCCATTTCTGCAACATCTGATTCTGGGGATGATTCGGTTTGCTCGCGAGCAATGTTGGGAGAGTCGATGATAAGGTGCACATATTCCAGTTCCTCGCTATCTTCGCGCGCAGGAGCGGGTATCGCAGATTCGTCATTGTCAGATGATTCGCTGCTCTGGGAATTCATGGGAGTGACAGAACGTCGTATCTCGGATGGAGCCTTCGTCGATTTGCGTCCAAATTGAAATTTTCTAGCTGCTTTCACCTGGACACGGATTTTTCTACATGACCACTGTCAGACAGCACTCAACGGTTGCCATCAGTCAAAGACTCACCCGACAGAGTTGCCTGAAGATTCATCCCTGCTCAATTTGGACAACTTCAAACCGACATCGACATAGTTTGCGCTCCCGCTGCTATGTTCACTTGAGCTATCAACAAGATGGCCCTGGTTGCCACTCCTGTTTGCGCTGGACATACGAGGCACGCGTGAAGGTGCCCTACCGCCTACACCTTCGAATTTTCGCGCGTATTTTCCAGAAAATGGTTCTGTATGTGTGTGAGGGGACTTTCGTTGCGATTTAGTGGCATGGTGCTGATCAACTAAGAAATATTGAGCAGAGTACTGATGATATGATTTTTAAACGCTTACATGCATTGTTGGTTGTCTGTCTACCAAGACCTCTACGTGGGACTAGTCGGCATGAGCGCAGGGTTGTTGAGGATGTGCCTACTGTACGTACCATCTGCCGACGACTTCCTTGCAGCACCAGGTTGGGAAGATCTCTCGGGAAAGAAGGAAGCCGATTGAGAGGGAAGCTCTTCTCTTCTCTCCTGGGCACCAGATGAACCAAGACCTAGATTAGACCGTCCAGAGTTCTGCGCCACCCTATTACGGGCGACAGGACGCCGTTCCATGGGCAGTGGAAAGTCTTCAATGTTGAAAGTAACTTTCTTTGGACCCCTAGCAGCAACATCAGTTTGCCGCAGGGGTTCATGGATAGCTACATTTCGAGCAGCATCTTATGAAAGTGATAATGTCATTCATTCATTCACCATCAGCTAGTTTAAGTTACTTACCAGGTCGTGGTGGATTTCTACTGACTGGTCTCACGTTCAACTCTTGGTCTCTAGGACGAGTATCGATGCTTGAGTCAGCGGTTGCAGATTTTAAAACGGGAACTTTTGTTCCGAGACGATTGTCTGGCCTGGCGTCATTGACTATGGGGGCAGTTTTTGCAGCAACAAGCCTTGTAGGGTTATCGAGCCTTGGATCGGTTGTTGTGGCAGGGACTCGTGCTGCGATGCGACCGCCTGGCCCTAAGCTATCGGCAACAGTTTTTGTAGCAATACTGATACTTGGTCTTGTAGGATTATCAAGCCTTGCATCAGTGAGTTTCCGAGCGCTCTTAACGGTGCGAGGGGGAGGAGGAACTCGATCCCGTGGATCTGACATACTAGTACCATGAAGATGGATATCAATCAAGCCAATGGTATACTTATCAGTGTCATGTTGTCGTTGTCGCTGTACTTATCATTTTGTGACAGCGATGGGTGGCTTCGATAGCACGTGGGTGTGACAATTCGTGTTCCCGTCATGAACGTTGTTTGAACAGTCACGATTTACGATGACCCAAGGTAGCAACTACTAGCAAGTAAGGCCTCTTGGTTTTCTTTTGGTTTAATGTTTTGATTACTAAGTATCAGCTTAGCAGGGTCTGTGTACGCAATGTGTCCCCGCTGGTCTAGTCACGTCTGCAGTTCTCGGTCTCAAATTTGAAACAGCTGCGCCTTACTGTTACCCCCACACTCCGAGTTAGGCCCAGCTGAGAGTTCAACATTTTGTTTTGCTGGAGGTTGAACTAAATGAAGAGTTTGTATGAAAATTTTGGTTTACGATATCACTTCAATGAATTTGGAGGTTTGGTTCCAACAACGACTTGATACTGACACCACATCAAATCCTACGATGAAAAGAGGACGATCCAATGTGATCGCCCGCTTTCTCTGGCTATGAACCACGCCTCGGAGGACACAGACTGTCGTTCCCCAAACGGAATGCTGCCAGTGGTCCCTGACGGTGCCATAGCCAACCCAATTACTTTACCTCCCCCGGTTCTGGCTCCTCAGCTGAGCGCAACAATTTGACAATGGCATCGGATGCTTGGCGGGACTCTTGTGGAGTCCGAATCAACTGAATTGAATCGGATTACCCCTATAGATGTACTCATCGGATGTCTCAGATCAGGAGTATCCGCTCAGTTTGAAATTTCTTGCCGACTCAATTCAATGCTGTACCCGCTCGACTGTGATTATCCGAGGTGGCGGAAGTGACATCATCATCATCCGCCAAGCATCCCGGCTCTACGGCGATGAGGTCCTCTGATTGCTTCTGTTATATCATCGGCGTATAAAAGGGCCACAGATAATTTTCATTAACTCATTATCAACTCTCACATCAGTCTATCAAATCATCATGTACTCGAAATTCATCAGTATCGCATTCGTCCTCGCTGCCACTTTGGCACCTACCAGCGCAGTGGTCTTCCCAAGGGGCAGCAATGAGGTATGTCACCGTTGTCATTCACTTACATCAAATCTAATCTTTCGGGCCCACCTCTCAGCCTGCTACTACAACTCCCACAATCACGCCTACTGTTATTACTACGCCCCCGCCCACCACCATGACGTCGCCATCTTCTACCCCCACGACCTCTACCACACCTTCTCCCACTACCACGTCGTCCACGATTACACCTACTTCCACGCTAACGCCCACGACGACGTCGTCGTCCACGATTACACCTACTACCACGCTAACACCCACGACGACGACAGTCGCCTAAGCCTCCTATTACCTACGCCAACGCCCACGACGACTCCGACAACTCCGACGACTTCGACGTCCACTGTCAAGCCAACTGATACCGGCAAACCTCAGCCAAGTCAGCCGTCTACACCATCAGTGTCGTGTAATGGTGTTCAGCCATGGCAGGTTAATCTCGCAGTAAGTTGTATCTTCATCTCAGCTCTACCCCCGCTCACATCCGGCTCAGTACAGCGCAGGCGCTCAAGTGATTTTCAATAACCAACTGTGGACTGCTAATCAGTGGAGTTATAACAACAACCCTGAGTCCGCTGCCGGCGCGTGGACTGTGAACGGGTTTTGCAGCCAACCGATCAGCAACAAAGTTGATTGTACCGCAATCCCTGCGTGGAATCAGCCTACTGCTTACCCCGGGGGCTCCAAAGTGACCTTCAATGGTCATCTCTGGATCTCTACGCAGTGGACTCAGAGTAACAAGCCTGGTGATACTTCCGGAACTTGGAAGGATTTGGGTGCTTGCAACTAATATCATAGTTTGGACTTCTTAGATACTTAGGGGTTGTTTGCGTCGAAGGACTTTATCATGGACATTTCTTTACTGACTTGCTATGGACATAGTGAACATTAGATTTCTTTTATTTCTTTATCAATCAATTGTTTATATTTCCCGTTCATTTCATGTGATTTCTCATGACTATTCACATTGAACGCTGGTCAATAAATCCATCATATCTTTCTTTCCATTCCCAATGTCCTTGGCTGTGCTCAGATAATGCGCACGCTCCTATCATTCGACCAGCCACTCTCTAGCTGCGGAATAATCTCCGAACGAAAGTTGTGGCGGGTCTGTTGCACCTCCTAGTGCCAACGCCACAGTTACTGTGAGTTCATCTCTAGCGTCATTGCCTTTAGCCAGCTGTCAATCGTGTCAAATGTCAAACGCGATCGTGGTCGGATACAAGGGCTGACAATGATAAGGGGTTAGCTGGGCAGCCTGTACCTTGGAAGTATCGCTAACCGCTTAGATCTATGCAGGTATGATTCCGAGCTTGCACGAACCTAGGGGAGGTGAGGATCCTCAATATTCAAGGACGTCTAGAGCAATGTTGGGTAGTAACACCAGACTTAGATCCTGGCTCGGACTCTAGCTCCTCCCCATCCGACGAGAGTGGTCAGACGACGAAGATGAGTAGAGAACCGGTCCACAAAGATACGTAAGCACCCCGCCTATCGACAAGATCTGACGCGAGCTTCCACTTGGCCACTGGTACTCGCGCCAACTCAACCCGCCGAATATCAGCAAGCAAGGGTTCTTCAAGAATGAATTGTCATTGATGCGTAATAGCGAATTGGATGCTCAAGAACTGGGTTGGGGGGGACTATGACTGGAAAGATCGAGTGCCCCTTATCACCAAGCAGGGTCGGTTTCTCATCCTCTCAAGATGGGAGGCTGAAAGTGAAGAAGTGACCCACTGCTACTCCAAATGTAGTTGGCATGTGCCTCACCTTCAGAGATCACGTCATGAGGACATGAAGTATCCCTATTGAATCTAGAATCGTCACCGGGTCGCCTTTGGCGGAAGCTGGAGCGGTGGGAATACGGAAAGCGACTGCAGCTGCAAGTTCAAAACCTACTCTGAGCTTCCCTATTAAATGAGAGCCTTAACGTGAGGGACGCTTAGGCTGATGCCCCGTCCGAGTCACAACCACAAGGAGCACATAATGATCAACCATGATAGCCTGGGTAGGTAACAGCTTCAACCTGAACTTTCTCGAAGTCATTGGTACGACCAGCGGGCAGATAATGTTGACCCAGGAGCGCATAAGATGTACGAATGAATGTTTTCGTGCTTCAAAATTCATACTAATAGCATTTAGTTATTTGTTTTCCAAGAGTCTTTTTATCGGAAGTCGAGACGCGTCCTGTACTACGCGATGTCGCATTTGCACCTGCCTTATTTGCACATATTTGGCCAGGTTTACCGCTAGTTAGTTACTCACCAAGTTATGAGAGATTCTTTACGAGGTTTGGGTGTGCAGTGCACTCAGTTTTTCGTCCGATCATCAAACCATTGCAGTGCTTCCGGCCCCACACCGATCAAGTGAGTCCATCAGATCTGCCAATGGAGGCTTCATTCCAATCACAATGCAAATAGCAAAACGACTGTTTAAGGATAACTCCTGATGAGTCCAACTCTCTCTGTGGGCCATGGAGGACGCTGCACTAGGCTATTCCCCGAACGGTTACTGGCCCGCCTAAGGCAGTCGGATCGATCACATATTCTATAAGGACTGCCTCGTACCTCTGCATACTCCTATGATCACACGGCATGACTTCTCCAGAATCCAAACAGTGTGAGCGCAACAAATTTTTTGGTTGGCATCTGACTCATTATGCGCAAGGCAATATTGCAGATCCGAGTCGCAATCTCAATTGAAGTTGACCGATTAGTACTAGTGACACCCGTTGAATGCATTCAGCTGAATTGAATCGGACTATACCTATACTATACGCTTAGCATGGCACAGCATTCCGGCTTCAGGCCCTTCTGTTTTTTTTTACAGGCATGTCAATTTTTGCTCAACTCTTCACCGACTTCATCTCATCCCAGCACATGTACCCGAAGTTCATTACTGTCACACTCGTTTTCGGTTGTGCCCACGGGTGCAGTCCCCGTCTATAGAGACAGCGATAAGGTATGTCGTCACTTTCCTCGACTTCGTTGTGCGACAACCTCTTCCCAACCGCATGTCAGCCTCATGTGGCTCGGGCCTCTCCCCCAGCCACGGCTGTTTAAGTCTAGTGCAATAGCTTCCAGCTTTGGCAGGCCAATATCGTAGTAAGCGTTACTCGTCTTATGATCTTCCTGCGCTCACATCTCTGACACAGTACAATGGTGGCGCCTCTGTGATTTTTAACATCGAACTCTGGACTGCTAAACAGTGGAGTATCAACGACAACCCTGAGTTGACTCAAATCGGGGTTTACATCCAACCAAACAGTAACAAAGTCGATTGCGCAAGTATTCCTGCTTGGAGGGATTTGGGTATTTGTGAGTAATTACTTGATTCATATTTGACATTTACGTTTGGAGAGTTACCGGTTTACTTTGAAGCACTTTTTTATGGACAAGCTTGCCTGTATCCTTCTCAATTGATGTATTTCAATTCCTAGTTTATTTCGTTCAGAAATATATTCGAGTTCACCCCTTTATTCTGCAAGCAATCATACTTGTCTCTGTTGGCAATGACTAGCGACGCAGGACAACAATTTTCATCTGTCCCATCTTGACACATGTGCCATGCGTCTCTCAATCCATTTCTATAGTCCCTTAGCGATTTATACTCACATTTTTTGTACTTTTAGTCCTGGTGGACCCAAGCTTTTCAGCTGAAGACACTAGGCTTGTCGAATACGTCTATATTTCGGCAGACACTCACGAGCTCAAGTGCTGAGGGTATTGCGCTCCTCATATCTGGTGTTCTCGATGCAAGACTCGCAAGTCGAATGCAAAATTGATTAAATCTGTATGATTAAACACATCATCAATGCGCAAAACGGAAATCAAGTCTTCTGTTCCCAACATCCCTGGTCGTGCTCAGATAGTGTGTACGTTCCTGTCATTTAACAAGTTTTTAGCACCAGAGCCTTAGCTCTTTAGAAAGTCCACAATGAACTCACCTCTATCGTCATCGCATCCCAAATCTTAGCTCGTTGTCGGTTGCGCCAGATATAATATGCCTTCGTACCTGGGTACAGAATACAAATGTTGACGCAGCAGATGATGATGAGGATCTTGTTACCGTGTCGATCTACGTGCGGGGATGAGTGTGACAATTATGTTGCCTTGGAACGGAAAAGAGTAGTGACATACATCTGGGAGCATCGCTGGTTACGTAGACCTGCGCAGATATGATTCCGCTGGCTTGCACGAACCTAGCGGAAGGTGAGTACGTCTCCAATTTGAAAATGGAGAATTCCGCACATGTTGTATAAGGACGCGTTGACTGTTCGACTTGCCACTGCCCCGGCGTTACGAGAACACCACCCCACCTGAAACAATAGATGAGTATTTCGCTCGAGGGTCGTTCTAAGTAGTACCTGGATTGGATGGGTATAACTGGTAACACGAGGACATCAAAAATAGTCTTCAAGAAGATGAATGTTGACGAGTTCGAACTCACGGATATGACAACAGACCGGTCACCACAGCCTGAACAGTTGAAGTAAACCGCGTATGATGCGCCGCGTAAAACGCATTACTCACAAAAAATATCCAAGGGTTAGGGTTGCTAGGCAATGCATAGAGTGCAACAAGGAAAGGCAATGTCCAAAGGTCCTCCATCATCGACACAATAGAACGCTCGTTGACGGACTCTGAGACAAGCGTGATCACAAACATTGTGACAATTCCGAGAGCCTGAGAGGGTATCGTAAGGAGGTTGGTATCAAATGTATTGAATCTGGATTCCCGGTCTTGAGTGTGTCAAACGAAGGGATACTTGTGATACCTACCCGATATCTCTAAGTAGTAAAGTGAGATATGTCGAGGGGGGAGCGCTCGGGATGCCAAACATGAGGCCGCTACGTTTCATGAGTGCCTAACTCTTACAAAGCTCAGGCAAACGGCGTACAGGATGTAAATTGGCCAAAGGTCATAATCACACACTGCTGTCCATAGACGACGCAATGTAAGGCCCTCGCGGTTGTGCATGTCACCCTGAGGGAGTGAGCTGGTTAGTTATAGAGTCTAACGAGACTGGGACATAAATATTTACTTTAGTGGGATCATCCCGAATTACTCGATTGACAATAATGATTTCTTCTCTTTCCGTGAACCAACCGTTGGGCCGAAACCATGTTTTGGTCTGCGTTGGCGATGGAGGCATGCGGAAAAAGGAGAAAAAACCTATAAGGAGAGTGAGGATTCCCCTGTGGGAGGATCGAGTTCGCGCCCCTTATGTCATTAGAATTAAATGAACGTACTCAAGCATGAACAGCCACCTTCAATCAAGTCAGGTTTTTGCGAAATGAGCATCAAACTTCTACTGACCGCCATCCAGCAGCGCCGGCCACACCATCCATGTGAAGCGTCCCATAGGCTAGAAAACTGGCAACGATACCGCAGAAGTTTAAAGACATCCAGAACAGGGCGAGGCGGACGGGCAGCTCCGTCTTCGTATAAAAATCTGACCGAAAGGTCAGTAATGTAAGATGAGGTAGAAGGTAACTGACATACAAGATAGATATAATATCAAATCAGGGATAAAGCTGTGGAGTGTAAAAAAAAGTGGACCCGAGCGCGCGCAGGAGTTTGACTTACCCGCCTTGCAAGGCGCTGAATTCACTAGTCAGTGAAAAGAAGCTTTGGTGCAGTAATTACATGATATTACCCAAGAAGCGCTCGGCAGACTAGGAACGAGGTCCTACCGGTCAGCCAGAATTGCGACAGAGACACGAAACCTATGAGCTACCGATGAAAACCGTTTTGATACAGTTTGTTCTGTTACATACTCCAAAGGCAAATTTGCGTTGGTATCCAGCGATCTGGGCCGATCTTCAACACGACCATAAGCCACACGAAACAATCCACAGTAAATACACGCACTCGCTTCGAGACAAGCTGTGACGGTAATTCTGTGCATAAGAATGCCAACTTGAATACGGTATTTCCGAGGTTGAAGTCTGGATGACTAAAGTCAGGATAATATCCGGATGACAATCAGACAAACTTGCCGTCTGTAGTCAATCCAAGATCCTGCAAAAAACTGCCCGAGTTTGCCTGGTTGATGTTGCTCCTGTCCAAGTTCAACGCGGAAAATCCAATAGCTGCCATAACCATAATCTTCCGATCCAACTTGCGAACCAGGGCCTTCCTCCCATTTAACATGAGCAACCTCACTTTGAACCACGATAAGTATAGAAGCTGACCCTTTCTTCTCTGTGCGTCCAACGAGCGGTTGGATCGAATCTGTGAAGATTCTCGTAGTCCTTCTTGGGCCAATAGTGTGGTGCAAGGTCAGGATCATCAAAAACAGAGCGTCTGGTCGCGATTGCATCAGGGTCACGGGGGACCGTCTGCCTTCGACGAAAGATGGTCGTTGTCCATGAGAACTGTTCCTCTGCCTCATTCACCAGGTCGTCAGTGGGCAGAGAAGAACTTCTTTTGCCAATAGAAGATAGTGAAGAGACGGGCCGACTCAGGCCGTCCGTTGTCAAGATTTTCTCCTCTGGGGCAGCACTCACAGAGGTCGTCATCTCGGTGAGAGAAAGGAACAAGTCTGGAGGAAGAATCCCCGTATAAAAGTACTCAAGACAGGCACGGCTGAGCCACATCTATCTCCACTTGCATGTAACACGGAATTGTGCGAGTGATATCACATTCCTGATCAATGGCGCAAGATCCTATTCTAACAATAGGCATGCGATTGACAATCATCATTGACTTGCAAATTTTGCTACTTGTCATGACGGTTGACGGAAATGCAGCGCGAGTTTAATGACTGGATCTTGGGTTCGCCTAAGTCAGTACTCGCAGAAACAACATGTTCATCCCACTGCATTCAATGAGCTGTAATGATAGACCTGTCAGCAACGCTCCATGAAGGATCGGCAATTTGAGTGCATTTTACACCCCATGTTCGGAAGTGGCTGTCAGAAACTAGAGGCACACCAACAGGGATGTGACTAAAGATGTTATCATGCATGTGGTGTGCTTCACAAAGTGGCAGAGGTGGGGAAAAACAACTTTGTACTAACCAGACATCGTGCATCATGGGGCAGCTAACGCTGAGTGATATCACGTATGAATTGCGATATTTGGCGCGACCGTCTAGCGTCTAGCGGTGACTGTACTAGTAGCCTGGTCACCATAAAGTGGCACGCCTGATACCCTTAGTACCTATTGTGGAAACAGTGAGTGTTGTTGGTTGGCGGTAACTAGGAAAAGAAGATGCAATTGATTCATATTGAGTTCTCCCAACATTTCATAAGCCTGTAGCAGCGCTGCAGTTTGAGGAACCACGTGGCTTACCAATTTTGGTCTCAGGTATTGGGTGCTCACTGTTGTTGTACTTACCCGCCCAGCACGGCCTCCAGTTGCGCAGCAATGAAGTTCACAAAACCTGCCTGGGTTATGCACAAGGGTGAGTATTGAAGTGTAAGGAATATTTGCTTCTTGACCATCTTCTGTCACCCAGATAGTTCCAAAACTGACCACGACACGAAGCGTCTCTCCATATTTTCCGTTCATGTTCATCCTGATGGTTCTCGCATAGCGACGGGAGGGTTAGACGCCAAAATTCGTATTTGGAGCACGAAACCTATTCTTAACCATGCATCCGAAATGTGCAATCGACCACCAAAGTCTTTGTGCACACTGAGTATGCATACAGGTCCCGTATTGACGATTAGGTGGGCACATTCTGGGAGATGGCTTGCAAGTGGGAGCGACGACGAGATTGTGATGATATGGGACCTTGATCCGTGAGTTTGATATATGACTTCGATGTGCTCCTGAAACATCCATTTGCGTTTTCTCCTTTAAATATAGATCGGGTAGGAGTAAGGTCTTTGGTTCCAATGAAGTCAATGTAGAAGGATGGAAACCAATGAAGCGACTTCCAGGCCACGAAAGCGGTGAATTGGGCTTGTCCACTTGTGTTTCTATTTGCACTGAGCAAATTCCAGACGTTACCGATCTGGCGTGGGCGCCAGAGGATCGTTACCTCGCCTCAGTTGGCCTTGATTCCGTCGTTCTAGTCTGGTGTGGATATACCCTGGGTGAGTTGAATTTGCACTCTTGCTTATACCGTCCGCAGCTATCGGTTTATTTCACACTTCAGTAACTGGTGCTTCCACATACCTTCGAGCATTTCTTTCCAGCTTCAGTAGTTCAGCACGAGAAGTTCATTACTTATACTACTTTCAGAACGTCTTAGAAAGCTGGATCAACATCAAGGATTTGTCAAAGGTGTTTGTTGGGATCCTGTAGGCGAATTCATGGCCACTCAGTCTGACGACAAGTCCGTGAAAATTTGGAGAACAACCGATTGGCAACTCGAGGCAGAAATCAGAAAACCCTTCGAGGACTCTCCTGGCAGCACGTTTTTCCGCCGTCTTAGGCGAGTGCCGCCAGTCACATTAATTAAATCGTTTTCTCACAGAGTTTTGCAGTTGGTCGCCTGATGGTGCTCACATCACTGCTTCGAATGCAACGAACAACAAAGGCTTCGTTTTCATTGCCGCAGTCATAACTCGGGGCACATGGACTTCTGAGATCAGTCTAGTTGGTCATGAGAACACAGTAGAGGTTGCGGTACGTGCTGACTGTGTATGAAGTGCTGCCATTCTCATGCATATTGCAGGCCTATAATCCCCATATTTTTCTGCGAAATCCCGCATCACCTATAGCTACATCTAATATATGCTCTGTAGTTGCTCTTGGCGCGGATGACAGATCCATTTCCATCTGGCAGACAAAATCTGCACGACCTCTCATCGTCGCACGTGAAGTTTTTGAACGACAGATCATGGATCTCAGCTGGTAAGCTTCTCTTGACCTTCGTTGAGAATCTGACTAATCCTTTGTGAAGGTCCTGGGATGGCCTGACTCTCTATGCCACATCTTCGGACGGAACGATAGCCGTTTTCCATTTTGACCCTGAAGAATTGGAAGGCATTGCTCCCATTCCGCTCAAGAGCAATATCTACACAAGTTTGGCTTTGTACCGCCACCAATTCCAGAAGGATTTTCGCACGGCACTTCCATCCATAGTACAAATGCTGCTTCTGCATCGAGGATCACGCCGCCACCCTCCCCAAATCGTGCCCAATCGCAATCGCAATCGCAATCGCAATCCGGTTTTGGTACATCGAATGGGATTAATGGTGCCGAGCACATCAACAAGCTCGTTGCAAAGAAGAGCAATAAGAAGAGAGTTCAACCCGTGCTTATGTCGTCTGTGCCTTCTGCATCGACGTCACGCTCAGCCCTAGTATCGACTTCCGCGTTGCCGCCTTCAGCAAGTGGCCTCGGACCGCGTGCATTCCAAGTGCCAGAGATCCCCCGATCGCGCCAGGCATCGCACTCTGCATCACCCGTGCCAAGCCCACGAACTTATGACGCTGATATTGAGATGGGAGGACCAATGGATATGGATGTTCCCATCGATGCACTTGATACAAGTATGTCAAGCGCAAACAAGGGCAAGCGGAAAGCATCGGTCCTTGACACGCCCGAGGACCGGCCGTCTAAGCCCCGTACCCTTGGTGGCGATCGACCAAGGGAAACAGTTGCAGTGCGAGAAATCACATCAACGAGTTTGGTCTCGACACGCCCGCAACTATTCGAGGGTGCAAATCTGCTGCCTGTCCCTCCACTGTTGACATTCTTAAGTGCCAATGTGGAGGGAAGTGACTTTGTCTTCGAGGCCCGAAATTCGGAAGGAGATGGTTCGTAAGATCTTCCATTCGTTCTGATTTGGCTGATGTTTCTTGTAGGGGCCACGGAAGTAACGTTTGCTGATGGAAAGCAAACACTATGGCTGGACTATCTACCATCTCCTGTGCTCGCGTTGACCGCGTCCACAACATTTTGTGGGGCTGCCACGCAAGACGGTTCTGTCAATGTGTATTCACACACAGGTCGAAGGTTTGTGGTAAAACGGAAGTCTCATCATTATCTTGATAATATTTGGCAGATTGATGGCGACTTTAAGCTTTGGGTCACCGTGCGCGATGATGCACGGCTGCAAGCTGGCATTAATGATACTCACAGCTTCTGGTCAGCTAAGCTCGATGTAAGTTGCATAACTTCCTTTTGTTCTATAGAGCTTACCCTTCTTAGAAACGTGAAGAATGTTGCATCTTTCTTTCCACCTACATCCGTTGCACCTCTCCTCTCCTCTTCGCCGAATTGCACGATATTGTCTGCCACTGTTCGACATAACGGCGCACCAATGATTCATTGCTCTTCCGGTATCGCGTATACTTACGATACTCAGCTTTTCTCCTGGACAAAACTAAGTGAGCGCTGGTGGGCAGAGGGCTCGGATGTATGGCAAGGTCGTCAACGAGCGAACAAAGACAAAGACGTTGTAGCCTCCATTGAGGGTGCAATCGGCAGCACGAGTATCCCAGTGCCTCACAAAGAGCGCCCCACATGGTGGAACACGGCGCTCACACTCGGTCATCTGGAGAGCAAGTTGCACGCGGCCAAAGCGCTTGATAGCGCTCTTGAATATAAGCAAGCACTTCTGATTTATGCAAGGAAACTAGCAGATGAGGGCTTCAGGGCGAAGGCAGAGGAGCTCATCAAGGAGCTTTTCGGCCCTATATTTTGGTAGATTGCATATCATGGAAGTTGTGGCACAAATTACTCACTGTTTATTTAGGCGACCTGGTGGAAGGGACGACTCTTGGACCCCTGTCGTGGCAGGTATGGCCAAGCGCGATCTTTTGCGCGAAGTATTATCAGTCTTTGGTTCGTCATTCTGCCTCGACCGTCTCTTAGATTACTGAACTTTTGTACAGCTCGGAGCAAGACCCTTACCAAGTTAGCATTGGACTGGCAAGACACTCTCAAAAAAGCATCGAATGATGATCAGCTATGACGATGCTAGTAAAATAGATAGAAACTTTTTGGCTTTGGTTGTAATTCAGCTTTGCCGCTGGATGGACTGTTTATTTAATTAACATGTGCATTGTAGCTGGACGCTTCACTAGAGAGTATACAGTATTTTATTTCACGAGGATCTTTGGCTCTGCGTCTCTCACCAGACATTACATAAATTATTTGTAGGGCCTCTCAATTTCAAATGCTCCACAAGCTGAGGAGTCGTTCCTGCCCCTGAAATCACCACGTCACTTTGAACCTGCACAACCATGAGCGATCTTGTCGTTCGAGAGGTCAGTTATCAAACCCCACCTAGGCATGCGCAGACAATGTTCTTACCGAGTTGCTCTGTAGGTCGCAAAAGATGTTTGGATCTTCTCCAGGTAGGGGTTCGAATTCATATGGACATTCTGACTCCCACTGGTATCTCATGTTGACTCAATAGACCTTTTGCACGATTCGGAATATTCCCGATGGGGGGGCGGTCCACTGCTATCAAATTGCAACAGGGGGGCGTTTGGGTACTTGCATCGACTCCACTGACACAAGATACGCGCAATAAAATAGATGAACTCGGTGAAGTCAAGTGAGCATCATTCAGTCTTGTTCGTGCTGTGGGCCTTATACTTAAATCTCCGAGATACATCATATGTGCCGACGCTGTTCACCACCTCTTTCTTGGTTCGTTCTTTCTCCGCAGAATTACTGGCGTCGTCAAGGTTCTGTCTGACCAATTACGATAGGAGAATTTAAAAGGGCTTACCCCAATGCGAAGTTAATTGGCGTTGAAGGTGCCATAAGGAATATGAGCGACAAGAGCCTCCAATTTGACGGTTGTATGTCATTGAAGTTGATTTTTCCTTTAGTCGTTTGAAGTTAGATTTCAGTGTGGGGCCGTGACCCTCCTGGCACAATCTATGGTTTTGAGGACGAGGTAAGGCAGATTTATGTTCACTGGCACAAAGGTGATATATATATGCATATAGATCAAACATTGGTACGTGTTTGCCTATTCACTAGGATTGCCAACCTAATGCCTTGCAGCTATTTTTCAGGTTTTCGGAATAAAGACGTGGCTTTTCTGCATACCCCATCAAGGTCACTTATTGAAGCAGATTTACTTCTGAATCTACCAGCTAATGAACAAGTCGAGTACCTTCCTTACTGGTCACACGTATTGTGTTAACATCTCAATTAGTATTCAAAATCATCCTCTTCAGCCCATGGTAATATCAAGCCGGACTCGTGGATCCACAGGGCCATTATCAAGAACACAACGATTGATGCTGAGTTTGTATATTGTTCCTCGTTCCTGCTTTGACACTAACGCAAACGCAGTGCTATGCGCCGCGACGCAACGACAGTTGCTAATTGGGATTTTGATCGAATCATTCCTTGTCATGGAGTGAGAAAGACTGCCATGAGAACTTATGTGACGACTGACCATTTCTTGGCAGGACGTGATTGAGACCCACGGCAATGAGATGTGGAGAGCCTTGTACAATGCATCTATCAACTGAATATCATAGCTTGCTGTTTAATTTACATGTATGGAAGTGACAATGGTGTCATCGTAGTCTCGGCAAGCAAAATTCCATAGCACATTCGGTCTCTCATCTTATCAACCGTTCGGTGTCGCTTCAAATGGTCAGCCCCTGAGCGCCGTCCTGCCGACACTCAAGTCATGACACGTTGATGGAACAAATAGCCCGTGTGGAGAAAACGATCGCCATTGTCCCACACTGCCCGACACATCACATCAGCCATCGTCAAGTGCTTTTGAAAACAGGAAACTATCTCCGACCAATGTGCACCCAGGGGATGCTGGACGCTGGCACTTACTAATGTCGAACGGGTCCACAACAGGTATCATCTGACATAGGACGCGACATTCATGGGATCGAATTACAGATCTAGTTGTGCCTCAACTTGCTAATGGAACTATGAGCGAACAGGTTGGCTATCCAAAGAATTGAGTGGTTGAAACCACCACGTACGTACCCCCAACCATGCCAGAGCTATTGACAGAGGTTCGAATTCGTTTGAGGCAAAAAGTAAGAGTCGAAGCCCGCGCTCAGTGAGCTGCTGTCTCCCTGCCTTTTCCCCTACATCCACCCTTAGTCTCCGGCCTCTCCTTGGCGGTGACTGCGCATGTGACACTTCTCTTTGGTCTCAGCCTGCATGTCAGTGGGCCGCCCCAGCTGCTGCGCGACAAATTTGTGCGGTCTGCCAGTCTATCATAAAACCCTCTGCTCTTCTTAATGCTAATGAGATACAGCACAATGACTGGGCCCAGTTAATGTGGACCTCCGAGGATCTGTGCAACGCAAATAACGTTGGCAGCAAGTTTCGAACCAACTCCAAGGGAAACAGATTTTGACTCTGTTGTTGTAACCACTTGGCTAAGGACAGTTAGATGGACCTCCGAGGAAACCATCCATGAATGAATGTCAAGGTGTGTTCCGATAGAAAAAAACTGTAGTTCGGCAGGTTTCAAACCTACGCAGGCCAAGAGAAACAGGTTTTGATTCTGTTGTGGTAACCACTTGGCTAAGACCAGTTAAGATCAATGTCAGACGAAACCGTCCATGAGTGATGTCAAGCAGTGTTCCAATAGGGAAAAAACTGTCGTCGGCAGGTTTCGAACCTGCACTCAGCGGCACAGGCCAAGACACGGATTTAGAATCTGTTATGGTAACCACTGTGGCCAGGATGAAGTTGAGATGATCCTCCGAGGAAACCAACCATCAGCGAATTGTCGAGGTGTTTTCCGATAGAAAAAACCTTATCGCCGGCAGATTTCGAACCTGCGCAGTCCAAGAGAAACAGACTTTAATTCTGTTGTGGTAACCACTTTGACCAGGACGCTTCCCTAGTTCAGATGAACCTGGGCGGCATGCGAATGGAAAATTCTGGGGATGGTTGACGTAGGTAGAACGGTCAATGGATGTGGCTCCATTGGGTTGCCGAAGCTTTTTGAACGGTGCGAGCATACTGCAAAGAGCTTCGGACGATGCCATTCTGCATATATACTGAGCGTTGCCGAGCGGGATTCGAAAGGACTTTAGGACCGTCAATTTTCCAGTCCGAATTGGCTGATGCCATGCGTGGGATTTGTGCCGTTCTCCGCGAGTGTATCCAGCTTCGCGCCTTGGAAATTGACGGTCCCAGCTCCGCTCGGCTTTGCAGTTCAAATGCCGGCAGCCAGAATTTCACGGCAACCTTCTGCAACGTGCTCGCGCTTACTGTGCCTCATCCGGTAGTGATTCCTGCTCATTCTGATTGCTATAGACCATCCTCCTGTAGTAGATGCTTCATATATATATTCACCACCTCTCGGGACTGCAAATCTCGGAATGCAAACCTCACTTATTGGACCGTCAATTTTTATACAAAGTCTTGGGGAGACATTTTTGGGACATGCCTGTGATCAGAAAGTGGGCGGTCAAAGGTCTGTCTGTTTGGTTTGTTGTTCTGCATCATTGTCCGCCCAAGTCAGCCACCGTCATGCATCCTGCCATCTATGTCAACCACTGTCATGCCAGTCCCGTCATCCTTGTCACCTTGCCGTCGTAGTTCTAGTGGACATGGGAGCCGGAGACTGGGAACGACATGGTGTTGGCAGGCAGATAGGAAATAGGCAAACACGGAGGAAGTAGTAGGTAGGCAGGCAACCGTGAGAGACTCGCAGGGATCAGAAGAGATGGGGGTTGGGTGGGATGATAGTGACATCATGCGGCGGCCTTGACTGACTTCTCGGCACTTTTCGAGCAACCCACTGACAGGGCGAAAGTCTGCATCCAGTCTGCATGCGCATAGACCTCACGCAGACCGGCCAATTCCCGCACCTTCTGAGATCATCGAACTCTCAGACTCCAACTTGGAGTGCAAGGACTGTTCGCTTGACGAGAGCAAGCAGGACGACGCTTACTTTCTACTTCCTGGCGAAGAAGACTTGGTCGCATTCACATTTTGGTCATACTTGTGAGCGAATATGTGTTCCAGTGACTTCTGACTTGCAAATACTAGTACATGTGAGTATTCTCAATTATGATCCATGTTCAAATTGGCGGCCACCGATGGGCTGGTCTTGTTGGTTGTGTAGTTGCTGCATACTTGCTTTGTGGAAATTCATATGAAACGGTGTAATAAAACTTCGTGGGTGCCATCAGGCGAACAAAAAGACTGAACAACTAATATGGGTATGGGTATCGCTTTGGAAGTAATTGCACTAATGTCATTCGAATAGACCCACACCACTCATCATATGACACCGCTGGCGGTGAACGCGAGATTTATAGAATCTCACCACATTCCTAATCGTGCCTAAAGCCACTTGCATATAAGAGCGACTGTCCAACCAAAGAGTTGCTGAGCAATTGAAATAACTACACCTTGTACGTTTTCGTTGCGCGATCCCCTTGCCGCCAGATCTAACAGTTAACACGTCAGTGCAACCATGATTCCTTTTGTACTTGCCGTTTCCTTGTTCCTTGCGTTCGGCACGGGAGTTAGCGCATCCTGCGAAGCCTGTCCTAATTGCGATTATGAGCAAATCAGTGTATCGCAGGGGGATGCATGTCTTAACTACTGGACGTGCTCAGGCGATACCATCACGTGCTATTACCCTTCTGTTGCAAATCCGGGAACGTTCAACAACTGCTCATACAGTGAACCGAACGTAAGTAACTGTCTCTCTCAGCAGTGCATGGACGCTTACTGATTTTTCGGAAATGCCAGGATTGGCCACTCGTAGCTGGCCCCAGCGAAATCTGTTTCCCATATGCGGGACTCAACTCAAAATGTGAACCTGGGAATGACCCTTACAACCTTGGCACCTCAGCTTGCACCGCTTCATACGGGTATGTCGGTGGGGTGAACAGTGGACTGTTGTGAAGTAAATGCGAAGGGGCCTGGTATTGATTAACCTATAGGTAGGAGCTTCGCGTTTCCGATGCAGACAGATATACAACCTATTGATGGCACCAGTTTTTGTCTCTTGCGGTCGAGGGTGCATTGGAAGGCAGTCAAACAGGCATGTCAACAAGGGGTGCACGCGGCATGGGCGTCGGGTGTTATCTATATACTAGCCCGTGTTAATGCCACACTCAAGTTCACGAACTGGTTGCAAAGAACGTTCTCACATCTCTTCCGCAGACAATTCCTGACCGGATGATCGATGGTCGATGATCCCCAATATTGATCTGCACATCTCTGATAAGCAATGTTTTCTACTGCATCGATCGCTGTCATATTAAGTCTCGACTCGACTCGATGCGGAGATGCTTCGTTTTGGCAAATATTGCTCCAGTGTCATCTGACTTAATCACGGTTAGCTGGTTGGACCACTTTAAAATTCTAGTATACGTAGCACGTTGCCTCCGCATGGCAGCCTCAATCGATCGTTCTGAAACCATCTCACTTTCGTAGATGGTGGCCCATTCCTGCTGATTGAGCATTCTAGTATATATGATGCGTGCTGAATTTAAAGCTTAAAGTATTAGAGCAAGAAATAACCTGGCCAAGTTGAAGGCCGCTACTCTTAATAACCCATGATCAAAGTCACGCCAAACAAGCATGCTTCGTTGTTTGACCCACGCCTCCAGAAGGTCCGTCTTCGCCGCTAACATGTGCCAAAGTCGTGTGCAAGCGAACGTTGTACATGTATAAGACGTGGTAGGACTAGCAGAATCCGCACAATTTCCATTCCCCTCCTTATTCCAGCACTATGCCATTCTGTCCATTATGCCCGCCTGGTACCCAAGCCATTTTAACTGGGTTAGAAGCGGTGAGCAGTAATTAGCTCTAGATAGTTCGATTGCTGTACTGATTATCTTCGCTTGCACCAAGCACATTAAATTGAAGCATACGGTAGCGGGGATAAGTTGTACACTCTGCCAACAAGACTTCAAGAATAGTGCTGCGCTGATACAACATCTTGCATCCAAGAGGCACCACAAGTGCAGATCGGGATGTTCTCTGACATTCATGACAACCTCCGAGCTCAGCACGCACATTAAGGTGGATCACAACCCAGGATCTAAAGACCCTCCTGCAGCTACCAGTAAAGTCGAAACTACAATCCCTAGGTCAGCCACGTTCCCCTGTAGCCCCTGTGGCATGGAATTTGTTAGTTCCGAAGCGCTCCAGCACCACATGCGTGTAGACCATGCACCTAAAAACCCATGCCCATCTTGTTATCAAAGTTTCTCCTCATCTAGCGCCCTTGACGAACACCGGTCGATCAGCCATCCTGTACCCAAAGTACAAGCCAGCGTTTCTTCGGGATGTCCCATGTGCAAACAAACATTCTCCTCCGCAGACGACCTGTCTCGTCATATTCTCGCCGCCCATCCTCTCGGAGTATCGGCCGGGAAGGTGTATCCTTGCCTTTTATGCCACCGCACGTTCTCAAAGATGTCTAAGCTTACTGCCCACAATGATACTGCTCACCCCCCCGGGCCTGTTTGTACCATTTGTCGGCTCAAATGCCCGTCTCAAAATGTTCTTGATGATCATGTCGCCGCGGTGCATACACGCGCGCTCTGCAGCTGCGGGGGATGCGATGTGGCGTTTACCTCCGACGAGGGGCTACGCCACCATTACTTGCAGTCTTCAAAGGATGCCCACCCGAAATGTGTCGAGTGTGATCTCGGGTTCGAAAACGACGCAGAATATGCAACGGCATGTTTTCTTGATCGAGCTTTGTTGTGGTTTCTTACTCTCAAATCTGTATTTCCAGCATCGCCAAACATCCCACCCGGAGCCGCCCCGCCCTATTTCTCCACCAGCTTCTTATCACTGTGCCTTGTGCAACAAAGTCTTCAAGCTTCAATTAGCACTGGACGACCACACGGCCGCGAAACACTCTGTCACCTGTGGAATATGCGAATTCGTTTGTCCGGAGGAGGAAGTCCTCCAGGAACACATCGCCTCGGCGCACTCATGCCCTGTTTGTCATGAGGGTATCTTCGCAAACACAGACCTTTTAAACGAGCACCTCGCAGACCATGCCACTCCCTATCGTTGTGAAGTCTGCCAAGCGAGGTACGCCGAGGAAGAAGGCCTACGTCAGCACTACAAAGACTCTTCAGATGACACACATCCGTCTTGTACGAGATGTGACCTGGGATTTCAAGATGCAGACGAATACCATAATGTATTGTCCCCTCTTTTCGTGATATTTCTATAAAAATCTTCCACTCATGTCGCATTCAGCACACAGAAACGGTTCACCCTCGGGTATCTTGTCCACTGTGTGATGGAGCATTATTTGATCCTGGGGAGCTTTCTTTGCACTACTTGACATCGCGCAACCACCCCGCGTGCGACAAATGTCAAATCGGATTCAGTGATCAAGCTGAATTTGCTATGGTGGGTGAGTAGCTTTATCATTGATGCCTTGACTCAGACCGCCGTGCAGCACGGCGCAACAGAACATCCAGAAGCATACTGCCACCTGTGCCGGTGGCAGTTTGAGTGCTCCGAGTCGTTGCAAAACCATATCCGACACTTCGTGGCGCACCCCAAGTGCATGGATTGTGAGCTGAGATTCGCAGATGCGGATACCTATCAACATGTTGGTTTTCTTTCCCGGTTTGTCGAGGAATGTTCTAATGTGTTCCATAGCATCTGTTTGTCGTGCATAGGCCACGCAGTAGCGAGCCTGCGACACGGCAAGATTTCGATCCCGATGCTTTGGATAATGGTGACGGAGTAGTTCATTCCGAAAAGCGCTTTTCTAATTCCTTTTCTCCCGATCGAGTCGACTCGACATGGGGTTTTTCTGTTAATTATGACTTCCCCTATGCCCCGTCTATCCCCTTGCCCCCGAGTACTAGTGGATACTCCAGCCCTCTGTCCCAGAGGGTTTTGACACGATCGAGCGTAGGATCGCGGTCGTCATCCAGGACGCTTTCACCACCTCCGATCTGCAACATCAAAGTCGCACAACTGGAGACTGAGCATACCGTGGACCATTCCGACTCGCCAGATTTTGAGCACTCGCCGCTTTCCAATATACCTGCAGTTGGTACACCGTTGATATCAAGCACAGACTTCCGTAGCCCCTTCAGTCCGCGCCCGGACCCTCCGGCACTTTTTTCTCCTTCTCAGGAGCTGAATGGCACTAGTCACAGCGATGAAGAATCTATAGCCTCTGCAAGATCACCTGAGACAAGCTCTCCCGTGATAAAACTTCCCGAGAACGGCACATCGCCTGTGTCGAGCTCTGGCTGGTCCACATTAAGTGGCGACGATGCGTCGAGGATGGCAGCCAAATCAGAGGATTCACTCAGTCATCGGCCAGTGGGCCCTGCTGTGCCGATGCTTCGGTTGCAAGTACCTGTGCCTAATGGCACTTCTCAGACAGCCAGGTATGATAACCAAGTGGAGCGTTGCTTTCGAATCTCAATCTTGTTGTAGTATTTCGAGGACACCAAGCTCCATTTCCCCCGAGTCTGCAGGCATTGATATTTCTGCGAATGTGACCCCCGATTACTTGCGGGAAGCTCGTGCATATCTTGCTGTAACTCATCCAGGACAGGCACCTGCGACTGCGAACCACGTCCACAGCCCGGCCATGGCGTCCCCTAGTTTGACTTCAATCGGCCTCACCGCAGCCTCTCGCGAGCGACGCCGTGAAGTACGATTCGAGGATAGTATCATGTCGGAGCCGCTGTGGGATAACCAATCATCTGACTCGACCGATTCCTCGTTCGATCCTCCTGTGCTTCAAAACAGGCGAAAATATTGCGTACAAAAGAAATCAGGTCAGCGACGCTGTTTCTTCACAGATCTAGAGTTGACAATGAGTACAGGTGCCAGTAAACTTCCTCGTTTTGCACCACTCAAGACGGGACGAGTCGCGGGAAGGAACGGGATTAATCATTTAACGAATGGCACGAGTTCTCTCTCTCCCTATCATTGCAGGATTTGTCGACGAGAGACATGCGAGGATCTGACGACGACGACTTGTGGGCACTTGTTTTGCAATGCGTGAGTAGAACCGATGCTGGTCTTGAACTTATATTAACAGGGAATCGTAGGTGCATCACAGATGCGGTGATACGAGACTCGCGATGTCCCGTATGTAAGAGTGCGGTTTTGCTTTATTGCTTGTTCCGCATCGACACCACCGTGGCCCACCATGACTCAGAGTGACTGATGATAAGTAGTCAACATATGTAGTATCCGGGTCTTGCCTGTCTGTCGTTCATTGTTGTGAAGTACCGATTTCGACGCCGGTAGTCATTCTATAAAAACCCTTGCACAAGTTAGTCTCGATCAACTGTGTGACATTGCGTGACTACCACTAATCACCCTCTGCTTATGTCATATCAACCTTAAATCCATATACCTACGGCAATTCAAAAGTCGTGGCATTTCTTCTCTCTTTTGTTGTCCGAGATTACTGTCTCGTATACCCATAGTTTACTATCTTCCCCTTCTTCAGGCACGGAGCATCTTTACTCGTCAGGCCTGGTGGTGGTGTGACAGGAACTTCAACGGTGTCGACAGTCCATCCTCCTAATCTACCACCATGCCTGTGTGCAATCTTTGTGATCGTTATTTTGTCGACAAGAATGCTCTCCGTATGGTACGAAGCGCTTCACGTCTATCTCAGTGTCTGACTCTGAACTATTCATTTAGCACACCGAGTCGAAGCACGAGATTGAATGCAATTACTGCGACCGTACGTTCAGGACTTCAGACGGGAGAGATCAGCATGAGAGAACGAAGCATAGCTTCGATTGCAACATTTGCAACCGACAATTCAGCTCCAGAGAAGCCCTGGATCAACATGAGGAGGCCAAGCACCCCCCCGGATACGAATGCAGATACTGCGACAAAGAATTTGCGTCCGATGGAGCCCGCATCCAGCATCAGAATGCAAAGCATGCACCTCGCCCACATGCATCTTCGTATCTATTCTCACTGCCACCATACGTCCAAGCTGCGAAGCCTGCTCCCGTGGAGCAGCCTAATGTAAACGTAGTCCTCGATGCTTTATCCACGCGGGAGTCCATCCCAGAGTGTTCTGATGGTGAGGATATCCTGATGACGCAGTCACCAATGGTAGAGGTCACCGCACCCAAACCTATGGCAAATTTCACATGTGGAACCTGTGGGGAACCTTTCGCAACGATCTTAGCTCTGGCGGCCCACGAATCACAGCATAAATCCGATACGTGTGCTTGCCCAATCTGCGAGAGAGCTGATAGGCCTTGCAATTGCATTATTTGCAAGCGCACCAGCACCTTGACAGGTCTGGTGAATGAGAAACCCCTTGATCGTGCTATGAGTGGCGAACCCGAAGACACTACGTTATCCGCGGATTCGCTTGGGGGTATCGAACCTAAGGTAGTCGAGGACTCTTTGGTTGGATCTTGTGATTTGGTCATGACCCTTGATCCCCAAGGAGCTACAGATCCATCGGTTGATCGCAGCGTTCCAGCGCACGACATGGACTTGCAGAATGAACAACCCTCGCTAGAACCGGAACGCGAGGTGTATGGAGAGCACTCTCATGACTTGACTCCTACCCATATACCATTACCCCCACGTCACAACCACGACAGTCTTGATGATCCAACATGTCTTTCTGAAGTTGCTATGAATTTAACGGAGGAATGTAGCATCACCCATCTCCAATTGGGTTTTGCACCCATGGAGTGCGACACCCTTCCTTGTGGTGTGAACATGCTAGACCAAGTAAGATTGTGATCCCAATTCTTTTGGAACTAACGCTAATGCATTCTCCGTGTCTTCTTTGGCCGAACAGCATTCCGCACTCGATGCTCGCGCCATCATGCAAGACCCAACAGTCTATGGACGCATGCATCTAAGCCAACCTGACGTTTCCTTCGATTTGACTAATTTACAGAGTCAAGATCACAACATGGTTCGTTTGGTTTCGGATCTTAGTACACAACTTTTGAGATGTCTTTGTCAGTCCCCTCCAGAGGCATCCAACGAGCAGCCGATAGTTCTCGACATGGACATGAGTCACAAGCAGGTCGATAACCCTCCAGAGTGTGACTCCTGCATTCCTGGATTGGAACCTGATATCTCGTCTTCATCACACTCGACAGACTCCCCTGCAGATAGCACACTTGTTTCGGCGACCTTGATAGCCGTGCAAGTCCGCTCTCCCCAGTTTATAGGGTCTCCCCAAGTTTGCACCTCGGAGCTTGAGCCTCTCGCTGAGTCAGGCGATTCTTTCACACGCAACCTTATTCCTTCTCCGACCCCATCTGAGCATGGTAGCTTCAGGCCCCCTAGCATTGCTCAGGATGATCACTCGCATTCTGGAAGCCGTCCTCTACCGTCTCCACCGACTTCCGAAGGTTCCGCCGGTTACTTCTCCGATGCCGATCGTTCATCAACTCCGTCAAGCCCTTTGTCTGATCATTCCGTCGTCTTCGTATCTGCGGATTCCATACCAGAGTACGTTAGAGAGAACCGTGCATATCTTGTTGCAACAAGCGCTCCGTCCCGACCTTCCTCGGCAACCTCTAGCTGTGTTCATTTGCCCTCAGTGGTTACTTCGTCAGACTCTCTGCCACTTCAACAGGATCAAAATGATCGTGCTGAGGTTCCCCCTGCCGATTCCCCTTGCACCAACGGCCAATCCCCTCTTTACTGTAGGGTTTGCCTTCGAGATCCTTGCGATGATCCAACTGCGACGATGTGCGGCCATATCTTTTGCAACAGGTTTGTGACTCGGTTGTTTGCTTTCCTCTGTATTGAAACGTGTTTACTCAAGGTGCATCATCGATGCTGTCATGGCCAGGTCTGCGTGCCCGGTTTGCACCGCTCCCACATTACTCTACTGTCTTTTCCGCCTTGATATCTAAGTACACGCTATTCCTCTAAATCGTAACATCTGTCTTGCTTTCAGCATGCATGCCAATGACTCAACGCAAACCAACAAATCATTTGTACTTTAGAATTCTTGAATCATTACGAGTTTTCCTATCCAAGTAGTGTGCATTCTTTAGGAACCATTGCGTACCGCTAAGCAGTATCATAGGTGAGTATAATAACACTTGTCAAAGCTGCCTGTCATTAATTCATTGTTCAATCACAGTGCTCAACGTCTCGAGATCGCATGGGAAAATTGAGATCTTTCATTACCAACCTATCTGAATTCAATTGATTCACTCTCAAACTCAGCTTGCGGAACTATGAGCATAATGTCACCAATAGATTTCGCTGTTGAAAGCTGAAACAAATGTACGTCCGAATACTTTTCGGAGCCTAGCCGCGCTACCTTGTAATATTGGCTATGGCCATATCTCGGATCTCAGGTGCTCTCGGGAGGCCGAAACAAGGCATCAGCGGATTGGATTGTGTTACAGAGTGCTACAGAGCGCTCCGTAGCACTCTGTAGTGAATTACGTTTCCCTGATTGGCAAGGATGTGAGCTTCGAGTCGGTGCTGACATTTTTCGTTTTCGATGTAACGCCGCGATATTAACAGAGGTGCTTCCATTTTGTCCTAAGTATGCGATTTTCTCTCACATCGTCGGGCCTATTGATATGGATGGCCCCCAATTTCCTGCAATCAAGCTGCTTCCTTGCGGTAGGATTACATCATGGTAGCTGCAAGCACACGCCCTGAGTCAGCAATTTGGCTTCCACCGCCGAGATGGCGTGTCATGCCAGGTATGTATACCGAAGAGAAACCGAAGCATACTCCCGTCTTCCTGGTTTCAGGGACTGTCCACACTCTTGGGCTCAGCATGCGAAAGATGATTATACGGACTCGTGATTTCTATAACATCTCACAGCAATATGCCTCAAATCACCCCTGTCCAGGTTCATCAGTGCCCCGAAAGTCCGCTCCACAAAGGTGGCTATGCGTTATTTGTATATGCGTTACAAACTGCAGGATGCAATGACCCTTGCAGGAAATCTCCACTCCTGAACATGATACCAGTCAACCGAGAATATGAGTTCATGGTACCCTGTTATCACTCAATTCTCATTCGGTCCATACAATCCCTGAGCAAACAAGGTACGGACATGGACCCTCACGGACTTCACAGGTGACAGACCTCGAAAACTGCAATATACTACTATATTGAGCTCGGCTCCCTATTTTCCTTCGCGACACCTCAACTCAGCATCACCCGTTTCTAGTATGGACTATATGACCGAAGGATAAAGTGCTGGCGGAGAAGGGGAACGGAGAGGACCTGCGGCATTTCTGCGACAACCAATAGCAAAAAGAGCGAGTTGATCACGTGAATAGATGGTATACGATTCGGATCTGATGGCTTCGGTATGATACTTCTGACAGACATTATGTTTCAACAGCTTAGTATGTAACATTACTTGCACTGTATAGGAATCAAGGATGTACTCGCGCGTCAAGCTGCGAGACCAACCTATCAGGTCTTCGCGGTACGAGTCGAGCAAAGCCGCTAATGTGGTTGTGCGTGGCCGCGGCTGCGACACCCGCAGCTCCGTAGTCAATGGCGCCAGATAATTGTTCCACCAGCACATGCACCAACTGGATAAATTTGTGTATCTTCATCCAAGCCCTAGAACCGTTCATGACATTTTTAAATTGGCAATTGAATGTATTCATTAATGTGCTAAATGAATACATTGTAACACGACATCACTGTCACATCAGCAGCAAGAGTGATAATGAAAACAGTGACGAAGGAGAGATATTAACGAAGGGAAGACAATGACAAAAGAAAACCGAGCAAGACACAAGTTAACATGGTAAAGAGGTAATGAGAAACGGGGGAAGAACGACGAAACCTGAATGATCACGCGGACGGCGCGAATGTTGAGGAGAATCTGGGGTCTTTTCGGTGTTAATGATGTGAGGGTGTCGGTACCTCATTTGCTCGGGGACTGAAGGAACTGAGGGAGGTCCGAGTGATAACAGGGTACGGGCAGAACTTGCTCAGTGCCTGCCAGTTCATGCATGAATAATGGCGAGCCGAGCGGCAGAACTTTGGAAAATGTCGGTGTCACTGGGGTGGACTTTGGGTGGAGCTCATAGGAGAGCTATGGGAGACTCTTTCATCGACAGCTTCCTCTGCCTGTTTTTCGCCAGCGAGTCGCCTGCGCGTGCCTGCCGCAGACTCCCACCCGAAAAGCTTGGTACGACCCTAATATTGATATACAATTTAGTGAGGCAAAGACAACAGTAAGAAACGAACCCACTTCTTTGAACTTCATATACACGAGCACTACGATTACCATGACCCAATAGAACACGTAACTCAGCACGCTACCCTGAGTGGCGCTATTTGTCCATCCCAGTACAGCGTTGAATATGCCCCATGGCATATCGGTCTCAGGATTACAGCAGTCAAGATGCCATACATTCCCGCGTACGTCGTATGATCCAGGTCCATCACCGCCTGCGTCGTCGACATCTACGCCAAGCAGATTGTTGAAGGCATTCTCTTGGAAAGACCAGATAGCTTTACTAAATAGGCCAGCGCCGATGAGGAGGATCAAATTCGTCATAACGATAAGGAAAATCGTTAGAGCTGGTGTATAATGGTTGAGCATTGGTGTAACATGATTATTAGCGATGGCTTACTTGAGCGGCTAGCGAACTGGTAAATGAAGAAACCACAAACAAGTCCACAAATAAGGCCCACGATTGCTGCAATGGGAATTGATTTTGCGGGCTGTCCGAGCGCGACACCGCCAACGAAGACGACAGCTTCAATTCCTACGAAATGTTACGCATCAGTTGCAAGCATAGTGACGTCATTAGGTAAAGACATTCAGGCACGATACTAACCTTCACGCAAGACAGTAATCATTGGAAGGATGAAGAGTACCCACTTCCCAGTCCTTGTCCTACGGTCGACACCTGACGATAAAACATAATTTGTGAGTACAAAAATAGAGACAAAGAAAAGAGGAAGGAAAGACACAGACGATGATCACTAAACGCGTGCTGGAGCTTTACGCGCCATTTTGCTTTGGCCCTGTCCAACTTGAGCATGGTAACGCCCATGACAAAAATCATCAAGGATGCAATAAGTTCGAAGATACCTATTTAAATGAGAGGATATGATGTGGGTCAGTTTAATTGCGCGACAGTGAGAGAAAGGACTTTGGAAACGGATAAGGATTTAAATGCAAAATACAGACCTTCCCAGAGGTTTTCTGCCTTAGACCAGAGATTGGACGCTTTGGTGAACCAGACTGCAATGAATGCAGCACCTAAGGCGAACGAGACGAACAAGCCTACACCTGCACCGGCAAAAACCTTGTTGCTCCGAGATGAGTCACTGACATTTTCAACATTACTACTGCAGTGACATACCTGCATTCTAAGTTTGCGGATCAAGCGTCTCTTGAGGGTGGCGTCTGATTCTCCTTCTCCTGGCGTAGTTGTTTCACTGTCGTTGTGGTGAGCTGAAACGGGCCGATAGTGCTCCGTAAGTGTCGGGAAGTGGTCTATATCGCCATGGACAATCTGCTCGACGAGGCCAAGGAGTACGGATACGATGACGACGGCTTCAAGAGTTTCTCTGAAGACAATGAAGAATATGCTAACGCTGAACAAATTCTGGGCTGTCATTGCCGTATTTTTGTCCTTGGTACGTGGGGGTGAACTGGTGCATACTAGATTTATGTGATTATCTGATAATGAAGTCTAAGCGAACCTGACTTGCACCTGGCACCGAATTTTTCCGAATGCCGAAACCTAATTTATCAGATAAGGAGTATCCAAGGGGTTCGCCAAAAGTAGTTCCCGCCACCATCAAATGTCAAATCTTATCAGATAAAATTTTGATGTGGCGAAGGCCCTTGAGTCCTGGCAGTCAGACAAAATCTTACTTGATCAGATCAGTGTGAAGAATGCTGCTCAATTCTAAAATGCCGCTGTCAATTGTCGTTGTCAATAATCCTACCCAATAACACTAGCAATTTAAACACCACTACATAGCAAAATTCAAAAATACTAGTATAAGGTTTAGGTAGCTAACTTGGGCTCAACACAGCGGGTATGAGTCGGACGAGGACACTCTGCGACAAGTCACAAGGCGTAGACCGTCTCCCAACTTGCATGCAAATGTTTAACCGACGCGCCGGATCAAGGGTCCACATAAGTAATTTACGAGAGGACGGCTGTAGGGTCAAGTCGACATTGACAACGACATGGAGCAACCCTCTAAGGCACACCTTGAAATTTCAAATCTAGTTTGGACTTATCAGATAAAACTTTAGCGATGATCGATGAAGGGTCATCATTTCCGGTAGTCGAATTCCTCCCAAACTACTTGAGACGTACGGTAAATAGTTCTTCGTTGTCCTTCTCTTTTCCTCTGAGGACTGACTTCGAACTGATCTAGGTATCACGATCAACGTGGGGTACACAAATTACCACAGACACATCCATGTGGTTCCATCAGTTGCTTCTCTTGCTTGCGCTCTTGTCTCCTGCACTTGCAGGTATACAGGAGCTTTGGTGGAACGTCACCTACGTTCCGGACGCGAATCCAGATGGCCTCTTTGAACGCCGTGTCATTGGTGTCAACGGAACCTGGCCGTAAGTCTCTTACATCTTATATTATTAGCTTGTAGAGCTGAGAGTTTGTTTGTTCTGACACTGGAAACTAACATTTCTATTCACTGCGAAATTCCAAAAAATTGATCTCAACTTCTTCTGCATTCGTGAAGACCTCCGCCAATTGAGGTATCTACAACAGATTCATTGCTTGTGCATGTAACGAACAGCATCGATCGACCTGCGTCACTACACCACCACGGCATGTTCTTCAACTCAACATCCTGGATGGACGGAGCAACGGGGGTGTCGCAATGGTATGTTCACTTGGTCATGCTAATATTGTGAAGTATTTTACTAATTATTTTTCTCGTGCAGTGGCATACCCCCAGGTCAGACGTTTGACTACGTCGTACCCATCAACTCCTCCGGCCAAGTCGGAACATACTGGGCGCATGGACATGCAAATGTAAGTAAAAACGGCGATCTCCTCGCTTTTCTACTTCGTGTGCCTGCTTGCTTTCTCGAAACTAAATTCCGTATCTATCCATGCAGGGAATATATGTGGATGGTCTGCGCACACCTCTCCTGTTGCATTCTCCAAATGAAACTTATGCTGCTGATTACGATGCTGAGTTCACTGTTATGCTGAGTGACTGGTACCATCAAGAGCAGCCTCCCCTCTTGAAATCCTTCCTCAGCATAGCAGATCCAGGAGGAGCGGAGCCCATTCCTGGTGAGTTGCCTCGTCCTATAGTCCATGGTGGTATACTGATAAACGGATATTTTTTTCCCCATGTTCCATTGGCTTGCAGACGCTGCCCTTGTATATTTCTCCCAAAATGGTTCCTATTTGGCACCGATCACAGGGAGTCACCCATCCCCGGTAACAAGTGCCGTGGGTTTCAACGAGAACGCGACCCTTCCGTTCGAGCCCGGTAAAACGTACAGACTGCGCATAATCAACATGGGCGCGTTCGCAGCGTTCTACTTCTGGATCGACGGACATGAAATGCGAATTATCGAAGTTGACGGTGTGCGTTTAGTTCTACCTGCTTCTTGCAACTCGGTAGACTTACTTTATCGCAGACAGACACACAGGAGCAGTCTGTCGACATGCTGAGTCTAACAGTGGCGCAGCGTTACTCTGTGCTTGTCACCGCGAGGAACGATACGTCGTCAAACTGGGCCATCCATGCGAACATGGATACAACCATGTTTGACACGGTTCCCAGTAGTCTAAATCCCAGTAGGCTATTCCATCTCCTGAGTATTCGATCTCACCACTTATTGTCCTACCTTTCAAAATGCTTGCAGATATTACCTCCACCATCACATACTCCGCCTCCTCTAACCTCACTACTCTGTCCCCCGTGTCCTCCTATACCATGGTAAACGACAGCGCTCTGGTTCCTACCGATGTTTCGCCTGCACTCCCCCCAACAAATACCCTTGAGCTTGAGTTCAACTTCGCGACGATGAGCGATGGGACAAATCATGGGTACATAAACAATTTGGTTTACAATCCGCCACTGGTACCCGCGATCATGAGCGCGCTGAGCCTGGGCGAAAATGCCACTAGCCAAGTGGCATATGGGCCGTACAGCTTTGTGTACAACTACGGAGACGTGATCGACCTTGTGGTGAAGAACGCCGATACAGGAAAGCATCCCTTGTGCGTCTTCTCCCCACCTACATTCGGCGTTTGACAGAACTGATGTTGCGTTCTAGCCATTTGCACGGATACAAGATGCAGATCGTCAATAGAGTGACAGATTATACCTCCAACGATACGTCACTTAACCCACCGCTTATCGAAGGGCAAGCAAACCCGATGCGTCGTGACACTGTAGCCATCGATGGCGGAGGTTCCGTCACGCTCCGCTTTGTCGCTGATAACCCCGGTGCATGGCTCTTTCACTGCAAGTCTACGAACCTCTTTCTGGAGAGATATTTGCTTACATCATCATTATTATCCAGGTCACATCGAATGGCACCTTGAATCGGGCCTTGCGGTCCAGTTCATAACAGCTCCGCTTCAGATACAAGAACAAGCACAGGACCGCGTACCGTCATTTATGTACTACCAATGTGCTGCGCTTGGGATTCCAACGAGTGGCAATGCTGCAGGACACGCGAGCCCAACTAATTTGTCGGGCCTCCCGCTCGGCCCGTGGTTGCAGAAGCTCGGTTGGCTGACTAAAGGCATCTGGGCTATGGCTGGGTGAGTTCGGGGCTGAAGTGATTGTTGCGATATACTGATGATGCGGGGTGGTTGGTAGATGTGTGTTGACAGTCGTCATTGGCATCGCTACTGTTATATGGTATGTTATGGGAGGTACTGTCACTGAGGAGGAGATGGAGGCGGAAATGCGTCAGCGCATCGAGGAAAAGGAACGCAAAGGAAAGTTCTTTGGTCTGTTTAAGAGAAAGACTTGAGTATCTGCGCCATCTGTTTATACTGATCTAGTCGGTCACTCTGGCCATGCTGATCTGCGAGGGTAGTTCTGTCAATGATTGTTACCACTTATTCGATAGTCTAATGACTATCGGTAGATACACGTGCAATAAGTAGCAAGTACTTACATAGTAAAAAGTTAGTCGAACCTGTAGTTAAACCGGTCGTTTTTGCATATATGATTTGTGTCCTGTACTGTTTTGAATGAAGGCAGAGTACTGAATTAGGATAAGATCTGTTGGTTAAGCGTGGAGAAGAATGAAGTGCTAATGATGAGTTGTCCGGCAGCCACCGAGCGGGGATGGCCTCGGAGTTTAGACATTTAACGTTTTAACGTTCCATTGCCAAGATAAATTGATCTTGAGTATCACACTCAACATCGCACTTCGAATTCAATGAGACCAGCGGTTCGTTTTTGCGTTCGATCAAGTCTGGAATTACAGTGATTCTAGGCTAATCCTCAGTGCAACCAACTGTCTTGATGTCTGGTACAACTGTAATTGAAAGTTGACAAATTGAAAGTCAGCTTTGATTTACTGTATACCTGACGAACAGTATCGTATGAATTATACGTTTCAAACCGGGTCGCTCTGTTACTTGTCTTGGTGAAACTTGGCTGCTCTTAGGCCACCCAAGCCTACGATAAGACCGTAGTAAACCAAACCCTGTGAACCTCGTGTGCCTTCAAATACACGCCTGTCTGCATCCCTGCTAGGTATTTCCACGCATTGTCAATTCAGACACTTTACAGCCCCTGACGCAGGTAAATAAGTGCCCCGCATCAAGACACTTGATGACATTAATAAGACAAATATACAATATATCATACACTACAGGTGCAAAAGATCAGTACAGAGGGGTCACTGAACACAGGACTGGATGAATCACACGCAAAGGAACCAAAAAGTATACTACTCACATGTTAATGCTACATAGCTTCTATTTTGCAGAACTCGCAATCTTCGCTTGCTCGACGCGGCGCCTATTTTTTGCAATAACACTGGCGTCCAAATGCTCGCCTGCTGGGATGTTCTCAGCAACGTTCACAGCACCGGATCCGAAATACAACGCCTGCTGCCAGCGCTTCTCGCGAATGGCCATCTCAGCTGCATTTCCTAGCGCCAATGCAAGTTCCTTTCTCGCCCCTAACACTTCCTTCGAATACTGACCCTGCGTGTGGCTGTCGAATGCAACCAGGGCAGCGGAAAGCTCTGCAGCGCTCATGAACGCAGCCCTGGCGTAATCATTGTCAGCCTTGCGAGCGCGCTCACGTCCCTTGTCCATAGCCGCCTTGACGCGCTGCAGTGCGATCTTTAGAAATCGCCGGATAACATCAGGGTTCGTGATTTGTTGTACGTGGTTGAGACAGGTCGAGGATGAAAGACCATTTGGTGCTTTTTTGAGTCCCTGGATGGTATCGAAGGCTTTTCGTTGGGCAAGCACAACGAGCAGGCGTGCGAGGGCCGTTGGACCCATGATACTTTCGTCCGCGATTTGGAGGGGCGCATCCACTTGCATGTTCAGGGATACAGTGTACATAGGGCTGCGGAAGATCTCTTCCATACGCTCGGCACACATGTATCGATCCTCTCGTTTACTAGGGTCGAGCTCACTTGCACTCTTGACCTTGCGGGAAGCAAGGTATGCCATCCGGAGCAGTGACTCGATCTCGGCGTTGGTGACACCGCAAGACTCGGCTGCGTGACTAAGGGTACTGACCAGTCTCAGCATGGAAATACGGGATGTGCCTGTAAGCCATTTATATCATTGGGTATGTTCATCGAGAGAGACATGTTGGTGACAGACCTCTATATTCAAACAACTGGCCGAAGGCATCTTCATCGGGTGGCTCGAACGCGTGGTAATCAACCTCGACCCGATCAAACCAACTTTATGGGAGTGGTCAGTCGTGTAACGAAAAGACGAAAGACATCACTCACCCCCGGACCTCCCGCCAATCCTCCTCTTCAATTTTCATCCATACTTCGACGATCTTCTCACACCAGTCTTCTCGGGACGTTAGAATGGCTACAGCTTGGGTCATGGCCTTCCACTCCTGTGCTCTAAAGATGTTGTCTTGAGGCGTCGAAACCCCTGGTACTATGTGCGGTGGCCATTGGAAGAAGAGGGCTATGACTTCGCACGCGATAGAATCAACTTGTGTTTCAGGATACCAAGGCGGGCGAGTGATGATGGCGCAATCAAAAAGTAGGTCTAGAATTTCTGGTTTCTTCTTCAAAATGTCAAGACAGTGCTTTCGCGATGGGGGTGGTGTGATACACAAGAGCCCGTGGGCAGTCCATAGAGCGCTTTCTTGAGCCATAGCGTAAAATCGAGGTGCGTGCTCCGCGGCTCGTTTTGCGGGTACCTCATGGAGGAAATTAGTCGAGCATGGGATAGATAAGACAAGATAACCATACACACATCAGTTGCATCCATAACCATTTGACTTTGCCATGTTGTGCTTGGAGATCGCATGCCCTCGATGAAGAAATCGGGTCCTTCTAAAGTGAATCTGCAGACAGCTGCGATTATATCTGCTACTTCTGTTACAGATGAATTCTCTCCCAGTACGGCTTCACTGGCAAGTGCGCGCAAGGTATTGACGGCTAACTGACGGAAAATGCAAAGAGGATGGTTCAGATGCTAAGAGGCACATGAGAACTTGCAAAATCGTTATATCCAGACAAAGTCCTATATAATCTTACCGATAAACAAATGTTAATGACATGGTTCTTCTTCATGTCCTCCAAAAGCGTGCGCCGCTCGGTGAGATTACCAGTCTGCATAAATTCTGTCAGAGCTTCGAGCGCATTGTACTGGCCGATATATCGTTCCTTCGGCAGCGATTGTGACTGCGTGTACAGATGAGACGTCACGACAGCAAGAAACGTCTTCACGATCCCTGCCGAATAGCATGCTCTGCCAAAAGCACTGAAGCTGAGAGGATCGCGACCTTTCCGCGTCTGCAACTCTCTCCCAAATCGGAGTTTAATGGCACCCTAGTTTGTACTGGTCCAGATGGTGGTATAAAGCACAGGATACAATAGAACTCACCGTATAGTTCTGCACAAATGTCGGGTCTTGGTTTCGCTCTAGAAGCTTCGCAAAGAGCTTCGTCAAGTTTTGTGATAATTCGGGTTCATGTGCGCTAAGGACCTGTTCGATATTATTGAGTGCAATGTTGCTCATGACCGTTGGAGCGCCGTGCGTGCGCCTGCAGAAAGTTGATTGGCGACCAGCACAGGCCTTTTGCAGATCAGTACCAGTGAAAGTGCTGTGGTAACTAAGTAAGGCAGGTGTATCTCGCGGTCAAACCCTAACCCTAATCTTAGGTTTTGTCCTCCTGCACAAGAAAATTCAAAGGAAAACAGTAATAAGACAATAATAAGACGTCCTGCATCTTGAACTATAATAAGCTATATAACTAAGTTGAGTACAATAGCTAATTGGTACAGCATGTGGGTATACGACCAAGGGTTCTGAGCTCCATTAGAGTCCTATAATCCATCATGAATATTATCCAGTCTTCCGACACGTATCATAATCTATTATTGATACAATCCACTTGATTAATAAGTCACTGTCGGCGAAGCCGAGACGAAGTTGAACGGAGATGAAGCAGTCGAAGAAGTTACCACGGACGAAGATGTAGCACCAACCCCGATGTTCGGTGATGCAGAAACAACGGGAGATAACACTGCACTAGATGTGGCACTTGCAGTTAGAGTGATGGAAGGACTGTTCAAGTCAACGGTAGTGGCTGAGGCATAAGAGGGAGATGGGGAAGCAGAGATCGCAGTAGGTGGAGTCTGTGTCACAGCAGTAGATGATACAGTTGCGTTCCCTCCCACACTCGTCGCTGTTGGTGACATGCTGGGTGCAGCGGTACCATTAGCTGTCACAGTAACAACCACGGTGGTCACAACGACCACAGTGGAAACATTGTTCGCGCCGGTGGTGGCAGCTGGTGTAGGTGTCACAAGAGGGGTTGAGGAGGTGAGAAGAGTTGCAGTCCCAGTGGATACGGCGGGAGAGGTTGAGGGACTCGAAGTAACGCTACCAGCACCAGTAGAAGTGCCAGAGCTAAAGGTGGTCGTAGAAGTAGAAGCGACAGAGGAGCTCGCAAAAGCACTCGTAGAAGTGCCAAAGCCGAAAGTGGTCGCAGGTGTGGAAGCGACAGAGGAACTCGTAGAAACAATTGACGCAGGACTACTGGCGGAAGGACTCGCTACACTGGTGGGCAAAGCAGTGTCGGCCTGAGTAGATGAAGTGGTGGCAGTAGTGGTTGGACTGCCAAAGCCAAAGGTGGGTGCGTACGAGGAGGTGCCAAACTGACGCTTTTTCATCGAATTCATTGACGGGCTGGCGAGGGCGGATGAAGTCACAATAGCTGAGGAAGCACATGGGTCATAAGTGCTCGAGGTAGGAGTGCTTGTTGGAGACGGTGAGGCACTTGTGGTGGTCTCGACACAGTCGCCACCGTCAGTGGTTGTGTTGTTTGTGGTACCATTTCCAGTTACCCCTCCTTGAACGCCAGCAGCAACAAAACGTGCCTCAGCATCACTTTGTGTGTCACAGGCGAGACTGGTTCCAGCTTTGGTAACGAGAGGAAGTGCGAAGCAAGACAGACCGGACGAACAAGGTGTGAGCTCCCAGGAGCTTCCAATGCATTGTGCGAAGGCACCACTAACGCATGCCTGAGCACCACCTGAGGCACGATCTCAATAAATGGACAAGAGCGAAAAAATTCGATTGAAGAACCCACTGGTGCAAGAATCATTGGAGGTCATTGTAGCAAACTGAGCATTCAGTTTTTGGGCATCAAGACCGTTTTGTTGTTGGGAAAAGCCTGAAGAATTGGATACGAGCACGTAGTAAGATGCAAGAGGTGCCGCACTAGCCATGGAAGCCAGCATGGCGATCACAAAGAAATTATGAGAGAGACCCATAACTGTAGAAGATGATGTGTTTGAGTGAGCGTAGGTGACTGTGAGTAGCGTTAGAATGAACGTAAGAGCTCCTGGCTCTGATCTAGAAATTCGTTAGGTTGATAAAAGACGAAAGAAGAGGCTGCAGTTACGAGTAGATGGGGATCCAAGGCCATCTGCCTTTCCTTTATATACGGAAACAACGGTTGTGGACGCATGGACACTCGCGCAGCAGCTTATTGTTTGAAGCATAATAGTTAGAACTTTCATTGTATCGCAAAATAGATTCCATATTTAAAACTCAGCGATTGTACTTAATCGTTGTTTGTTTGGTTTGGTTTATCTTCTTGGGCAAATATATTTTGTCTTAGATGTGACTCAGATCGGGATTATCCGTTTATCTTATTATATTACCTTCATTGAAATTTTGAGATTGAGATGTTGCGCCTGTTAACTCGTCCTCTTTATCTCTCCGCCACCCCTTCATCATCCCTGCGTTTCAAACAGGGCATTGCACTCAGTTCGAGAAAAATGGCGACCTCTAGCACTCCAGACTTCGTGCGTACTATTTTCAATCAGTTACATGTCCTTACCAGGAAGCTCTATTATTGCAGAACAAAGTCCTCTATACACCTCTGGCAGAGATCGATCCTGAAGTGCAGAACATCATCGACAAGGAAACTTGGAGGCAGTTTTCCGGACTCGAGCTTATCGCGTCTGAGGTAGATCTCACAGTTCACTGTCCTCTATCTTCATATTTTCTGAGACATGTCTTAGAACTTAACGAGTCGCGCAACTCTCGAAGCAAATGGCTCAATATTGACCAACAAGTACTCAGAGGGTCTTCCAAATGCCCGGTACTATGGTGGCAATGAATACATCGACGAGCTTGAGATTCTTTGTCGCAAGCGGGCCCTTGAAGCGTTCAACCTCGACCCTGTAAAATGGGGTGTGAATGTCCAACCTTATTCTGGCTCTGTGAGTATTTCACCACAATCAGGTACTCTGTAATCTTGACAATCAATGACTCTCATGCTAGACTGCCAAGTACGTCCGACGTCGCTTATGTGTGATCGTGTCTCACATTATGTGACCGATAGCTTTGCAGCCTTAACCGCTCTCATTCAGCCTCAGGACCGCTTGATGGGTCTTGGTCTCCCAGATGGTGGACATCTCACACACGGTTACTACGTGAGTTTCTTTTGCCACGTCAATGGCTAGCTTGGGTTCTGAAGTCCGATCAATTAGACTGCCAAAAAGAAGATGACCGCTTCCTCAATATACTTCCAGTCTTTCCCCTATGCAATTGATCCCGCAACACAACTTATCGACTATGCAGGCCTTGAGCGTCAAGCAAAAATCTTTAAGCCCAAACTAATCATTTGCGGTGCATCTGCTTATCCCCGTGACTGGGACTATGCTGCTTTGAAGAAGACTGCAGATGCAGAGGGTGCATACCTCATGGCTGATATTGCACACACCAGTGGTCTTGTCGCAGCACAAACACTGAATAACCCTTTCGATTACTGTGACATCGTTACCACAACGACGTGAGTTTTCCACTCACAACTGAGACTTCTTTCACACTGACATATCTTAGCCACAAGACCCTCCGCGGCCCTCGCGCTGGCCTAATCTTCTTCAAAAGAGACGGACCCAACAGCCAGGATCTTGAGAAGCGCGTTAACGACGCTGTTTTCCCTGCCTGTCAAGGTGGCCCTCACAATAACGTTGGTATCCCAATCTCTCGGCTAACAAACACAAGCTGATAACAAAATTATACCAGACTATTGCCGCTGTCGCTACTGCCCTTCTGCAGGTATCCCAGCCCGCATTCAAGGTCTACGCTAGACAGGTTATCTCCAATGCGCAGACACTTGCAGCTGCCCTTCAGGAACACGGCTACAAACTCCAGACTGGCGGTACTGATAACCACCTTGTTCTGTGGGACCTCCGTCCCCTTGGTTTGACTGGCAGCAAAGTCGAGAAGGTGTGCGACTTATTGGGCATCACGATCAACAGTAAAATCTGTCTCCTGTATAAAAATGCAAGATACTAATGTTGGAATCCTGCAACAGAAAACGCAGTCTCTGGCGATGCGTCTGCCCAAACTCCTGGCGGTATCCGTCTCGGCACATCGGCGCTCACGTCCCGTGACATGACTGAGGGGGACATCAAGGTCGTCGCTAGCTTCTTGCACCGGGCTGTGCAACTCTCGCTCTTCCTTCAAAAGGAGGCTGGCTCCAAACTTCTCAAGGACTTCATCCGCGCCGCAACGACGAAGGGCTCGGCAGGTGCGGCACAGGTGGATGATCTCCGCAGAGACGTCGTCGGGTTCGCACGGAGATGGCCACTCCCTGGCGTGGATGTCAGCACGCTCAAGCGTCCGGCAGGTATTGAGGAGGACTTCTAGGTGTTGACGCGTGGGGTGTGCTCGAGTTTATCAAAAAGATTCAACGGTCGCTTATCACATGGCGTGGGCATTCAACATCGTTCACATCAGGTTGGGCATTCAACATAGTCTACATCTGACATTGTATCGATAGCTGCTGCATATTATCATTAATGTTATTCGCAGTCAAACAGTCGCTGAAGGTTTACCCTTAATTAATGTGGCTCCCTGTCGAGACATGCCATGCGGACAGACACTTGGAATCCCGAACTACTCATTCTACCCTAGCTGAACGTGCGAACATATGCTGACGCTGGCGGTTCTATGATTCCGACCAATCCCTCAGTTAGTTTTGAAGTGGCTTACATAAATACAAAATAATTCGTAAACAAACCATAAAGAATGATGCAAATACTAAATAAATTACAAATTGAATTGGAAGGTACGCTCTCCCTCCACGTCTGTTGATGTTAATTTCTCCACAATTATGTCTTTGCCTATTGAAGGCGCACTACCATTTTCAGTCACACTCTGCGCGGACGACATGGAGTTCCTCACGACACTCGATAACGAGGGACATCTCGAACAATCTGTTTCGAGCTATTCCAAGTCAACGCTGGCGAACACTACAGTTTCGCTGCTGTGTGGTCTATCTATACCTTCAAAACCGTAAGCGCGATATGCAAGTGTCACTGGGATAAGAAGATCGCAAACGATAAGCGAAATAGCAGCCTATATCTGGATGTCACGATAGATCCTGAACGAACAAGCCGAGTAAAAGATCGGTTTACCTTGACGTGTCTGAACACAATGATGCCTGTGGAATCGGCCCAAACAACACCGCAGAATGCAGGATAGTAGTCACAGCGCTGACGTTGAAAATAGCTGCGGAGAATGATAGCAAGACTAGTATATTTCGGCTCTCAGGTAGCTAGATGCGATGCGATATCAGAAGGAGCAGGGTATCTAGCATTTCATCTGAAAATACGTCCGCTGATCCAATCATATTAGACTTTGAACTTCGACAAGGTTCTGACAAACTTACTAATTTGAATTATGTTATCGCAACAAAATTGGGAATGCTATATTCGTGGTATTCGCAAATATATATTCTTTGGGCAATGATCCCGATGAATACGATAACGAAGGACATACCTGTGCCATAAACGACGTAACTGAGGGCACTTTCAGGAGCATAGGATGCTGGCTCTCGCAAACCTTGCAAGACGTGAGTACAAGAAGTACGAACTTGAACGACGGGTAACGACTTATCGGAACGGCTATGGATACGAGCCAAGATACGCGGTTGACCGCTGCACCTACAATCTCGAGAAGTCGCTTGAGAAAGTCCACGAGTCAGATAAAGATTCTGCTTAAACCGCCATTGGTCGGTCAAGCAGGGCACAAACCATGATAAAGCAGATTAAATCGAAAGCCAGGGATAGTGCTGCCCACATGTCTTCCCACCACAATCGCGCGACATAGTACTGATGTGACAACCTCAGCGTAGTGCACGCAACTGCCACTCCGTGAGAGAGTGCCGCTATCAGTTCCAGACTCTCATAAGCCTGAGTAGATGGGGTTGAGTCGAACTTGGTACGTACTCTCGAGACTCGTTGTCTATGATTGAAACATCACATAGCAAGAGAAGAGACGAAGTGAGAAACATCGCAAGGCGCTTTTTGTGAATGGAAAACATGCCGGCAACATTCCCAGCAAGTTCTGGTTCGTTACCTTCGGACTTAGGGCTATGTGGCAACCGGGATCCCATCAGGACGATATTTGGCTTTGATCCCCTCTTGACACGATGTGCAAATGGTCTTGCAAATGGTTCAGCTGTGACTTCTCCACGCACCCAGAACCTGACCAATCCAATCAATCACGCACCTCTAAATATCCCCGCGGTGGGCAGGTACCTGTGTTAAATTTAGCGTCGAGCTGAGGAAATCGACTCCGAATTCGAACATGTCATTTTGCACGACACAATATGATGGCGTGATCGACCATCTAATTTCTGAAGGAGGACGGCAAAGGAAAAGGCGATACTGTGAATGAGCTGCTGGAAGACCACTGTTCGATATGATCATGATGGTCATAGAAGACTGGAAAGGAACAGTACTGCGTGTTATGTAAAAGGCTCACCGTAACACAGAAATGACGGTCATACGTCCCATGGACCATAAAGGTACTCACATGCTGATGTTCACCAAGCGGTGCAACCTATCTCAGATCGTTTCAGATATACATTCGCAGTGCATGCACTTGTGATAAGGTAGAGGTGGCCCATGCTGCGCCAGGCTTTTCAACTCCTCAATCCATTTACTTTATAACAGCCCACTGTTGGCTTCACCGACATAACCGTACGAAGCGGTGCAGGCTGAGGTGCCAAGGTTGTAAGGGTCATTCCCAGGTTCACATTTTGAGTTGAGTCCCGCATACGGGAAGCAGATTTCACTGGGGCCAGCTACGAGTGGCCAATCCTGGTATTTCCAAAAATCGGTGAGTGTGCATGTACTGCTGGGAGAGATAGTTACTTACGTTCGGTTCACTGTATGAGCAGTTGTTGAACGTTCCCGGATTTGCAACAGAAGGGTAATAGCACGTGATGGTATCGCCTGAGCACGTCCAGTAGTTAAGACATGCATCCCCTTGCGTTACACTGATTTGCTCATAATCGCAATTAGGGCAGGCCTCGCAGGATGCACTAACCCCCGTACCGAACGCAAGGAACAAGGAAACGGCAAGTACGAAATGAATCATGGTTGCACTGACGTGTTAACTGTTAGATCTAGCATCAAGAAGATCGCGCGACGAAGACGTACACGGTGTAGTTGATTCAACTACCCAGCAGCTCTTTGGCTGGACAGTCGCTCTTATATGCAAGTTACTTCAGGCACAATTTGGAATGTGGTGAGATTCCATAAGTCTCGCGTTCGCAGCCAGTGGTGTCATATGATGCGTGGTGTGGGTCTGTTCGAATGACATTAGTGTGATTACTTCCAAAGCAATGCCCATACTCATACTAATTGCTCAGTCTTTTTGTTCGCCTGATGGCACCCACGAAGTTTTATTACGCCGTTTCACATGCATTTCCAAGCAGGTATCCAACAACTACACAGCCAACAAGACCAGCCCACCGGTGGCCGCCAACCTGAACATAGCATTATTGTTGAGAATACTAGTATATGCAAGTCAGAAGTCACCGGAACACATATTGTATGTCGTTTGCTCACAAGTGTGATCAAAACGTGACCAAGTCTTCTTCGCCAGGAAGGGGAAAGTAAGCATCATCCTGCTGGCTCTCGTCAAGTGGACTCCAAGTTGGAGTCTGAGAGTTCGATGATCTCAGAAAGTGCGGGATTGGGCCGGTGTCTATGCAGACTGGATGTAAACCTCTGCCCTGTCAATGAGTTGCTCGAAAAGTGCCGGGAAGTCTGTCAAGGCCGCCGCATGATGTCACTATCATCCCGCCTGCTTGCCGCATCAGGATCTTTACCTCCATCTCCCTGCGAGTCTCTCATGCTTGCTTGCCCGTCTACTACTTCCTCCGTGTTTGCCTATTTCCTGTCTGCCTGCCAACACTATGTCGTTCCCAGTCTACAGCTGACATGTCCACTAGAACCGCGACGACGAGGTAACAAGGATGGCAAGATTGGCATGGTGGTGGTTGACATAGATGGCGGGATGCGTGACGGCGGCTGACTTAGGCGGCAGGGCAGTTGAGATGATGCAAGACAACAGACCAAACAGCCCCAAACTTTCCGGATCATCACTGCAGACATGTCTGGCCATTTTCTACATGTCCTCGGTGATCTTTTAATCTACTCAAATATTAATGAGGCGATGGCAAGGTGCCGAACCATGATATAGGCCGTGGGAACGAGCTACCAGAAGTAAGCGCAGTGGGCAATCGGACTACGGTACACCGGCGGTCATGTTCAACCGCTCATACGTACCGGTGGCGGTGATTCAGTGGCTATTGCATCCTCCACGACGTACTATGATGCTGCGCGTTTTTTTTGCTGTTGGTCTATCCTACTTTTGAAATTAATGCAGTGATAATATATATAACATGTGTATTTGTAGATGTGACCGTAGACATGCAATGCGATATGCCAAATGGGCTCGACCGTGTATGAAACCCCTAGGAAAGAACAACTGGCCTCCTAACCCAATAAATAACCCATTTATCCCCGCGAATATTAACAATCTGAATACTGCGCAACACGCGCTTTTGAGAGATCACGATGAGCAGCTGGACTCACGACGATTACCGCGGCAATCCAGGCCCATTGCTGAGTTCTTGTGCGACCTTTTGCACAAGCGTCATGCCCAAAGGCTTCAGCATCTCCTCCCATATCTTTTGACGCCGCCTGCCTCCAAAAATACCCGCACTTCGCTCGCCCGTTTCGCCCTCAGGGCCAAAAACGTACACCTTGCCACGAGAATTGTCCCATGGCCGCTCTCCCTGCGCGAATGTGATCCACCGTTCCTGTATCGCATCTCGCACACGGGCATACATCAACTCGTCAACAACGGGCTGGGTCCATCCGCTGCAACTTGACTCTGAGCCGTAAGAGAACTTGTCGATATCCATGAGGTCAAGCTCGTCGATGGTGCACAGCTTGTCGGGGATCTCGCCTATGTCAGCAGAAGTCGATCTTGACGACGGGAGTGATGGAAGCGACTCGTCAGGGTCAAAAGCAGTAGGTGAGGGCGAAAGTGATAATGGAAGCGAGACGTTGTCGAACAAGTATACCAAGTCTGCTGCATGGTGAGGCATCCCCTGTGTAGGACCCTCCTGGTCAAATATATACCGCCAGACCTGTCGACCAGTCCTCTGCGCAGCTTGAACAACGCATTCCGTGGGCCACGCTATGCGTGCATCCTCCACGAGCTCAAGTAGACGGTCGGTAAGATCTTCCGTAAACATGTGCGAGCCTATCTCGTAAGCATTGAGAAGAGCAGAGGATTTTGTGATAGACTGGCAGATTGCACGAATTCGTCGCACAACAGCGGGTGCGGCCCACTGACGTGCAGGCTGAGACCAAAGAGAAGAGTCGCATGCGCAGTCACCGATAAGGAGAGGCTGGAGACCAGGGGTGGATGTATGGGGAACGGCCGGCAGACAGCTGCTCATTGGGTGCGGACTTCGACTCTTGCTTTTCGCCTTGCGAATGGCAAACCGCAGAGGATTCAGACTTCTGTCAAGAGGATCTCTGGCAGGCTCTTCTGACTCTGAGGGCGGGAAAAGGATATCTTTGAATCCTTTTCTGAAGAAGACACCGTCATCGACTGCGCGGAAGGGGAGATTGACGTTGACAAGTGTTTCAGGATCTATAGCACGAAGTTGTGCGACGGAAGAGGCGTGCAGTGGAGCCAATGCTCTAGACAGTTGCCATCCAGCTGAATGTGGTTCTGGAGGATTATGCTCGATGATCGCGCTTTGAACAATTGCCCGAGCAAATAGGGGGCGAGTCAAGTTGGCATTGGAGTACAGGTGAGCAACGATGTCTGCTGCTCCCGAAGAATGTCCGAATAGGGTGACATTGGATGGGTCTCCTCCAAAATCTGCTATGAAACGGTTCACCCATTCTAGAGCCTGACGTTGGTCACGCAGGCCTGTGGGACCATCAGTCAAAGCGTTGTGAGGGATGCAAGATAGACTAACCATAGTTTCCCACACCTTCGTCGCCTGCTGCTCGGTTGTCTTCTGTCAACTGCATGTTTGCGGCAACACCAAATACTCCTATGCGAAAGCTAACCGTGAACGATGAATACCACCGCACTGATATACGTAAGGCGGAAGGAAACGTACTTGATTGTGACCATTATGATTGGTGAACCAATACAAATGCTCTTTCTAACAAGAGCGCCGCCGTCATAGATCCAACTTGAGCCACAACCACGGTTGCCTCCCCTACTCATATGAGCGTCTATCACACGATGAGGGAGTACAGGACTAGTCTCACCCATGGATCCAAACCATAACTGGAATTTGTGATTCGCGATGATGACCAGCAGGACAGGTAATGTTCAAGTTGAGACACTCAAACTCATCCTGTTTGAAGACTTGTCTTGGGATATCACTGTCGGCAAGACCAATGAGCTCCTCTTCAAGACTTTTCCGGTCAAGCTGTGGGCATATTGGGCTGAACGAGCACTTTAGCAGTTGAATAAGCACAATACGAAAAGGAGACGTACCCGTGACGTGTTGCATCGACTGCGGAGGGGTATGAAACAACGAGTTTCGATTGACGAAAGCGAGCTGGTACATTGGCGTATTTGATTCCACGGAATTGGTGTATGGGTACATCCGGGGTGGATATTGGATGATCGATGCCTTTGAAAGTGGTCCCTAGCACACTGTGGTGTAGGATAACATGCGAACGATCGAGTATCATGAGGAATTGAGATAGGGAGAGAAAGGTAAATAGAGAATTTTCGTGGTGTAGGGTAAGTGGAGAAAGAGGAGGATATGGAGTATGTACGCTGTGTTCGATCAAGCTTGTTAGCCCGCTTGTATACTAACTGTCCCCATCCTAAATTGGGTCAACGCAGGTGAAAAATCCAAGTGTAGTGCTCAGATAGGCAGGTCTGGAGATGGAGTCGATCACCACACGTGATGACTCGGAGCGGGGTAAACCGGAATCAAAATATATCTCGACAAGGTTGCGACAAAGCCTGGTCAAACCCATTCTTGTCTGGCTTCGTGTGATGAGTCAAGTGAACATGACTAGTTTGGCCAATTCAATTGTGCCATTATGATATGAAAAACTCACGCAACAAGATCATGGGGCTATGACGTATAACTTTGGCGGTGTATTGTACTCGTTGGAACAGAAGCCTGATCGATTCGTCGAAGCCCTGACCGGCACCAGTGCCTATCGGTGCACTGCTTTCAAGCTCTGGGCATGGCGGAAAAAAGCAATTTCAGTTCTGCACGATCAAAATCGAGATGCATATCAACGGAGCAAGTACCAAGGGCTGGTTCAAGGCATTCTCAAGAGTGTCCTATCTGCATCATCGGGTTCAACAGTACCGTGACTGTCAAACACACCGAAACATCATCGTCAGAATCAGCGGGTCCCACACCGACATGATCATCAACAATGTAATCGTGACGAGTGCATCTAGAATACGCATGTAACAACGGCAAGCGATAAGTCTGACAAAGAAGATTATCACCAATGCAACGCCCTGACCAAATGGACTACCAAGTACGTACGATCAAAGGTAAAAACACGACACTTACCTCAAAGTGCGTGCACACGGTGCGGAAATTTCGACCTCTGGGTTCAGTGCGCAGATAACTGAAGGATAAAGACAATTCATATCACAAAGAAGAGAGCTTTTATATCGTCTTGAGTTCATCGATGAAACCATCGTTTTCTTTTTGGCAACCACATTCGGATCGATACGGATCCAGATTCCCACGTTCTATGTACGCACGATGATCCGTCTGGAAGTCCAGGCCATAGTGCTATCCCCACAGAATTCGGCACTTTCGAAGTTCTAGTTACTTGAACATAAAATAGATGAGGCTGAATGACCACGATTAAAGCAGAATTGAGTGATATACGGGTACCGAAGTCAGTCTCCTGCCGATCTTGTGCCGTGACGGAGTTTCAATGACACTTCTGGGAGATATTTGCAATATCAATTCTCAGGGCGCTAATCCAGCTCTCGGATCCACATCCGGATCCTACCATATTCAGCATAATAATCCGATCATCGAACTACCTCATCGATGAGTCATCCACTGTGCAATGTACATGGGCCGAGTCTCACCACATCCCCTACAACTACGGCACTAACTTTGGTCACCCTCGTACTTGAGTAGGCATATCTACCTCGTAACGCTTGCTTACGCCGAATACTAACCGAACTTGCACTCTTGCTTGACTGCCAAGCTCACTTGAAACCAGCCCATGTTGACAGGCTGTGACTGTCCTAAGCCCATCAGCCTGAGACCCTGAGCATAGGTTCTCGAAAATGTTATACAGCTTCACAGGGTAGCTTGATTACTCCACTGCACAGAGGATCCCTGGATGGCAAAAAGATTGCAGCAACCATTCGAGCCAATCTTCAATGATCACATCTTGAATTTCGCTGTTCCAGGATGTCACCATCTTCTGACCAATACAACGCTGATTCTAGTCAGGTAAGACTCTCTGCATTTGGAGGGGGGGCTCTGATCAAGCTTCATTGAAGGCCTGTCTGCAGTAGTGTTTTCTGCTGCAGTCCATGCACGTGGGAGGAAGCACTTCGTAATCCCGTCCTTGTGACAGCTGCCATGCATCTTGTGAGACTTTATTGGTCGGGGCTGTCTGCGTAACCCTGCAGGTTACCATCGTTAGAAATTCCGCCAGAACCCATGAGAAACATGGACAAAGTGTCATCCTGCGTCACATATATGACCGGTCTTCACAATTTGCATTCAAAGCTTATCTTCTTGTCTACGCGAGATATCTGATGGTGGCATTACACTACTCCTCTCGACTGTGTGGTGAGTTGGAAGTTGCTAGTATTGGGTTCTGCTATGTTTATCATCATCTGGATAGTTGCGGGGTTGGTATCGCACAGTATTGCCATCATCTGCACCATCTTCAGGCTCGTTTACAGAGGCCGGATGCATCACTTATGGTGGGAAGATGCATGGGCAGCATTTGCGCTGATCGCAGACGGTATAATTTTTCTTGTACGCTGCCTTGATCAGTGAACCAACCACATCCCCTCAGTTGTTTGCCTGGCATGTATCTGGGTCGACAGAGAAATAAGTGGTGAGTAGTACTTGACTTGGCATTCCAAGAATAGCAGCATGTTCATACCACTCCTAGCATGGGTTCTCACAATCGCTTTTACCACTGTGCTGTGGTGCGCATCATAGCTCACTCAGTCACATTTATAATTGACTGGTTCAGGGCTGCGCGCATGAGCATCATTTTCTCGATTATCCCCGTCGCCAACCACTCGGGATCCAAGATCCACAAACAGATGACCCATCTCATCGCAGTATCCTTTGCATGTATGTGGGTCGCGCTGCTTGCTCAGAAGATCAGGTTATGCAGATTCGAGTCATGCCGCATGGGCAAGTCAGTGGCGCTCTCGCTTTTGATCAGTCAGTACCTATGTACTTTCTTTGTGTGCTATGGTCCTCAAATCATTGGTTACTCAGCGGATGTCACCGCGGATATTTCCCTCGTTGCTGCGCCGCTTTATCTCTTGAAAAACGTAGGCCTTTCGCATAGCAGAAAAATACTGGTCCAATCTGCATTCGGCGCATCACTTTTAATCACCGCCATCACAATCCCCCACTCTGTACTCCTCCTCCTCGATATCTTCAACACAACTACGCTTATGTTTGCGCACATCAAGGTAAGCATTCTTCCGTCCTCACACTGCTTTGAAAAATGCGACCGAAATTAGACCGCCCTCAGTCTCATCATCTGTAACTCCCTGGTGATTGTGACCTTCTTATACCGCGTATACTCAAAAGACACATTCAACCCCGACCGGTCATTCGCATCTAATGAAGTCTTCACGAGTGTCATTATGATGCCAATGGATAGTAGCACACATACTCTGACGTCGTTTTCCTTACAGAAAGGGATAACCTCGAGACAGATAAAGGTGCAGACCGGAGGGGTGAAGTCTGGATCTGAAGACGCAAGTGTGCGTTACGCCGAAGAGGGCACCAGTATTAAGAGTAATTAGAAACATTCAAAGATGGTGAATGATGATGGATTAGGAAGGAAGTTGCGAAATAAGATGGTAGCCTGGGTTTTCATATTACCATCATGGGATGTATATTTGTATTATATGAGTTGTACTGAAGTGTCGATAGATGCCATGTGAAATTTAGCGCGTGATCTAAACACGCGTATGTACATGAGTTAAGTTAATAGCTACCTGTTTTAATCGGGTTAAGTGCTCGCTGTAAGTGGTTATCATAGGCAGCGAACACTTCTGTTACATGCTAGTCGGACGCGAAGTGCAAACTTAAGGCGAACCAATCTCGACGTGAGATGTCATTTGATATCTTTCCACAAACCAAGTAGCATTTCATAGCAGATGTCAGTATGTAAGATACACCGAGTACAACATATTATGCATGTCGAGCAAGTAATACAAATGCGAATATAAGCCCGTAACATGGTGTTCCAGATGACCCCGATCCCAGCAGGTAATATCAAAATTCTGGACAATTCGAGCGGATCGACCGCGGTGCTGTACAATATTTGGTGTGGTTAGTGGCGTGAGTGTGACATGCGGATGAATCAATCATCGCAGGGTGATAATCATGACGAGCCAGAGATAGCGCCATTGATGGCGTTCAAAAGAATGTTGTTGTAGTCGCCGCCCATCTCCCACAGGGCGAAACCAGCCAGGCCAGACTGTGCAATGAATTTGCCCTTTGCGGCTGCAGGAAAATTAGATAAATTCCAGCTGTTTAGAGTGGAAAAACGTACTGAAGGACTGGGCGTTGTCGTAGGCTACCATAACTTGCGTGTTGGGGTTGTAGACGTAGGGCTAACAAAGGACAATAGTTAGATCAGCGAAAATATAGCTGACAAGGATTACGTACCGTCTGACTGCAGTTGTCGAAGCGGCTAGTCATACCGGAAGCAACACTACCAGTCCTGGTTGAGGAAACCGGCATCAACAAGTCCCCAGAAGTTGAAGTCCCCAGAAGCAGGTTGGCTAATACCGCAAGCGTCTGGACCGGCAGCATCCCAGGTGTCACCGGTGACGGGGTTGTTGGTGTTAAAGCTGGGGTATGAGGCCAACGTGTTATTCTGGACAGCTGCAGATTGGCTGATGGAGTAGCCATGTCCGTAGCTAGGCACACCAAGGACGATCTGTTTAGCAGAGAACCCTGCAGCAGTCCAGAGCTTGACGGCGGAAGTCGCAGAGCCAGCTTGGTCAGCAGTTGGAGCACAGGAGTCGTCTAAAGGAGAGTTGGGGCCCACAACCTTGCTGAAAGTGTCGCCGTACACGTCGTAGTTCATGATTTCTGCGAAAATATTAACGGCTATAATGACAACCATTGACCAGTCCACCAACCAATGTAATCCAAAGCCTGGGCATAACTGGATAGGTCAGTCGATGGGTTCCCTGTAGCATCGTTCCATGGTTTGACAGGGGTAGCAGCAGAGAGTGTGATATTCGGCAACGCTGTCTTCAGCTCCTGAAGCGTAGACAGAAGGTTGGTAGTATCCTGAGACGACTGTGTGTTGCAAGAAAGACCGTTGGTGCTACCAGGGTACTCCCAGCTGTAAAAAAAAAAAAAATCAACATCCAGGATAGCCGTGTCAAATTAAATATACATACTCGAACTCGACACCTTGGAAGCCATACTTGTTCACCATGCTGACGATCGACTGGACAAAAGTCGTACGGTTGCTTGAGGTAGACATAGACGATGAGAAATATATGGAACCATCCCAGCCACCGACAGTCAATACAGGGAAAACGTTCTGTTGTCTAGTAAGCCAACCATCGGCCACAAAAAAAAGTATAATCATACGTTTTGTTTGGCAGCAGTGACGAAGGTGACAGGGCCGCTAGGATCGCTGTCACCGACGGTCATTGTAACGGTACCATCAGCGGAGGTGATAGCTCTGTATACCAAAGTGAGAAAAGTGTGCATGATGATTCCAAGGGGCAATTGAACTCACCCGAAGTAAGCTATTCTGTTGAAGCCCTTCCACGTAATGTCAGCAACCGTGTAGTCGGTGTGCCAGTTAGCAAACCAAGCCATTGCGATAGAACCATTACCAGGGTTCACAGGGGTGGAAGTAGACGCTGGGGAGGTAGCAGTTGACGAAGGTGTAGTACCACTAGCAGTAGTCGATGTAGGTGTAGTGACACTAGCAGCAGACGACGATCTGATAGAGCAAGTTGGGGCGGCAGCTACAAACGGCAGCGCCAGCAGAGAAGCTATCGCTAGAGAAAATTTCATGATGATGAAAGGTTTTTAAAAAGATGGACGTCGACAGTGAGTGAATGAACTTGAAAGCGAAAGTTGTGAGTAGGTGCTAGCTAGAGCACTGATTGCAATCAGGACCAGGCCTTGAAGCTTGAAGTAGTTGAAAATCAGACGGGGAAAGTAAAGAACGAGTAGACAGGCAAACGAGCCTTTTGTAGTTATGGAACAACGTGTGGACTGAATCGTGCATGATCAATGCGGCTCCACTAGGCCCAAATTACACACACTTTTGTTCTTCTTTTGTTCATGGTCCTACGAGCGCCTTTTCTCACGCTGAGCATTGTTCAGTAGCCTTGTCCCCCTTGGTAAGATCCTTCCCAATCAATTGATCGCTCAGTAGAAACACTAACACTTAAGTTTCAACTGCCACAGGAACTATCCGAGACCCGTCGGGGGAGGATCGATCAATTCTTTTCGTGATCATACTTGTGACCGCAGCGGCAGACGGGCCCAATCTCTATGCCAATGCGCCCAAGGACCAAAGCTTCGTCTTCACAGGTCCAATGTGCACTGGTGACTCGGAGAAGACGCCTCTTTGTTATTTCCAGGAATCGAGATGATCCTAATTAGTTTGGCGCACACCTGGTGCAATCCAATTTCTAAAAAATCATCACTCAAGCAGATGGGCTAGCGGTGATCACTGATTAGGTGCTTGCCGAGGTCAAGTCTCTGCGACGGCCCACGGGCTCTACTGTTAGGCCACGTAACTATCGGACTCGACATGATGCATGATGTGCCAGGGTCTCCGAGGCACGACAACTCGTGACCATGGCGTGAACTTCTTGAAGCACGTCCTCCGAGTTCAGTCCATTGAGCTATTAATAATGCCATCATCACTGAGTACTGATGGACCGAAGGTTTCAGGAGCAAGAATAGAAGAAAGTCTATCCATTAGGAAGAACCCCTCGCTAGCCTCCAGTAGCTGACCCAACGTCAGATACGATAATCGATATCTTCGATTATGCCCTCCTAGTGCTACGTAGTCCAGCACGACTGCACGCAATCATCATGGCGATAAATCTCAATAAATGGCCTTCACCGACGGAAATTAGTTTGCTCAGGAAGCTTTCACAACAGTTGCACAATTGACGTTCGCGTAGGTTGCCGTCACTCTGAATCGAATGATCGGTTGCAGGGCACTTGACTGAGGGGGTCCATCACACAGCAGTCACTTGAGTTATCGACGTATGTATGTATTTCATCTATTGCTGTCGTCCAGCTACACTTCGCGATGCCCATCGACCAGATCCAGTGCAAATTCTACGTGTCAACATATGAATTTTCTAGTCGTGAGAGTCGGGGACATAATATACAACGGTTCTCACTGTTTACACCCTTCACGAGAGCTATCCTTCCGTGTTCGCGAAAATTACACGGCACAAGTCCTGAACAACAGGGTTCAGTATGAAGGCCAAGTCACGAGAAGACCGCGCCCACCAATCACCGCCATCTAATCACCGTCAATACAACAGGTCCTAGACGCACTGTGAACATGCTGTCAAAATACGGGCAAGGAAGAAGCGCCGACGCGAGGACTCCGCACATCTAACTGTGTTGCACCCTGTCTTCTCAGCTGCCTGCAGCAATCAGCATGTTTGTCGTCCGAGTTCATAACGAACACAGCATCCCCCCTCAGCCATGAACATGAAACCGAACAGGCTGCCTCGAGGCAAAGTCTTGACCGAGATCCTATCCACCACCTCTAACAAGTCCGATTCGTACAGCAAGACGTCTGGCTTGATGTGCTTCGATTCTTCGAGAGCGAAATAGGGATATGGCTATGGCGATGGTCGCGAAAAACAGGTTGCATGCCACGAATTCGTAAAAATCAGCACGCTCTTTAGCAGGAACACGGCCGCAGGATTGCCATGCGGGAGTCTCCCCGAGAGCTCCTGGGGGTGGAGATATAGGGTGTGGTTCATCGGGGGGTGTTGTAGGTGTGGTCGTGTTCGAACAATGCATGAGTTGACGGTTTCCGAATGGATGGCAGAAGGGTTCATGAAGCTACGGTTCTATTAGTTCTCCGTCCAGCACATTTATACGTCAGAAAACATACAGCATCCACCGGACATGGTTCACATGCGCCAAACGGGCGACAAGTGACAGTCCGGTGTTGACTCGGGTCAACGTGTTGAGCCTGAGCAATATTCACAAAACATAAAAGCACAACGCTGCAGTCCACAAGTTAGATGGGTTATGATATTTGGTGTTGAGAAATACCTACAAAACTGAGTTTCATGACTGTGCTCGCCGCCGCCGTATGCAACATCGTGAAAGCATGAATGTGAGCAGGCGTGAGAAAACCTCTCTTCCTTGCCTCATACTTAGTCGACGCCGTAAGTACAACCCTCCAAGCCATTATAGTGCAAAGCTCACTACAAGGATAGGTCCTGCAGATCAAACATGTCTCGTCGCACAGCAGTAATCGAAGAATTCGATGATGACACTGAACTCCCGCTCCCATCGCGTCCACTTAATACTGGGCCGCGTGGGCCCCTACTCGAAGAGATAGGGCATTCCGACGAAGAGGACAGCGAGTTTGAATCAGACGATACGTCCGCGCTAGGCCAAGCATCACAATCACAATCTCCATTTCATGCCCCAACATCGTCTGGTCAATCGCAAGGTCAACCATCCAATACTGTCACTGACATCACGCCTTATAAGAAGTACGTTATTCATATAACTGCCCTTCACTTGCTAAGAGTTTATCAGATGGACATGCATCTACCCCATCTATATCGACGCGAAACGGCCATATGGGACGGGTGAGCGCCGGATAGCGCGCGAAAAGAGCGTTTGGTGGCCTTTGAGCAAGGATATCGCAGATGCGACTAGCCGGCTTGGATTAGGCACCTTGCATGAAGTACAGAAATCTCATCCTAGAGACTGGGAAAACCCTGGCCGTGTGCGCGTGCAGTGGAAGAAAGATGGGCGGCTGATGAACCCCGCGATCAAAACGAGTGCGCGAATTCATTCTACGATAACCTTCTTCTCTAATAACTCAAATATGTTCAGAAAAACAGCTGCTGGAGATGATATCCTTTCAGATCCAACGGATAAAACAAGATAATATTCCCCGTCCACCATACGTAATGACCCCGCCTCCAGTGTCTGTCGCTCAGCCAGCGATCAAACCTCCTACGTCCGCGAAAGGCAAGCAGAAGTCCAAAGCGGGTTCTGGTGTTGCCGTGCAGCTTTCCAAGTCAAGTCAACAGCGCTTGCCTACACCTCCACAACCTCTGCCAGCTTTGGCAAGCCGAGTATCTCCTTATTCACCAGCTTTACCCACGGGAATGCTCATTGAGACCGTTAAAGCTGGTATGAGTGCGCAGGAGCCAGGTGCAGGAGCTGCTCCGGGCCAACCAGGTGTCCAAAAAGGTAAACGAAAGGTTCTCAGAGTCAGGGGGTGATTTAGGACTCGGTGTGGTGCAATTGTTCTGTACGAAATACTTGAAGACACTCGTAAATTGTTGAACTCCGGTGGTGAATTTCCAACGCACTGGATCATTTCAAATGGGTGAAATATCAGAGGAGTTTGACTATAGCCCTGCAGTCTGACGACACCAGCTACGTCCGTACTTCCCGCAGGATTCAATGTGGCTATGGGATGGAGGAGAGCGCCAAAAATGTGCTTTATGTTATGCGGAGGATGTCTTATACCGATATTGCCTACATTGCCTTCCGGCTCCCGGTCGGTGAGCAAGTATGGTTAGGGTCGAGCGCTTCTTGTCAGTAAGACACTGCGTCTCGCTTAATGCTTCCTGGGCGCTTGGAGCAAGTACTGCGGAACTAGACCTTGATTGCCTTGAGGCAACTTGAAGTGGATCGCCCGCATCCCCTCGTGAAATCAACGTGATTATAATATAGGCGGTCCAGAAGCCTTGCGGCGACTTAATGGTGAGATGTTGGTCCGAAATAGTCAGTTCCCCGCTCTGATGGACATTGGTCGGCGCCGATTAGCGCAAAATCGCGGCTTTGACAAAAAAAATTGCAGGACCGTCGTCGTAGACTCGCAGTAATGCAGATCAGTGACTTACTTGAATTTAATGGCAGTCAACGATACCTACGATTGGACAGCCACGAATGTGCATCATGCCTCATGCAAAACATGCTGGTGATGAATAGAAGGGCGCAGATGCACAACGCGCATCATGAAAAACGCATGTTATGATAGGTCATCACGGATGATCTGGAATTGAATTGAGAGCATATATACGTAGCAGTACCCTCTCAACTTCGAGCAACCATTCCATTCTTCCATCTTCCATATCCCATCTTCCATCATGAGCTCCTCGCAGGATCGTGTGGGCCGCGTGATTAACCACAAGGATTATTACTTGCGTGGTGGGGACATGAGTGTGTTGGTAAGTCCCAGAGTATTCCTTGGTTGGTCCGTCCATTCTGATCTGGGGCGAACGTTGCAGATCGGGAACCATCTCTACCGTATACACAGTTTCTTCTTCTACCGTGAATCATTGGCATGGCGTCAAATGCTAGATACCCCTCCCGATGGCGGGGAACACGGCACGGCTGATGCTCCGAGTCCTTTCACCCTTGACGATGTCAAGAGCGAAGACTTTGAGCGCTTCCTCTGGGTGATCTACAACCCGTATGTGCGACCTCTGAGTTACTGTCCCTACCCTACTCACATGTGATTCCAGCCAATATTCAATCTACGATGCTCCCTTTGATACATGGTTGAGCATCCTGAAGCTCGCGGATCGATGGAGCTTCTGCAACATCAAAGACCTCGCTGTTCGCGAGCTCGAGAAACTCAATATCGAGCCGATCGAGAAGATCGTGGCATACCACGAATATAAGATCAACAAAACGCTCCTTCTCCCTGCATACACCGCGATGTGCAAACGTGATAAACCTCTGACTCTCGCAGAGGGCACGTCGCTCGGAATGGAAACCGTCCTCCGCCTTGCGGATGCACGCGAGCGTGCTCGGCAGCAAGCCGCGGAGAGCGGCATTCGCTCGCCGACGTTCGAAGATTTTGAGGATGTACAAATGGAGGATATGGTAAGGGAGGTGTTTGGCATTCCTCCGAGACAGATGTCGCCGGGCCAACACTCCAGAAACTCGTCTGGTGTATTCAACGGTTTCGGCAGTTTCGGCGGAACGAATGGCTTTGGCTTCAATGGTCTTGCTCCAACAACACACAAGCCATCTGATCCCTTGCACGTATCTACAGAGCCACTTTCACCTAATGGCTCAACAACTAAGGCTGATGGCAAGAAGCCACAACCTCCTCAAAAAGATGAGAAACCGTCGTCTGAACCGAACGGGGCTTCCTCCCAGCAAGCCGGGTCTGGCGCCGCTGATGGCAAAGGAGGCGCGGGGGGTAAGCCTAATGGCGCAGGTGAGTAGCTGACCACCCGTATCGAGTGTTTTGTTCTAATTCATGGTCCCTTTGTCATCGTAGGAAAACCCAAATGAGGATTGCTAGGCGGGTCTCATGCATAGCGCAACATGGTTTTTGTGTCATCGTTTTCGAGTTTGACTATGTTATCGAGGTGCTATGTCAGTGGTTCAACCAGTACATTACTTTGCCGAAAGATCTCAAGCAACTTCGGGGGAAATTGTACACTGTATGCGCGCGATTAAGTTAGAGCAGTCTATTCACTCCAGGACAGCGATTACCATTAAGATCTCCAAGTCAACTCAGTCAAGGCAATCTTTAAGAAAAACACAGTACTGGTATATGTATGCGTTTAAGCGAGATTATCCATTGGTCAAATCGATGCTCTCACTTAACCGCCACATAACCCGCCATGGTAATGAAGAGTTTAACTATGATGGTGGCCATAGATGAAGGAGGTGATTGATGTTTGTTGACGGCCATCCTTCAGCACCTTCAAATTCAACAACATCAAACAACACCACACAATGTCTCCTCCACTGCGCGACCCAACATCTGACTCCGAAGACGACGACCCAGACTACGCGCCTCCCGAGCACCAAGGTGTGTAACAGGTTATCCTATCGAGAATCTTCTTGTCTAACCAAATACATCAGACTCGGATAGTTCTGCGGATGAAGAAGGAAATGATGAAACTAATGTGGCGAATGAAGTAAAAGAGGAAGATCTAGTCGAGAAGAAAAAGTGAGGTGTGTCGGATGACCCTGTGGGTCAAATATATTTATCCTACTGTATAGGACGCGTGATACTCTATGGGCCAGTTTCCAAGCGTCTGTCACCACGCCACCGCCAGCGAAGGTCGAGGAGCCGCCAAAGAAGCTCGTGAGGATCGAGAAACGATACCTTTTCGCAGGGAAGAATATAGTGTATGTCTGTCCACTCGTTCCTTGTTACAGTGTGCTTAGTGATGTGAAGAGAAGTGGTTGAAGTCCCCGAGGACTCGGAAGAAGCGAAGAAGTGGCCACGGTGGGATCCATCAGAGTTGTTGTCTGCTGCTGCACCAGCCCCTGATTCTTCATCTTCAACTACCGATGTGAACGCGTCGGTCTCGAGTTCAGCAGCTCCCATACAACCTACAGCACAGAAATCTGCCACAAGGAAACCTCCAGGTCCTCGCAAGCCTCGCACATCGTTAGCGGACATACCGACTCAGAAGGCCAAGAAGATTACTACTCTGGATAAATCTGCAATGGACTGGCGCACACATGTCACATCGAGTGATATTAAGGACGAGCTTGATGCAAACCGACGCGGAGGTGGTTACTTGGAAAAGATGGACTTTTTGAAAAGAGTCGAGGACAGGAGAGAGGATGCGTATGAAGCGAGCAAGTCGAACAAAAGGCGAAGAACCTAAGACATGAGGACAAGTTGTTATTGCAGTCGAATTGTGTGTATGATAATACATGTTTTACTGTACCAATACAGGAACGTCAAGACAGACATTAAGAGTGATGATGCCCACCCTCATATCGCAGATACTGAGGAAGGCAGTCAGAGGGACAAGAACTTGGAGCGATGGGCGCGAGGGATCATTCAAAGAGGGACGAGTCGCGAAACTGGTATGACAACAAGATGGAAAATCGACAGGATATTTCAGGCCATTCACGTCCTGCATGCGGCCTTGTGCTCAGACCAATGTGACTTTTGGCACCCACCATCGCAATACCTGGAGAACTACTGGTCAATCATCCGCCTATGACAAGAGTGAATGAACCAGTTACCTCGCTTTCTCACAACCACTGCACTTCCTCAGCGCAGCACTGGGATTGCCGCACCACGAACATCTGTACAACGCCACGGTGTTCGGGCTGACTCGTGGATGCGAGCATCTCTGTGGCTGACATTCGTCTTCCTCTCCCTGTTCAATATGGAGGTCGTCAAGCCACGCAGCAAGATCATCTTCAGCTTTCTCTAAGGAGATGGGGCGTTCATCCATCATCACCTCGTCAAAGCGTGCAATCAGATCCTTCCACTCTTGTACAGCAGTGGGGTAGCGCTTGACGATATTTTGCTGCGTCAGACGCAACTGCGTTTTCGGGGGAATAGTGCCCAGCAGTATGCTAAATTCGTCGGCATATCCCAACTTCTTGAATGCGACCTGTACTCTGTTGTAAAGTACATTGAATGTCAAAGCCGGTGGACATACCTGAAGCTCTTGAAGGTCTGCTGGCGTCTCTGGTCCCTTGATGGCGAGAGTAAGGCAGATGTACCAGTATAGCACGTTCTTCATGTGTCTTGCATCTGGGGGAGCCTCCGTGACGTAAACCTTTGCGTCCTCCATCGCGCTCATAAGGAATGCAACACCCTCATCATATTTCTTATCTCCAGGGCTGGATTCCTGAATGCGACATACTCCCAGATTGCCTGCGAGCTCGACAGCACGATGCAAGAGCCCAAAGCATACGAACGGCGTCATCTTCGGGCACTTCAAGCCTTTCTTCGCAGAACGCAAGCCCTCGTAATGGTCTTTACCCAACGTGATCACATAGTAGAAGTATGCGAACTTGGGGTTGCGTTGAAGACCACGCTTTGCAGCTTCGATTGCATCAGGGATGCGAGACCTGATGATGAAAAACTTTGCGGTAATCATGTCTGCAAGATCTTCCTCTCCTGGACGACCCTTCGCACGGATGGCTCTAGCGCAATGGGGCAGTGCATCGGACCACATGATGAATGGTAGACCTATATCCCTGTTGATTTCTATCTTTCCAGTACGAGGATCTTGCATCTGGAAGCCGCCTTCTGAGATAGAGAACTCGGTTCTGGTGATGAGTTCTGCGAGCTTTAGACCAAGACTGTAAAGATCCTTGTCCTGCGCACACTTCATCATCGCCTTTTGGTTGTCGGCGGTCGAAGCCATAGTAAGAAATGTATCACAGCGCATTGAGCCGTAATCTGTCAAGATATCAACGAGATGGTCAGGGAAACGGCGTTCGATTGCTGCCATGAGCTTGTGGGGGTCGAACTGTCTCTGGTCCTCCTCTGAAGATAAGGCTTCGAGACGAAGCAGGCCACCCAACGCACAGACACGCACGGTAAGGTCCGCACTCCGCAAGCAGGCTACAAGCAAGTTCTGAAGTGGCGCGATAGTCTTGCACTCATTCCAACAGTGGAGAACAGGGTGCGTAAGCAATTCTAGGCCATGATGTAAGAGCTGAATGGTAACCCCAGGCTTGCGCATGAAATCTATTACGACTGGAATCAAAATTTTGATATTGGCCGCCTTAATGTATTTTTGAGCTGGTGAATCTTCCTGGTTGATCGCAGCGCCGATGGCATGAGCCATAGTAGAAATCGCCATCTCGGCAGCCCTGAGATCATCTGGGTTTTCTTGCATGATCTTGAGTAGGGAAGGGGACTCGAGTGAAATTTCTTTGCGAATATCTACGCCCCCATGATGCGTCACGGTCGTAAGTGCGCGGAGAGCAAGATAACGCGTGGAAGGAATCTTGATCAAAGGGGTAATCTTAGACACTAAGCCTATAGTATATAGTCAGTGCAATTCACCAACAGGACCGTGTCGTGGACCTGTACCTTTCTGAAAAAGCTTGTCTCGGAGGATGGCATCGGCACACATCTTGGTATAGATGCCGATGATTGCCCCGGTGATTTTCTCGTTTGTTATATTTGCGACGTAGACATCATCGATGTTATGATATGCTTCGTTGAAGTTGGCATGGACTTTCTTCAAGCCACTTCGTCTGGAGAGATCTTTGGGAAATAGAGTTAGGGCTCAAGTTGAAACGAACCAACAACTTGAAAGACGAGGATTATGCTGCATGCTCACCCGGTAACTGGAGGAACTCGCACAGTACCTTGACTCTCGTGTTCCATCCTTCAGCTCCCTCGACATCGTCTACCAACTCGATGAACTCCTCCGATGGGACACGTGCCACGGAATGAACATTAACAATTGGCTTTGGTTTTTTTGCCTTTGTCTTTCTGCGAGGACCTGGCATATGGACTGGAATGACAACAGATCCTAATCAAGTGGAAAAAGGACGGAGAGTCAAGCTGGGACTTCCGCAACTGGTGGCGATTCGCAACTTGAAGCACTACTGAAGCAGGTAGCTATAGCGCCCAATATATTATGTAGTGAAAGGAAACGATAGACGCCAATCGTCGAAGCTAAGCTTGAGGCCTTGCTCATTGATCTTGGACGCATTTGTGTCGTGCCATCTCATGGCTCAGCGCTCAGCGCCCAACATTCAGTGACTCAGTACTCAGTGCTTTCTGATTCATATTTGAGTCAACTGAAGTCAACTGATAATGAGCTGAGTTACATAAATCAGTGGTGCGAAAAGAACCCTCGGGAAACTGTTTAATGAGAATTAGGTGGCCCATCATGCACATGAGCTTTCGCAACTAGACAGTTTCTGTTAACCTGCCAAGTTCGTGCTAGTCCGTCGGGTATTAACGGCATGCATGGACTCGGCTCTTACCTAGTGGATGACTTTCCACTTTGATTAGATCCGCATCACAAATTTTATCACATTGGCTAAGGAGACATGCTGTTCGAACGTTGTAAACGTTCATTTCCGGTGAACTTGCAAATACATTTCACATGCACCTCTGGAACAAACCTTGATCTACTCGGAAAGTCCGGGAATTGGGCAGTCTGCCTGCAAGGTGCAGTCTGTGTGATACGGAGTTTACGGCCAGGGGTGTCAGTTGTCTGCCCGGACGCTGATTATCTTCCGCTATCCTAGTTCTGTCATCGCCTGCCTCCGTGCCATCTCTCGTTGCCCGCTGTCTCTTTCTCGCACCAGCTCTTTCGCCGCCTTTGCACGAGCTGTGGCCCTCATGAATCAATGGGGTGCCGCGACACGAATCAAGAAGTCCAAGAGGTCACAATGAGCCATCACTACTGGCATCATTCTTTTCCGTCATTCCGACATTACTTCTATGTGCAATTTTTTCATCACGGTCCTTACCGTTCTATGGCATCGTTCGATTTGTTCATAGATTATCGATCATCCTTGTAGCTTCTTGCAGCCATTATATTTGATCTGTATTCATAGCCAGATGAAATGTATCACTTTACGACGATAAGTGAGGGTGATGGGGGAACGCTTTCTCCATCAACGAGAGGTCTCTTCTCATTGAGAAGGCGGAACCATTTCGTGATCGTCAAAGCGACAGGATATCATCTCGTTGTCCAGAAGTGAACATGTTACGCACAACAAAGTTGAACAAAGGAAACGCTATGGTTGTGTTCATTCATTGGTGACCTTTTCGCCCCCATAAACCTACCACCCTCTGATCAGACAACCATTCTGCAATCATGCTAGCAAAGGATCATCGATGCCTCCTTTATGCTTCGGCCCCCGATAAGCTAGTTAACGTGCATATGCCAGGCTGCGCTGCGGTCGTGCACTCTAAAATTAGTAGTAGAACTAGTGTCTTAAGTGGCATATTCATGTATACATCCGGCTTTGCCGTCCGGACCGGAGCACCACCGTTCATTATGTAAATCAAAACGGTCAAACCCATAATGTTGCACGCTCAGTGCGCACCGCTGCGGTGATCATGCCAGTACATGCGGGTAGCCAAGCGGTCCCGATTTATGGAAACTATCATGGGTATGTCTAAAAGCTTCTTGTTTTGTATCTTTTAACAAAGAATTGTATAGATATTACTCTAAGCGTCCCTTCATCCGAGATCCACGACTGGCTTTGCTCCCCACCGAATTCTTCGTGGGTAAGCGAGTTCTGGATGTTGGATGCAACGAAGGCTGGGTGACTTGTGAGATAGGTAGGCTACCTTTGACGTGGTTCAGGACACCATTTGTTCAGCTCAGGAACCAGGACAGTTCAGGGGGGCACAACAGGTCATCGGAGTTGATATTGACGATACTCTTATCAGAGCTGCCTGGAAGAGAAGACGCACAGTGTGGAGTCTTCAGTCTCCTGAAAGCGGAGATATCAATGAGGAGCGTTGCCCACCGCCCAAACGACAACGACTTCTCGGTGATGCGTCCACTACGGACAATAACACTCACAATTATTTCCCTGCATCGTGCGAACATAGCTATGGTCCATTGCCCATCCCAGGCAGAGGATGCGGTGCTTTCCCGCGCAATGTCACCTTCCGAACAGTTGATTGGGTGAAGGATGAGATACCGGAAGATTACGATCAATACGACATTGTTTTAGGGTACGTGTCATGGCTGTTCTTGAGGAGACAAAGCGTCATCGACGTGATAGGTTTTCTGTCTCAAAATGGATTCATCTCAATAACAAGGACGAAGGACTGAAAGAATTCTTCTACCGAGTTCACCAATGTCTGAAAATGGGGGGTGTTTTCGTCCTTGAGCCACAACCTTGGGACACTTACTCAAAGGCTCGAAGGATGAGTGAGACTCTGAAAGAGAATGCAAAATATCTACAACTCCGTCCAGATGGCTTTGGGGAACTACTGGAGGAGCTCGGATTTAGTCATGGTCAGCGCCTTGGGGTCACTGGGAAAGGCGGTAAGTTGCGTTCATTCCCGAACAACAGAGTCTTATTAGATCGTTAGGCTTCCGTCGCCCCGTTGATCTCTACTTGAAGCAGCGATAAGATAGGATTTCTGTCTATGCTAAACCGGATATATCCTTGCAGTGCTGCCACAACAATTTTGGAGCATCATTCTTTACACTCACAAGACACGTAAGTTCATGGTACCAATGATTCGTGTGGAATTCGGATCCCGCCATGCTGTATCACGTGTATTTGTCTGATGCGCGAAAATTTTATGTTCGTGCACCTTTTAATGTTGTTTTTCACACTGCCTTCCTGTGAATGAATGGGTAGCGGCGGCGGCCTCATGCGTAGGAGAGATTCATTGCATCACCGAAGCACCCCGAGCGAATAGTGTCAATGATTATGTGGAAATCAAGCCATAGTTCACGAAGAACTGTGGGTGGCTGTGCACCCCGGACGAGACATACACACTCCCGAGCTGGGTAGCAGCACTACACTTCCTGCTCAGGAAAAGTCTGCCTCACCACCGAAGCACCCCCGAGCGCACTGTGCGCAGTACTTTATTGCCGGGAACCTCGAGCTATAGTCGGCGGATAACTGTAATAGCTGTGCATTCGTACCCCTGACCGAGACTCTGCAGAGCCTGCGCTCGCAAGGCGGTACATCGCTCGTTTTACGAAGGTTCACAGTTGTATCCTATGAGTTACAATTCTGCCGCGGACGAGCGTTCAAGTCATGAGCATATGGATTCTTGTCACCTAACCGCAATCAGTGATTATCATGTAGTTTCAGCTAGGACCAGCGAGGTATGCGTATTTTCCCTCATCTTCTCAAAATACTAATTTTTCAGTTGTCCAAATATTGCATATATAGGATGATCCCTCACGCCCGAGACGTCTATCATTGGGATAATTGAAAAATTGTCTTGATCTTCGCTTTAGCGCTCTCATCAGTGGCACTTAGTGGGGCGTCTGTTACGCGCCTATTGTACAGCTCTGCAGAGAGGCTGTGGAGTTATTTGCCGGGTTCTCTCAATAATTGGGATCGCGAACCGGCTGATCGGCTCACCTTGCGCAGAATATTTTGGATTAAAGATTAGATGGATATGCAGGACTGTAAGGGACTAAAATTAACTGTCGATACCGTTATTTGATGCTTCCTGACGGCGTATCCCGTGACACGCCCCATTGCATGTATAAGTAGTAAGGACTACAATCAGTGTGCCGAGCAGTCATCCACTTCCCCAGTGCAGCAACATGTCTACAGATAGCAGACACGCGCCGCACACTGGCAGGAGTCGCAAAAAGCTCCTGCAGCGCCTCTACCGCTCGACTGAGGCGGAAGACTTTTCGCAACTGCGACAGATCATCAACGAAATAACACAGGCGAACCCCCACACACGGCACGATATTCTGATAAAAGGTTGGCAGATTAAACTCCCGAGATCGAAGAGTTCGCTGACTCGTGAGTAGCTGCTGAGATTATTAGGCAGCTTGACATGGATTATCGATCGCTTCTTGAAGAACAGGCAGCTTCGACTTCAACTACTAGTAACACTAGTTCTCCCATGCAACGCCCTACCCCGGTTCATCCTGGTGAGTTAGCAATGCTTCTTCCCGGAGAATAGTTGCTGATAGCAGGCCAGTGTCACATTTTCCTCCTGAGAGTTGGCCAGTGAACTATGACCACCTGATGTCGATGTATCCATTTTCTTCGCCAAATATGACACACAGTGTGTATGCTCCCGCGAATATGAATTCGGACTCGGACATTACACACAACTATGTTAATTATTTCAACTCCCAATCTGGATAATTAATCGGAATACTTGGACCATACACTGTATATTCTTGTGTTTCCATAGCTTTAAGACTAATAGAACAATTCGATATATGCCAATGTGCCTGGCTTTGCTTCAACGACTCGGAGGTCAAGATTGTCGAAATGCATAGTAATCAATTAGACGCGGACGATCAGATCGCTCGTCGCGGACTTTCAAGTTGAGTGCCAAGATCGAGCACATACAAATTGACGTTGTCGACGAGCTTGACGCTGGACGGAAAGCTTTTGTGTTTTGCCATCAGTACACACATGATCCGATCCTATCAACTCCCGTCGAAATCTATTTGCTCAATATTTGCTCCTTCTGCGAGCTATCAGTGAGTATGCACTGATTGCACAATGCGATCCCTGATAGCTGTACTACGACTCCGCGACGCTGATTTGCAGCTCTAGATCTCGGTGCAATGACATATCGTTGACCGGAGACAGAAAAAAAACCGACGAGAACTATGTAGCCGGATGTGGGTAGAGCGTGGGGCACGATGGCAGTGTGAGTCCGTTCCGTGGCTCAGATCACCTTTTCTCTATGAACCTGAACTTGAGTGTCTCTATAATATGTGTTCGTAACCACTGACATCACTGTTTGTGTGATGATAGAAACAAAAAAGGCCGTCACTGCCCTAGGCAAGTCCTGGCTAGCGGAACGTGTGTTCAGGTCCCAGGACACCATCCTGGGCGGCCAAATCTTGATTGTGAAAATTTCAAGACGCTCGACTTTGAAGTTTCCAGATAGTCTCAACTTGCATTAAAATTTATCTCTTACAGAGTACGGTGGGCTCAGGCTGTTTTTCGCCAATACGGTTTTGTTATATTATTCTGTTTGCAAATATGTACATTTCCCTATTAACTGATGACATTCTCAGCGCCCTCGTCGTCGCCCTCAACGTGCCCGCCGTCATCGCATCAGCATGATCGCCGTCGTCGTACATACCCCTTCATTGTTGCTAAGCTACTGACATTCTTTGTTCTATCATTCCAGTCATTCACTTCCCTCCCGGGACCCAGGGCCATTCAGCGAGCTGTATCAGTATGTCTGTTGCACATCTTCGTGGGGATCTTGCTTGACTACGGCGCCCATAGCTTTTCTGTCGCTGGAGAATGGTACTATCTGAATGCCAGTAATTTCCGTAGCGTTCCTCGTCTCCTTATAATTTAGCCATCCAAGATCCTTGATACGGTGATGTTGATGTCTTCATGCAAACAATTCAATTATCTTCTAATTACGCTAATCGGACTCGGTGCTTGAACGGGCACGGACTGCAAGGGAAACCCAGGCCAAACCTCTATGGTGAGAGGAGGTGGCTCTATCTATCGAGGACCGACTACGACGCAGGACTACCGACTACGAGCCAGGACTCCTGCTCCTGCACCAGGACCCCTGGCACTCCCGACCCGATCTGTCCTGCCAGAGCGCCCCGCTCCATCTGCCACCCCTCCAAATGCAACCGTCCGCGGTTGCACCACGAAAGACGGATGTGCGGGAGTGCAAGGACCTGCGCCATACCAGCCTGGTACAGTGTACTGTTGCATTGTGGTGCAACTGATGGTGCCATTAAATAGGTCTTTATTGTACATCCGATTTCTACTAATTCCAAAGAGCGAGCGCGTCGAGCTATCACCAGTGTGCCAAGTCCTGCGCGGGCGACAGCATTTTTGAAGCGATTCTCTTCATAGATATCACGCGATAGTGGTCAGGACTACTTTCTCAGTTCTATTGCTGTAAACAAGCCCGCCTTCAGACTATAGTTAAAGTTGCTTTGTTGTGATCCATGGTTTGTTACTCAGGATGTTCTCAATCTTTTCCTCGACTCAATGTGTCGACGTGCACAAAGTGTGTGAAGCTCGAAGCCGCGAGTGCAGCAGCCAGCTGATCCAGAACTGATCGTGATGCGTGCTCACCTCACATTGTGCCCGAATCATCTGTATTCACCAGGACTTTCAGTAACAACCACACTGCGAATCCTGTAGTCGTGTTTGCCCTTTTTTGCACTCATCATGATGTGTTAGTTGCAAAGGCAACTACAGTTTTAAACACTCTAATCCGTACACCTATCCGTCATCATCGCCCTCAGCTTCGCAACCTCGACTCGGGGAATGACATCAATTTTAAATGGCGCTGCATGGGGAGTGACCACGTCACTGAAAGCGTGCGTGTCGATCGGTGCGTCAGGTCGTTGAACAATTCGGAAAGACCACAAGAGAAATGCAAGGGCAATGTACAACGAGTGGTTTGCGAGGTGCAGGCCGGGACATACACTTTTAATGGAAAATTGATCAGTATCAAAATCCAATATCGGGACGACTTACCGTCTACCAAAGCCATAAGTGATGAACTTCATATTATTGTTCTTAAGGCGGCCTTCTGAATCGAGCCAGCGCTGGGGGTTGAATATTTCAGGATCTGGGAAGACGATAGGATCGCGAGAAAGAGTCCTGAAAACACGCGCTTAACAAAACAATGTACATCGTGAAGTAACACTATACCAATGGCAGCCGTAGACTGTTGCACCCTTGGGGATGCAATATCCTTGCTGATTGCACGTAGACTAGAATGAGAACGTGTGTTACAACAAATTAAGACACTGACCCACAAAATATCCTTGGTGGCACGGTGGGGAAATCCTGAGGCACATGTCAGCATCGTGCAGGAGCGTGGCGAAATTCAAATTTACCTATGCGAACGATAGGTCTCCATCTCAAAGCCTCCAACAAGAACGCGTGCAATTGAGGGAGCGAGCTCGAGTCATTAAATATCGGCGCTACAACAAAAGATTAATTGAGAAATCAAAATATTTGTACCCCTTCGGTTTGGCATTACTTCTGTCTGGCCCGATGACCATATCGAGCTCTTCGTGCACCTTTGCCTGAGCCAGTGGGTGGCACGCCGCAGCCATAACAGTAGCGGTAATTCCAATAGCGGTCTGAGCCAGGAGTGAGTTCGCGGAGATAAATAAGTTGCATGACTTGCCGTATCAGATCCCGCCCCAAAGAGTGATCCGGTGAGATACGACATCTCATCTGTAGAGAGTTGGTGTTCTTCGGTGTTTTCCAATAGTGCCTTGGTTAAAGAAGGGCCAGCGTTGTCCTGATCCCGGTACAACAAGATATGTATGATTGATGTACGTTTATCAAACAGAGTGCCCCTCACCACTTCACTCTCGACGCGCCTTAGTTGATGCCTAAATAACTCAAGTTCCTCATGATGCCACTCATAGAGTTGTTTTCCGTAACCAGGCAAGTAGCGCAAAAGGGGCACACGATCGACGAGATAAGCTCCTGGGCAAACTGCAACCTGGAAATGTTCAACGACTCTGCGGATACGGACAAGTTCGGGATCGGCGCTGGCAGTGGGCGCAGACTTCCCATAAGTCACCCGAAGAACGACTGATGTTGCATACCTTGAGGTGCCATTCTATCAAAGGATCACAAAAGACCTTGGTAGTGACGTACCGCTGTGCGTGCTTTTGGTGGCTCGTCGGGTCATTCAGCATATCCAATATAAAACTCATCGCATTCTCGCGTTGCATATCTTGATATGTCTCCACCGCCTTTGGCTGTAAATGAGAATGTACTGCTTTTCGGAGGCGCCGGAAGCGTTCTCCAGAACGAGCCATGGTGAGACTCATTCCATTTGAGAGAATCTCGCCCGCGGCAATGGACCGAGGTCGATCTACCAGTGATCCACCTTCTTTCTCCATGATATCCGCTGCTGCCTGGTAAATGGGTCATTGTCAGAGGAAGCTCAAATTCAAGGTATGAGTAGATTACCTCCATGCTGCCAATGACAATTATCACTTGGCTACCTTGTCGGAACGACACAACCGGCCCATACTCTCGAACCAAGTTGGTCAGCGCATAGGCAATGCTGGGTGGACGATCTACATCAACCTCTATTATTCTGTATAACACTGCCAAAACTTACTTCACAGCAGGCAAAGCGTTGCTCCAGAACCAACAGGCGGGGGGTCCAGGGGGAAGCGGGATGCCCTTCCTGCCAGATAACGAGAATTTCTTGTATAACACAACGAGTATCGCTACGACTGTGACGACGCCAGCGGCATAGTTCGGACTCCCGGTGCCAGTGAGAGCTTCCAGCATCATGTAATGCTGAAATTAAATAGGCGTAAAACTCCAATCGACGTAGAATGTGCGTATCCAATGTCTTATAGTACCCCGCACTCAGCCTGTTACTGATGGGAATATCTAAGGACGGAACCAGAGTCCGTAAACGCTAATATAAATTAGAATCCGATGAGAAACAGGCTCTCCGACGTGGTGGGTTGTGGTCCGGTACGGCGGTACCTCTCGAGAAGGTTAGACTGGAACGGCTAGCCTACAACATCAGAATCTCGATAATACACTCACTATTTCAGCTTTCTCTGGAACAAGGATCAGCCAGCTTAACAATGATAATCCGGCGAGATGATCAAGCCAACCATGACGATCACCACGCCTCTAGAAGAATCAATCATTAAAGTGCCAGCATCTGTTATTGCCGCGCGTTGGTAGATGAGTTCGCTTGATCAACGCAAGCGATGCGTTTTTCGGGCAAATCAGCCAAGCGCGGAATAATCTTGAGCCATGGAGAGTCTCTGGGCGTGAGAGCGTCACTTCCACCAACAACCGTCCCCGGCGGCAGCAGAGTCTCATCTAGCGCTGTGGGCAGAACTTGGCAGAACCATGTTCTGGGGCCCTGCCTCACCTGAAGCCGTTGCATTTGCAAGGGCTTCGTCACGGCTGGGCCACAAAAATAATTAGTCGGAGCCTAAGCTACCGACAGCGAATCTAGAATTTACGTAACACGCTAGTCTTTCCCTTCATATGAGTTTACAGTCAGCCTTGGAACGGTTAGCTACGTACCGTGCCAATAACACGCGTACTTCGCAAGATATATTCCGCAATGGACTTCTAGTGCTTCAAAAAGGCAGTTTCAAAAAGTTGGGAGACGATGGCAAGCCATTTCGTGGTCATCCACGCCTGTTATTTCAACTTAAGTCACTCCGGTGTTCCTGCAGGCTGGACATCCTTAGAACAATTGGCATTGGCCTCAGTAGATGTCGGACGACTCGACATAGCAGACGTGTGTCCTTCTCCACTGTTCTACGTACTTATCTCACCCTAAGCTCAACCTCATTTCTATAGCAATGCCTCCAGCTCATTGCCGACAAATTCCCCAACTCCCCACGCGTCGACTGTCTCGTAGGTATCCGAATGGAAGCCACAGAGCCTCCAGAAACAGCCCTTAAATACTACGCTGATATACTTGAAGCCGACTCTGCCAATGTCGTGCGTGCTTTCATATACGTGTCTTTCGCGCGCTTACTCTCACTACAGGCGATTTGGAAGCGGCGAATATCGGTCCTGAGGAGAACAGGAAAGGTCGAAAAGGCTGTGAATGAACTCCTGCAATTACTGGACACGTTCTATACGGACGTCGAAGGGTGGCTAGAACTCGCAGATATTTATGCCTCGTGTAACCAGTGCGTCTCCATTCTATAATACCATTACACATCTTATTCACTTTGTTTTCTCGCACAGATATGATCACTCCTTCCAGGCGCTCTCACATGTTCTGCTCCTAACACCCCAGAACCCCTTCTACGTTCTCCAAGCCGCTGAAACAGCCTACACCTCTGAAGACTTTTTCCTCGCCATCAAGATGTTCCTCACTGTCGTCGACATGACCGACGCTGATGATTCAGAACAGCTTTTACAAGAATCCACGCCTCTCGGGATCACTGTGCGAGCGTGGTTTGGCGTGAAACTCGTGCGTTTTTTTCTCTTGCGTGGGCTACTTGCTGAGTTGAACATCAATGTAATCCTTAAAAAAACAGTGTGCTCGTCGGATAGCACAAAATGCGAACATGAAGTCTTTGTCGAATACTAGTGCACCGAAGAACCTGGAGTTACTAGATGAGCTAGCCACGGAGCGTCTTCGAGTTGCGTACTCAAGTTCGGGTCAGAAGGGTGAGATTGCGAAAGGGAGACAGGAGGTTTTCGCTTGGGTCGCGACTCCCCTTGCATAGGCATGAAGTTTATCTATTTTTTCTTCTTGAGCTACGTCCAGTCCGATCTCGTTTGCATTATTGATGTTCACTTAGATGTGATCAAGGAAAGGGATAGTCATCAATGTACTAGACGAACGCTGGAGGTAACTACTATGACGAGACTGAACGAGAGGTTTTGGGCGAGCACACATAGCGCCTCACTTGAGACAGGGATAAGCTGCGCAGAGGGATGGTGAGCCACCTCGCTGCGACTGGACTCTAAGTCCTCAGGACCTTTGTGGTGCGTATTTAAGAGCGAGGCACTGCAATCGAGTGCAATGGAAGAAAGGGGAGAGGGTGGGGAATGAAGATGAGTATGACGAGAATTTCGAAGACGATTCAAAAACGGCGATCACGGCACGGAGGCGAGAAGCGCATTTCTACCTCAGCCGTTCGCTCGAAGACAAAAACCTCTCGTGCCTCGTTACTCTTCGCCTACAGAAAGGTTATGATTGATGCGTTAACCTTGTCTTTCGGTGCCCTTTCCTATTCACTCCACTGTGCTGGCTTCTTGCAGGTTGCAGTTTACTAACCTGAGGTCGCGAGGAACCAACTTCCGACTAAAACCCCCTGCGGCATCATGATCAATGCAGCAGTGCAGCAGCAGCACTGGTTAGATTACGCCGATCTAGCGGTCGCAAGTTCGAAACAAAGGTATCATCTTTTCGTTTCGATACGCAACATGTATACTTAACGCCAAGTCATATACTGTACCTCTGTGTATGGAGGCAACTGTGGCGCGTCACAGGGCCTTGGTTGCGTTGCTAATTTATCCCCCCGTAACGCGTCACAGGGGGTCGGTTGCTAACTGTAGGTACATTGTAGAAACCCGCCGCAAAAATCACTAAACCTACTTATCGCCACTGTGCCAACTTCCTGCTCGTTTACTAGTGCCCATATATTCTCATTGTCTCCTGCTGCAACCAATCCATGCCCGTCACCTCGTTGTACATCATGAACACAGAAATTGTGCAGTGTCTGCAGCTGCAACATCAACCCCTTCGATCCCGAAAGTATCCAGAATGACAGCGCTACAAAATATGTCAGTGTCATCACCACCAGCCTCAGCATCGAGCCGAGACTCGGGTGGTTCATCCTCCATGGCGTGAATGATACCTGTGCGATTGTCGATCTCGTCGTGAAGCCTAATCGGTAGTCTACTTGTGCTAAGTCAAAATTCCCTCCGCGGGAGTTTGAACCTGACGCCACTTCGACATACGGCAGGTACGCTGGTTGCTATTTTGTTCCGATGTCACGGGCAATCGGACAAGATTGCTGACTTTGCAACTGTGGCGGTGTCATGCGCGATCCACGGTTGCCTCCATACGCAGAGGTACAGTAGTGTGCTCGCCTCAGCTATAAATGCCAGTGAGTAATCCTTAACCTTCGAGCGCTTTGCCAGCTCAAGTTCTTGATCATGGATCCGTATCATAATCGTTTGGTGTGACACCTGAAAGGGACCGTACAACGAAGCGTTGGCAGTCTGTTCAACAGAGCACAGGATATGTACGTATCTGTGTATAGAGCTGAAGAGCTTTTGACTCAATAACAAAAATACATTGGGTCTTAGCTCTCTCTTGAATTGCAATTATGAGATTCATCTCACTCCTCACCGCTATGATGTCTCTCGTAGCGATAGCTGGCACAGCTACCGCACAACAGATCATCGCTGCACCCAAACTAGTGAGTACCTCGCAGTCTAGCGGGTTCTGAAAGTGTGAGCCTTAGACTGTATGCTTACGGGCGTTCACAGACCATGCGGAGTGCGGAACGATCATAGGTCATAGCCCAACAAAGATATACCGTTCTTGTTTATGTGTATACAAGACTACACAATACCGAGTTTTAACATTGCGATTTTGACAGCTGCTGCGACTTGGTACTTTGACCTGTTGAAAATTTGGTCATTTAGCGAATCTCCACATAACGCTTGGGGCTCAAGTTCTCAGTAGTCCCCGGTCCCAAGTGCTACGCTATATGGTAAAATCAAAATTCTCTTCCCAGTGTTTCTTTCGATGCTCAAAATGACATTCCCCGCACCTGAATCGATTGATACGGGGTCTTGTTTGGAACAAGGTAAAGTCTTGGTGAACAGCGTTCTCGCCAATGGCAGCTTCGGCCAAGAGCATTTATTCTTGTGGACGACGGGTACTACTAGGTGGCAGATTTTGAGCACGTAGCCAAACGTTTTCACCCAGACCATGTCGAGGGCACATAAAAAATTGCTTCGGGTTCCTATATCCTGGTGTGTAGAAAGTTACATGATCTATGAAACATTAATGGCACAAAAAGGAGCTACACGTAGAAAAACACCCTTGACGATAGCAAGTTGTTTTGATGTTTGTGATTTGTACATGATAGACAACGATTACACATATGTTACACATATGTACACGCAGTAAGATGAAAAAATGCGCTTCCATCATGATTTGCAACTTCGCTATCGACCATTGCTTGTCATCCTTCATGTTTCCAACCATTCCTCAACGTTAGTGCCCTCTTCAGCGCTCACTATGCTCGCGTCATCCGGCTTCGACTTCGACTGCCCCGTCGTTATCTGTTTCGAGGTCGTCCCCTCCTGTCCATAGAATGATGTCCTAGTGTACGTGCTTATGGGGAACTGCGTCAAGATGACACTCGAGAACAATCCGGGGATGTGAAAGACTGGTCAAGATCGCATGTTTCTTTCGACAATACGCGGTATGCGAAGGTAACGATCACCAGGATGTTACAGATAATAAGGCTGACCGCAGCCTAAACGTCTGTCAGATGTTGTTGAGGGATGCGAGGAATGAAAGTTACTCACCTTGACATGCGCGAAGATGAGCGTAGTTTCTGTCACAGGCTTAAAGAGAATTATAGCGTGGGGGATGGTGATGGCAGTGATTATAATCGATGCACCGAATGAGGACAGGACTAATATTTTTCTACTACGTGAGAGCCCTACATTTTTCCAGAGCTGCAGTGGCGCAGCGGCGAGAGAAGAATCCGCAATAACATCCGCTGTGGGAATCAATAATTTGAGGACCATACAGCCATAGAATGACGAAGAGATACTGACTGATCAGTTGCGAGATTGCCACAGGCTCGGACATCTGGCACGCATGGAATAGGCACACGGTGACCTTCTGAATCAGCAGCGCGACCCACATGCACGCAAATGATACCGCAATAAGATGGGTGATCCATATGTGGACCTTACGGCCTGAATGGTTGGCAATTCTGATAATGCAAAAAATGACACTCATGCGAGCTGCCCTGGATAAGTCAGTCAGGACTGTATGTGATGAGTAAGCTGTGATGTGCACCACAAAACGGAGGTTAAAGCCACTGCGAGAACCCATGATGGTACTGATATAAATGTTAGGCAAATCTTGGAGGGAAAAGTCAAGTAGTATACTAACGATTTGTGTAGGGGATCCAGATGCATGCCAGGCAGACAACTAGGGTCAACAGTGGTTGGTTTACTGAGTAAAGCAGTATGCAAGGAGACTTCTACCGTCTGAGATCAGTGAAATCGCTGCCCATGCATCTTCCCACCAGATGCGATGCGTCCAAACTCTGTAAACAAGCCTGAAGACGGTACAGACTATAGCAATGCCGTGGGATACAGACCCCGCGACTTCCAAACGATAATAAACAGAAGAACACAAGATGATAGCTATTTTCAACTCACCGGCCAGTCGAGTGAGGTTGATATCCATTTATCCGATAGGACAAGGATAAGGCTGAGTATTATACACAAACGTTGGAGCTCGTGGAGGTTAGCCATATATATGACGCGGAAGCATTCTTTGTATATGTCTTTGAGATGATATGATTATCAGGATCGCCCACGGCGTTTCTAGCCAGTGATGACAACTTGCAGGGATACGAAGACCGACCGATTGACATGGTCTCACACGAGATGTAAGGGACCTGTTGAGATGCCATGTCAATCAATCACTGTCCTCTCCGGCTCGCACGCTTACTGGTAACCCCAGCATTAAACATACTTAGGCTTCAAAGTTCAGCCTCAATATCAGCTGATCATACGAAGTGGCATACTTCTCTTCTTGGTATAAAACAGGATTGTTGATGAAAGGTTAGAAGATTACAACAATGAGTTTTGGGGTCGATATTGCACGTCGACGAATATAAGATGGAGTGGGCAAAGAAAGTCTTGCCGTCAAGGGCTACCCTGGCCTCGGGTATGTACACGGTCGTTTTACGAGCCTGCATTAATGATGATCTCCTTGTTCCGACTCATGTAGACCATGAGCGACTAGTGACCAGCAGCAAATTTGCGAGTGTACTAGGCGAGGGTTCATATCCCTGAACCAGCTCACGTCAAGTGTCACTGGCTAGCGGGAACAGCCTGTGGGAACTCGAACCTAATATTGTTGGGGCTAACCTGAAATATCGTACGGACGCCGAACGAACTCGGACCTTACCCCTCGGCTATTCGTACCTCCGCTTCCCACAATATAAAATTTGAAATACAGAAATTCTAATACTGATGTAATTGATCAACCGGGAACGCCCGGCCGGTGCTACCTCCCGAGTCTTACGTGCAAACATAAGACTCGAGTCTGATCCAGGTCACTCCATTCTCTTCCCCATGGAGACTGAGCACCAAAGGTTCCAGATAGGAAAGAAAACCTCCTAGTACCACTCGACCTCCGGGCCCTTCCCGTCGTGGACAGTACCTGCGGGATCGAATGGTCAGGCAAATCCATATCCTCTCCGCTGGAGCTTCGATTTGCAGCTTGTGTAACAGGGAGAGTCGAGAGTACGCTAACCAGAATTCCCTCCCAAAGGAATTGAAGAGGTAATATTTCTCATAATTATCAATTACTTGTACATTCTTTACAAGAATGAGGAACTATGAGAGCTTGGTCTTCTTCCCATGACCTCACAGAAGTTGCGGATGACACCAGACTACCTTCAAGCCGATGCATGCGAGATCCTCCAATCTCTCACTGCCCAAGCACACCAAGTCTCGAAAATCTTAGAGAAACGTTTCGAGGGCATTTTCTCGACATCTACAAGTGAGCAAATCACACTTTGGTTGTAGATGTTGGGGGTAACTCGGATGATTACTCGGACCTTGAAGCTGAGACTGATAAGAATTCAGCGCTCTCCAGACATGGTATGTGCATAGTATGAATTCTCGATCATTATTTCACGCACTGATTTTTATATCGCAGCCCGCGTTTCTACTATTTATCAACTGTCTCATGACTTGCGCTTTTTTAATTCAGTTTGTAAAGCTTGTATGTGCTGTTTCTTGCGTACTGGAGTCGATGTGAAATGAAGTACATGCTACATCGTCATCGACGGTTTTCTCGTTTCCTTCTGCCTGCCATCTAGATGCGAGGTATTGGACGTGGTGCAAAATGCAAAAGTAAGGCCCCTGAACTATCGATGCCAACACATCAATGAACTCCTACGGGCCCGCCAGGGGCAGCAATATTACACTGACAGATGTTAGATACACGTCGCCGCCACGCGAGAATGCATGAGTATATATTTTTGGTGCAGTAAATGTCTAATCTTTTTCTAGGACAGGTAATTGACATATTCACAAGTGTTCTGACCATCCGTTCATCAAGCATTTTGTCTAGTATTTCAGACACGAGATCTTCTTTGCAAACTCGCCACTAAAGCTGAGCCAAATCAAAAGCAGACTACTCAAAAGCACTTCGAGAGCGCTCCCAGTTGCTTATTCTGTTGAAAGCAAATGAGTGAACGTACACGAGATCAAAGATAAGTCTTGTCTATAAACAAAGTCCTTCGGCTTACAAGTCCAAGCTATATATTAGCTCTATTCTGTGTAAATAAAACAGAGATCGTCCCTGTGCTTCTGACAAGCAAAAAGGACAAAGATACGCGAAAAACCAGCTGCAGCAGCTGTGCCTGGGATGGTATAGCACAATTCATTACCAGGTAGCGGGATGCTGACAGCGGGGAGCACACTAGTGAACGAAAGATGTCAAGTCCAATTCATATCCTCTCGTACATGCAGATGTATGCCTTGCTTTTTAAGACCTCGTCCAAAGAGGATAGCCGCACAGTGGTATCACTGATATACGCCCAGTCGCGATGCGGTCGATCTGCGTGAGCCATGCTCTCGGATCCAGTTACCGATAACGTCGTCTGTTCATCTTCCTTCGTGGGGAGGGCAGTGTATGCGATATAGTGACCGCCAAGCTATGGATCCAGTTATAATGAGACGTAGACTCCTCGATTGATTGATACAGTACTCACCATGTTCCCAATATGTACGACTACGGCATATAACCTATACATCCACCGCTCGGGACGTTTGCTCCGACCGCGACTATGCCCTGGCTTGGCATCCGCGTACTGTTCTCGTTTGGGTGCCAAGTAGGGCGCAATATCGAGGTATTCTGGGAAAGATATGTAATCCTCGAGCTTCTTAAAACTAGAGGAGAAAGACATGATGGGAACTTTTGACATTTGCTGGAAGCGTTTCAGGTGAATGACAAGAACTGGCGGGGGTGTGGCAATGAGATAGCGTTTATATGCCGCTCGCATGATCACTTTCTTGGACAGAGGGACACCCGTGGAATCAGGAATCTTTGGACGCCGTTGTAATGGCGCGCGAGGTGTTGGAGAGACTGCGAGGTTCTCTTGGGAGACATTTGGCGATACTGCCGGTGATGCAGCAGTAGAAGAAACATCCGAGTAAGCAGATAAATTAGCAGACGCCCCACTTTCCTCGTCAGAACAGCCTTCGATCTCCATTGTGTTAGCAGGGTGTTTCTCCTTGTCGTGCTTTGATGTGAGGGCGTGCAAAGAAGCCTGGGATGTGTTGGTCGGCGACCCCGTCGTAAAGGGCCTGGCTGTCTTAA